CATAGGCTAGAATTTTGTACTTAATTGGATTGCGATGGGTGGGAGAGACTGAAGGAGTGTTGCGAGGGGAGTCTGGCGGAGGGGATGAGTTGGTGAGGCTTTCGGTTAGATCGTCCACGTCGGCAGTAGGTGATGGATGTGGTGGGGCTTCTTGTTGTACATGGAAACCCTCAAAGGTAGGGTTCTGTTGAATGGAGCGGAGGAAAGGGTCAAAAGCAATGTTGAAAAGGAGGGGACTGAGTGGATCACCTTGGCGAAGGCCTCTTTCTTGAGGGAGAGGTGCCTTGGTGATGTGGCCATTAATGTTGATCTGAATGTTAGTGGAGAAGAAAAGTGAGATGATACAGTGTGTTAAAGATTGTGGAATACCAAATTGGAGCATAATGTGTTGAAGATATTCGGGATGAATACGATCATATGCTTTTTCTTGATCCAAAAGAAGAGCAATGGTGGATGAATGGTTGGTAGTAGCTAGGAGTTTGGTGGTCTGTAATGTGAAGCCGTGCTCGCCAATGAAGCGGTTCGGCATGAATCCAAGTTGTTGGGGGCTGATTAATTGTTGCATATGTGGCATCAGACGCTGATTGAGCAGGCGTGTGAAGATTTTAGCATCGCAGTTGATTAACGAGATGGGACGAAAATTCCTCAGGTCTGTGAGATCGCCCTTTTTAGGGAGCAGGCACATGCAAGTAGTGAGCCAGCTGTTGGGAAAGATACCGAGGGTAAGAGCCTCCTTGAAGACGGCATGGGCAAGTTGGGCTGTTTGTTGGTGGGATAATAGCACCGCTAGGATTTCATAGGGTAGGCCATCCGTACCTGGGCTGCTATGGTTGGGCGACCGCTGTGCACCAGTCATAATCTCGTCGATGGTAAATGGCGTCTCCAAGGTGGGTTGGCTGTTTACTGGGATCTGTGCTGAGGCAGGGATGGTGTTGCAGAGTTCAGAGATGCTGGTATAATCTATGGAGTCAGTAGTATATAGCTTACGATAAAAACATACTGCAGCATCCTGCATAGTCTCTGCCGTATCGCAGATGGAGTGGGTGTCTGGATGTTGGAGAGCTAACATGGTGCGTTGAATTTGTCTAGTGGCGATTGTGCGTTTGAGGTATCCGGCAGACGTTTCACCCTGTTCACGCCACATTTTACCCGCACGAATGGTTTGTTGGATGGAGATCTCCTGTTGCAGATCGCTGATGAGTTTCTCGATAACGGGTAATCGTTCTCGGAGAATGGCTGGTTGATTCTGATATCGTTTGAACAACTGGTTGCGTTTCCTTTGAAACCTTTTGAGCTGTCGGTTGCGCCAAGAGCTGTGGCGGCGACCAATGCGACGGGCAATGGTTTTCACTACGGCCTTGAGTGCATCCCATTGTGCTTGAGGGGAAGTACCTGGTTCCTGGAAGAACTGATCTAACGCCTGGTGGATTTCGGTGACGAAGTACTCGTTCTTTGCTAGCTGGGGATTAGCTCGCCAAAGTCCAGTACCCTGTTGAGAGGAGGAGAATTGAAAGGTGGTATTGAGGATGGCATGATCAGTCCATTGGGAGCACATAAAATCAATGGAGGACGAGTGTAGTTGTTGAAATAGCGTTGGTGAGCAGTAGACATAATCGATGGTCGACCGTGAGGTCCCGCGACGGAATGTTGGTAAAAGTGGCCCATCATGTTTTGAGTGGGTACATTCGATGAGGTGATTGCTGAGTAAGTCATGCCAGCGATGTTGAGCCAGCATGGCAGAGTGGTGGTGGGGTTGATCTGACTGTATAGGGGGAGAGAAAGAATCAGTAGTATAGTTGGTGTTGTCAATGGCATAAGAGGTAGCATGATAATTAAAGTCACCTAGTATAATCAGAGATTCACGATCCACTGCAATCGTGGATGGTTCCTCTGTAGATATTGGAGGTGGTTGGATGTCAATGGTGATGGGAAAGGTGTCCAGAGCCCAGGTATCGGGGTGAAAGAGTGGAATGGTAAGCAGTTGTGAATAAAAGTGGGCTCTGGACGACGCCGTGGCAGGAGCATAAATATTAACGAGTGTGATGGGTGAAAAGAGTGCATTACAGTGTGTTACCTGACACACTATAATCCGGTCATCAAGGGTAACGTTGAGCGGTTGGATGATGATTTTTGGGTTGAGGGAGACAATACCACAGTGGGATGTCCAGATGCTGGTGTTGGTTTGAAATTGCATATTCAGTCGTTCACGGACTGATTCGGTAGCATGGGTTTCTTGGAAGCATAGAATGTCATATTTCAGTTCAGGATTACGAAGGAATCGTACAAATTCGGAACTGGTGGTTGGGTTGGAGAGCTTACTGAGACTTCGACAATTGAGTGAGCCTATCTTAATAGTTGATCTATAATCTGTCATAGGTGGGTTAGTAGCATAGTGTGTCATAGAGGGGGCATAAGGGTGGGGATTCATATAGTTACTAATTAGGCCACGGGGGCTGAAGTCTCGTCAGCTCGGATAGTGGTGGTGTTAGTGATGTTTGCCTCGCCCATGGTGAGGTCTTGTTCAGCGGCGGTGGGTGTAGTAGTCGTTTGTTGACGCTTGTAAGCTGGAACATAAGTTGGTTTGATGGACTTAGCTAGTTGGGCATACTCGTCTTCAGGAATGAAGTGTTGCTTAAAGCAGAAGAAGCGGGCCACTGCCAGTTGGTGGTGCGGATCCTTCAAACGCCCGATGATGACCTTCAATCGAGCAAGGAAAAGGCGGCGACATTCGGCAGCTAGGAAAGTAGGATCAGAGTCGGTATACTTGGGGTCACGCAACGTGGTGGTGTCCATGGGATCGAACTGGATAGGTGCCAACTCGTACTTGGTCAATTGGGCTTCCAAGGATGGGATGTAGTCTATGTGGACGAGAAGGCCACAAACATGACGGTCGGGGAAATGGATATCCAAGATCCGCTTGTTGTGGATGCCCATAGCATGGAAGTTATCCCTCATTTGGCTAATGGGCGAAGGGCTACGGTTGGGAATGTAGACAAATCGGTAACCATGGTTGGGTGACACGACCGAAAATTGACGAGCAGCAGCAAGACCGGCATCGTTAACATTAAGGTTGAGAGGTTGAAGCCTCTTTCGAGGTATGGTTTTAGCTTTGGGACGTTTGACGGCAGCAGGGTCCGCTTGTTTCTTGGCGACGTCGGCAAAAGAAGGTTGGGCCACAGTAGTTGAAGGAGGTGAGGCAGCAGTCGATTCAGGGGCAGGGAAGGTCTGCGGAGCTTGCTGTGATTCAAGTTGACGAATCCGTTGCTGAGCATCCTCTAATTGTTTTTTTGGTGAGATCCAAGGAGGAACGAAGGACCATGTTCTCCTGGATGAGAGCTTGCATCTCAGAGATTTGGGATGCTTGACTATCGAGGCGGGCGTAAATGTCCTTGAGATAGTCAGGGAGATTGGGGACGGAGTGAATGTTGAGGTCACTCAGTGAAAGAGGGGAAGGCTGAGCAGGGATCGTCGTGGTTGAAGCTACGTTGGGCACGGCTACGGGAGGAATAGCGTTGGCAGCAGGTGGTAGGGTGTTCTCGGCCATGGCTTTGGTGATGGAACGGGTGAGTCGGGTTGTAGCTGTTAACTTGGGACGAAGGCTAACAGATGAGGGAAGAGGGGTAAGTGTTTGTCTAGCTAACGTGGAGAGTCGACGTTTAGTAGAGACAGACGGGATGGTAGACGTTGTAAGGCGATTCTTAGTGGTTGTAGAGACTGGCTTGGATGGAGGAGTGGGTGTTTTACTGCTTGGATTTGTTGGGATTTTCACTTTATTTACTTCTGTTGTTATTATTTGTTTTATCGCGTTAATAGTGTTGTTTTCGGGGTTTGAAAGGCCCTAAAAACAATTTAGACGAAAGAAAGGTGTGATTAAAAGGGCATTGAGTTTGCCTGCCGGCCCCACAAGACAAAATTAATTTCAACTCAGACTCATAGTTAACTCCAGATTGGACAGATTCTAATGGTTTTTTGACTCGATTGAACTATTTTTTCAGATTCGACTAAGTGAAGTATGATGATCACCCCATGCTTCCTTAAGCTTTCCTGGAGTACTTTTCAAGGCGCATCCAATGGTACCAAGTAATATAGATGTTTTGAATAAACTTATTGAATGATTTGCAAAAATATGAAAAGAGGTTTCTGGCCAAAATGTCGAAATTTTACATATCAAAGTCCCACAAAGATGATTTCAGAGGTTGCTTTGGATCGATAGGAACATTTTGATTCAAGATATACCATAGTAAAAGTCTTCGTTATCAAGGTGAAAAATGCGATCGTTTGATTTTCGATGAAAACCATGAGGGGTACCTCATGCTTTTTGGTCGATTTTTCACCATGATTTTTTGGTCCCCAAAAAATTGAGCAAAAGTGTCAAAAAGTTAGTGCTAGATCAGAGAAACTGTGTGGCGCTGTTCTGGCGGTTTAAAACGGCTTCGAACAGGAGAAAACACGAGTAAAATACACCCAGGTTTTGCTGTGATTCCCATATTTTAGAGTAGCAAGAGGTAATGCAAGTATGCTGTATGCCCGTGCGCAAATTGTTCGTATAGATAGAGATGCCAAACACTTGAGAAGAGTCAAATCCACAGCTAGGGATGGCTTAAACGTGAGATTGAGTCTGCATTAGTCGATTATTCATAAAACTTTCAGAACCTTAATGAGATGGATGAAGACGATGGGTGGAGCAAGCTGCCTTCAGTAGGCTGGTAATCACTAAAGCAAAGTAAAGGTAGAGAGCCGCCCAAAATATAGAGACGCAAATAGAATCTGATGAATAGCCCAGGTAGATATGAACAGGGCAAGGAGCAGCAGGGCGAATCAGTTACTTAATGCAGCCCTTCTTGTATCATTTACAAACTAAGATCTATGCCATGTTGTATATCTAATCTAACCAGGTGCTAAACTCTGAATAAAACCAAACCAGACCTTTAATTTATCAAACTTTTTTTATTCACTTGATGGAACAATTGACATTATTTACAGATACACAAACACCCATTTCAAGCCATTGCATTGAAATTTGAAACGACATAATTCGAATGCTTTGACTGAATTTTACCAATCACTTGATCCAAATCTTGGCAAAGCGATTGAATAGCTGTATCCCATTTCATGATCTCCAACATACTCTGCTCTACGCGCAAATTGGTTTGATGTGTGCCATTAGCAGCAGCAGCAGCAGCACTAATAGCATTGTCGTCTGGAGACGCTTCTTCACGAGCCGCACCACCCGATTCAAATGAGATCAACTGTTCCAATTGATCAATGCTGCCCACCATGCGATTCTCGCTAATCATGCGTGAAGCCACCTGTTCTGCTTGTTCTGATGAGACGTTGAGTAAAACAGCCAACTCCTTTACTGCAATATTGTTGTAAATCTTGGACGCGGATAACAAGTTGTGCTCAATCATAGCGCGATCAAAGACAGTGGTATTATCTGCCAAACGAGCTAAATGATGAGGTTTGAGTGAGGCTGCAAATTCAGAAACTTCGTTGGGTCGAATCACGCGCTCCAAGTATGTCTTCTCCAGTATCGAGAAGGATGGCAAGTGATGTGTTCTTTCGTCCTTGTATAATGTTGCTAAGCTTCGAGATCGTTGGGGTCCTGCACCTGCCAATACTGCACATTGGACAGCCGCCGTCCTAACAAAAGGTATGAGTATACACAGGGCAAAGCACAGTAAAATACGCTTACAGGCAAAGAATACGTTCATCCTCTTCCACTTGGCTCACATAACTCAATTCGTGGTATTTGGAACAGGCCTCCAAAAATCTACGCTTGGCATCCAAAATACGAGCTTGAGATAACTTGAATGTCAAATTCAACAGTGGATCGTTGGAGTTGGGGATCAACAAGGCAGCTCGATTGAGATAGGATTCTGCTTGCACAGCTTCATCTTCTTCCAACAACAGCCTGACAATGCGAATGTACACTTGAAGCTTGTAATCGTCTGAAATAGCACTAACGATGGTGCTCAATAGACGCTCTCAGTTACTCATGAGGCAGCTTACCGATGACCTGAATCCAAAGGAATACCTTGCAGTGTCTTTGCAGCTTCTAAATAATCATCTTCGTCTTCATAAACGCTGGCAAGCTTTTCTCGCAATTGAGACAACTGGAAATGATAGATGAGTGTCTGTACATGTGTCTCTGTCTCCAGTTGTCAAACTTACAGACTCTTCAAAGCTAACAGCACGAGGCTGAGCACGTTCAATAGCAAACAAGAGCAGCTGCTTTTGTATCTTGCGATCAGTGATTTTGTCTTGGAATAATCCAATGAATTCTGCCAAAAGCTGTCTAGCAATAACAAGGCCTACTTGTTCATCCAACACAGCTTCAATGTAGTCTTGGAGTTGCTGTTCTTGGTTGCTATAAGACAAAATGTCGTTCAAGATGCTTCGAAAAGCATCCAGTTTCTCCTTTTGCTGTGGAAGACTGATACAATCGTGAAGCCTAGTTTCAATATCCATGATAAGTTGAAGCAAAGGAAAAAAGCAAAATAGTGGAGTTTCATTGTTTGGCTGTTATTGTATGACATTGGAGCTACGCGGCGCGAGATTCCACATTATGCGTCAACTGCATCGCATTTCAATGATAGTAGAGCTGAATGCGTGGAGCCCTCTATCCTGTTTCTGTTGATAAAAGGAGGGAGGGGGGGGGGACCTTGCTATAACCATATTGCCTGACATTTACGTAAGAGACTCGCTGCATGAGCTTCTACTCTATGATATTTAAAGCAGCTGTACCTTGATCGATCAATGAGGTAGTGTTCATTAGCATTTAAAGTGAGAGTACTGGGCAACATTTCCGTCCACGAGCCATCCTCAGCATGTAGAGTGTGCCGATTGATCTATCAGCGTTCATCGGTTGTCTCATCAGATTCCTAATGTTTGATTTTCATATTGCTCCTATACCATGGATTCATTCCTTCCAAACCATCGCCCTGTTACAAGCGCCATCTCCTCAGACAGTGCAAGCCATTTTGAGTATGACAATAGGCCCATGACCTCCACAATGTAAAATGCTCAGACATGAGGAATGCTTGTGCACAGCATTACACTGGGATCCATTGCCTTTTGGGGCTGTTGGCCAATAAAGTGGCTTCACCCACATTTGTAAAAGAGAAAGCATTTGGTTTTTTTCAGGCTTGAGCTTTTTTTTCTCTCTTTTTTTTTACAGCTAGAGATTTGAGATTGGAAAAAAGGAAGGCTCTCTCTCTCCATCATTTGTCACTCTCCAAGCTATTCATAACAGCAGCAGCATCATCATCATGTCAAGCCATCATCCAACAAGGCAGCAACAGCCACAGTCCAGCAATACAACATCCTCCTCCTCATCGAATCACTGGTTAAGCAACATACTGCGTTCACGCGCTTCATCCGTCTCTGTAGAGTCCTGTCTCAATCTATCTGCCAGAGATCCTTCACAGCCACTGGACGCTCGACCAGTTTTACCTTTACTCGAGCAATCGCAACCGCTCGCCTCTCGCTGCAAACACTTGGCTGTGTTCTCTGATATATGCAAATCATACCGCTTCACTCATTTGGAGAACGTCTTTTTCACAGTGCAAGATATTCTAGATGCAAGCATGCCTCGAGAAGCACGACATGGCGTGTTTGAGTTTATGCTGGCATGTATTGAGGGCCAGTACACAGACTTGGGTATGGCTCGTGTGACCTTTTACGCTTCTCTGCGCAACTACACCCATTGGGAAGATTTCAGCAACATGTACCGAGTCTTGCATAAGCTGTGCAAGGAAGGAAGAGACATATCCGGGTTTGAAAAGAACGTAGCAAAACTGCTGATTCACTGGATCAACATTGCCATTCAACAACCACACAAAAAGGACGCTGCGGTGCCTCACTTGAGCGATCTGTTACACTTGCTCACTGCCATTGCTAAATTCAACTTTGCCCTGTTTGAGGAATACGAAGTGACACAAATGATTGCAGCTACACATAAAGCATTCTTCTCGACGCATGACGTGGGTGATATGGGATCGTGTCTCGATTTTGCTGATATCGTGGTAAGATACAGATTTGTGCCGTTTGAAGCCTTGTCCCTGTTTCTAGACATGGTTTCTGCTTCCGTCATGCTGGTGCCTGTGGAACTGCAAAAGTCAAAGTCATGGCCTATTTTCCAAAACTTGCTTCGATCTCATTGCGCTCATTCAGCCATTCTGACATTGTGTCGATTCTTGGATAAGGAACCCAGCAAAGTGGATGCAGACAACATCTTGATCAAGGGCGCCATGACCTTGCTGAGCGAAATCGCATGGGGAAAAAGTAGATCTGGCGCAGAGGTGTACATGGTGTCGGATTCAGTGATACTGATGTACATGAGACGAGCAGCCAGCAAGGGGAATGATGGGGTCAATGGCACTATTTTACAGTGTTTGTCTGGATTAGTGGATACGGCAGAGAATACACCTAGTTTGATGGAATGGGATGCTATATGGGATATTGTGGATGCCATCACAGCTTATATACTCAAAATCACAGACAACAACAGCAACAGTGATATCAAGCTATTCAGTGTGACAGAGTCTGCTGCTTTATCCTCGTTGCACAGCATCCGACAATTTGCTCACTTTAGCAACATCATTATCCGTTTATACCAGAGCAAGCAGTACAAGGGCCCGCTCACTCGATTCATGCAAGTGCTGTACCAGCTGCGTGCATACTGTTGCGATAATACAGCTTCCATCCTGTTGGACTACTATGTCATGGAGCACTCGTTCTTACCATCTACCGAGCATTGGCTGAAGCTACTGCAAGAGGTCACCAGCACCTTTTTCATTCACGCCAGCCCAACAACAACCACTTCAGCGCTTCGATTGAGGATGCTGGATATCGTATCAGACGTTTGCATTTCGGTCAAAGACTTTTATTCTGAAGTCATGTATGAGGCAATTGTGATCCCCATGATGCAAAAGCTACCCTTGGAAACAGATGCCAACATCCGCCAACTAGCCATCGACTTGCTAGCGTCTTCTTTGTCAGACTGCCAGAACGAAGCGATATTTGACAAGCTGATTCATATACTAAGAGACTGTGCCCAATGCCATTGTGTCAGTCCAGAGGACCACCACCAACAGTACGCTCACCACAGTCAGCAGCCTACCAATAGCAAACTCACTTCGATGCGTATGGCGGCGCACTCACCACACTCACCACACTCTCCGCAAACACATCGTCAACCTTCCACCTCTACGACCACCACGACAACATCGTCCTCATCGTCCTCGACTGCGACCATTACAAACGCATCCATGGCTCACAAACAACACAGTGCATTTGTCGCCGATACAGCAACAGACGAATTCTTTAGCGGTGGCTTCTGTATGGGTGTGCCTGCCATGTGTGGCATATCAGACGTATTCGAGAACCTGTTACTGGCTTCCAATGGAAAACTGTGCTTCAAAACGTTCAACATTATCACAGAGATTGCCAATGATCGCTCTGATCTATCATGTCCTTATGGTGGCCCCAAGATTGTTGCTTTGGATCTATTACTGAGATTTCGATGCCCTACAAACCATCATATCTATCTCATTGAAGACAGTAAGTTGCTATTTGCGTTTGATCATGTCATCCTTCCACACACACACACTGATGATCACTCGTTTAGATGTGGAGGAAGAAAACAGTGTCATTGCTGCTATTCGCTTACAGCAACAAAAGAAGCGACAAGAAGCTGAAGAGAAGAAATCGAGCCAAATGTTCATGCCTGGCCCCATCATCAACAGCAACAGCATCAGCAGAGCACAGCAACAAGGCCAGCAAGCATCGCCACACAAGAAGGCTGTATTCCACCCCAGCCCACATGTCTTTTCTTACAACGAAAGCCCTCAATCTGAATCAGAGGCCGTGTTGGACATCAATGAGATGCTAAAATCTTATGTACGCGTGCTCTCTCACTCACCCAACTGGGTTGTGGTTTTGTTCGTCCTCAAGCGATTATCACAACAACTCAGCAACAAGCATCTATTCTGTGGCGCATCGCCCTACATCAACAAACTGCGTCGTCGACTCGTCAAATGGACCAGCACTCGTAAGTTTCTGGAGCAAATAACCAACTTACCTCCTCATATCAAGCGCAATGATTTGAATGTCTATGCTTATAGTTTGCTGACGGTACTGATCTCTTATCGACGTATCTTTACTGAGCCAAAGCAAGACCAGGACGAAATTGTGTATGCTTTTTATGTGGGCATCATGCAAGTGACCAGTGCTACCAGGCTCTGCATCAATTCGTTGGCTGTTTGCTGCCACGAAATGCCACTCTCTGTAGCCAAGATGCTCAACGAAATCTTGCAGCGCATGTCTCAGATCATCTCGGTCAGTAGTGTCTCGGTGCACATCCTGGAGTTTCTGTCTGCTCTGGCGCGCCTGCCCAACCTGTACGCCAACTTTACAGGCGACATGTACAAGCCCGTGTTTGCCATTGCGCTCAACTACTTGCAGCATTCGCATTCCCAGCAGCAGCAACAACCCTCTCCCATCAGCACGCCCTCTGCTTCACCCATGATTCCTGGTCAGGCGTCGGGCCAAAAGGAGGTGAGTCAAGGTGCTCTTAAGCAGTATGTCTTGATCATGGCATATTTGGTGATTACAGTGTGGTTTACTGCTATTCCGTTGCGCGAGAGACGCAAGCACGTACCTTTTATCATCCAGCGCTTGCTGAGTGGCATCTCTATGGGCAAATCGATTGACGAGCAAACCTACACCTGCATTGACATGCTCTCACGATTCACTTTTGCCGATGTCAGTCTTGCTCCTCAAAAGTCCATTGTCTCCAAAATCCTGATGGGTGATGGCGATACGGTATCTGCACCTTCTGTCAAGCAAAGCCAGCGTACATGGGTCTATGGCCACACACTATTAACACTGAGAACTGCTAAATCTCTGGGCTGGGTGGAGGTCACTATTCGCAGGCCCTCAGGCACCGTCTCCATGATGTGCTATGTGGAGAACAAGATCAAATCAGAGGACATTGATTATCGCACGTTGCCTGCTCTTTTGATGATGCAGTATCAGCCTGACTTGATGGCATCCAAGATCATGAAAGACCGCAAAGAGGAAGAAGAGCTGTTGTTGAAGCAAACACTCATCAAGAAACCCGAGGAGAGCGAGGATTGCCAAAATCAGCAGCAGCAACAGCAGCAGCAGGAAGAAGGGCTAGGCATCACTTTTGACGATGATGCCATTGCCAAGCAGCAATTCCCCATCAGTACACCCACTCGCAGACTCTCTGATCAAGCCGTAGTAAGTGCTACAGTAGCTACGCGATCAGAAGGATTGGTCATGGCACCCTCTGACTCATTAGAGCAGATCCCTCCATCACCATCGTCTCCTCCTCCCTCTGCTCCTGGTGGATCCAGTACCGTATCACCTACCCCTGCTGTTACCCGTCGACCCTCCGTGTCTCAAAAGGGTCTCATCGATCTCCTGAACAAGGACTCTGAATCAACGATTGATACTGTCAACACCAGCAGCCCATCAATTGCTACAGAGAGCGCTATTGAAGAAGAGGACGAACGCGTCAGTAGAAAAGCAATTGATGCAGCCGTGCGTGAAGTGTTGTCAGACCCCAAGCCTAGCAACAAGTCAACTGCAGCAGCCAACAACCCAGTAATGCAACTTCGCAAGACAGAACCCTCCATTGACCCCGGATTCCTGTATTTGCAGTTCAACAACTACCCAGACATTGCTCGCGCCATTGACGTATCACCACCACTTCCGGATGATGAAGCTACAGCAAGAACTTTGGCCACATTTGACCGTATCCCTGTGGTAGACTTTCACAAGATTGGTGTATTGTATGTAGGAAAGGGCCAAACGCACGAATTAGAGATCTTGGCAAACACATATGGCTCTCCTGACTATGTGCGCTTCCTTAATGCACTTGGCACCATCCAGCGCCTGCACGGATTCTCTGGTAACACGGGTGGTCTGGATCGTGAGATGGACATTGATGGCCGTTATGCTTACTTTTGGAAGGACGATGTAACAGAGGCAGTGTTCCATGCAGCCACCATGATGCCCACCAACCTGGAACGAGACCCTCAGTGCAGTGCCAAGAAGCGACATATTGGTAATGACTATGTTTCAATTGTATACAACGACTCGGGCATGGACTATGCATTTGACACCTTGCCATCGCAATTCAATTTCATCAACATTGTTGTGTCGCCTCATTCCATCTCTACAGAAGCTGTATCGCCCACACATGCGCTCATCGGCGCAGAGAACTCGTTCTTCAAGGTGGAGATGCAACGCCGACCTGACATGCCCGACATTGGACCGTTGAGCGAGCCTAAACTTGTCAGTGCGCAATCTCTGCCTGGATTTGTACGCCAAGCTGCCATTCATGCCAATATCTTTGCTCAGGTGTTTTGGCAAAGCGCAAGTGCTGGTGGAAAGCGAGAGTATGTATCTCACTGGAGAGAGAGATTAAAGCAGATTCAGCGTGTCAAAGAGAGATTGGCAGGTAAATCTGCATCAGCAGCAGGAGCAGGAGGAACAGCTTCAGCTTCAGCAACTCCCAATCTGGATCACACAATGAGCAGCGCTGGTAAGACGAGTAAAGATGGATATCCCTACGAAGCCTTGCTGGATTTCACAAAATATACATGATCAAATCCTACCTATATAAATAGCATTATTTACCCTTTGCATACGTATACTCTTCAATATTAATAAAACCAAGTGAAGTGCCTTGAATCGCACAGCCTACATTGCACACAATCCGTGTCATTAGCAGCAATACAAGATGAGTGATACTGGATTAAGGGAGGCAAAAGATCCTCTCATAGATTAATTTTATTCTGTGATGAGTTGTCAATAAGTAATCCAGAAATGCATGTAGCGCATTGTTTCAGTCGCGAAAATCAACAAAACGAATTTAGTTTCAATTTTTCGTCAGATTATTGATGAGGATCAGCACCATTTCCTCTTGTAGATTTATATAGTAATATTCGTATAATCTAGTATAGTTTAGTGCTTCATTAAACTTGATCTTAATATCTTTATCCATATTATTTTTCTCAATTGCACCGCCTATTCACGCTGACCTAACACTCTTTGTGTACGCGGGGCAATCCTTCAACAAAATTTTAAAAAACACCTTCAATTTTATCATCTACTCTATTGAAGCCTCTCTTTTACCTTCAACTCTATCATCTACTCTATCATAATGGCTCCACTTAAAGAGTCTAGAAAAACCAGAATCTTTGGAGCACAAAGAGTTTAAATTTACAATGATTGACTCAATTCTAGGCTAAACGCTGTGGTGCAAAACCTGGACTATATATCTTTCGTGAACTCGCTCCAAATTCAAAAGAGGTACACAAATATACACCACCAACCTCTATTGGACAAACAGATGGCACACCAAACAAATAAGGCTACCAACATAGCAACTAAGGCGAATAATGTATTCAAGGTAAATACCTATCAGTGAGCCTGCTTCTTGTCGTTGGCTCTTGATACACGCAGCTGCTTTTTGTGATTTACTTGTGCAAAGTATTGATTTTGTTATCATGACATAATAAACTGTTGGTTCCTAGACACTTCTGCAGCCTCAAAAGGAAACAAGTTGATCTTACAAATGTTTTGGTGGGCTGGAGTTATTAAATATAAGACTTTAAGGAATATACCATGGCCAACTGTAGTACTATGTAGTCCGTCATCTACTTTCCATTAGCTTCAAAAACATCTATTCTAGCCTTCATGATTAGAGGGGCATTGAATTTGCCAGCCAGCCCCACCAGCCAAAATTAACTCAAACACAGACATATAGTCTATTGTAGATTGGCCAAATTTTGAAGAGTTTCGACTCAATTGATCTATTTTTTTAAATTCGACTAAGTAAAATATGATGATCACCCTACGTTTCTTTAAGTTTTCTTGGAGTGCTTTTCAAGGCGCATCCAATGGTACCAAGTAAGATAGATGTTTTGCATAAATTTATTGAATAATTTACGAAAATATGAAAAGAGGTTTCTGGCCAAAATGCTGAAATCTTAGATATCAAAGTCTTACAAAGACAATTTCAGGGGTTACGTTAGATCAATAGAAACATTTTGATACAAGATACTTTTACATACTCTTATCAAGAGAATTACATATTCTTCTCAAGAGATTGATTTGTTATAGAAGTGTAAAGCGTTGTTCATCCTTCGTCCATGTAACGTGTCTTACGATAAATCATTCTCTTTGTTTTGTTCTTCTGAAGAAGATGATTTGTTACAGAAGTGTAAAGCGTTATTTTGATACAAGATATACCATAGCAAAAGTCTACATTATCAAGATCAAAAACGTGATCGTTTGATTTTTGATGAAAACCATGAGGGGTACCTCATGCTTTTTGGTCGATTTTTGGCCATGTTTTTTTTGATCCCCAAAAAGTTGAGCACAGGTGTCAGGAAGTAACTGCCAGATGAGAGCAACTGTTTGGTGCTATTCTGGCGGTTTTAAGCGGCTTCCAGCACAAGAAATTGTTGATCAAATTCACCCATTTCTTGCTGTGCTTTGCATTCTGTCGAATGCCAAGAGGCAATTCAGATATAATGTATGCCTTGATCACTTGTTGAGTAGTGAAATTTGAAGAAATCAATGTATAGGTATGCCAGGACCAAGATACTTCCATCAAGCATAAACCATCGCTAGACTGTGAATAACCTTTATGCAGAAAAATCAGCGGCTGGTTCTGTCAAGTAGCGCTTACGGTATCCAATACCCTTTTAGATGCATATGATACTAGCATTTAATGCAACTATAGATACCGTAGATACTGTAGCAAAAGTCATATCTCTATCAAAGCTTTAAGATATTTTTGGCTATTTTTATATTAAACTACGGGTTGAGCGAACGTAGGTCATTGTATAATTACATGTGTGTATATAGTCCCTCACACTACTAGTGCTTTTGCAACGACTAAATATTTTGCTCTAGAAACTTCTTGAAGTTTGGAATACTTTGTATCCATAGCAATCCAACAATTTGTATATTAGTACATAAACTCTCAAGTGCATTATCCAATAAATGTGTCTATCTCTAATAACATGAGGCATGAAGCTTGCGCAAGACTGCGTGTGTACAATGACTAAATAGCCATCTCTTCCGAGAGGAGAGTTGTATTGCCTACAATGATAGCGGTACTCTGTATGACATCAAACCTAACAATGCTTCGAAATGGCCATAGTCAGACTTTCTCCATTCATCTCCAACCACAGCTTCACGATTCAAGAACATTTATATCAGTGGCACTTATGATATCAGTTGCTTCAAACGGCTTTCTGTTTATACATTGGTTTTAATAAAGAATGTAATAAAAAGACGATGATATAGTAGGCAATGCAAAACTCTTTTTATTATTAATTTGCTTGTAGCTTTATAGAAAACGATGATAATGTATGAGAGTTTGTTTAGATTTGAATAGATGCTAGCTAACTTGAATATAATTTGATTTAACTTGTATAGGTAAGAGATAGTATTGATGTGTGTATTGCAAGGTTTCGTGTATAGAATAGAGACAGCAGATGTGGCAGTATGGCTTGACTTTGTATATACTAGGCAGCATGAGTCTTGGCATTATAATGGATGGCAGGCAGCAGAGATACGAGTATGGCTTGACTTTGTATATACTAGGCAGCATGAGTCTTGACACTATAATAGATGGCAGGCAGCAGAGATACGAGTATGGCTTGACTTTGTATATACTAGGCAGCATGAGTCTTGACACTATAATAGATGGCAGGCAGCAGAGATACGAGTATGGCTTGACTTTGTATATACTAGGCAGCATGAGTCTTGACATTATAATAGATGGCAGGCAGCAGAGATACGAGCATGGCTTGGTCTTGTATACATGTAGAGATGGCACCGTGTATTAAAGTGGTTTTGACATTGCAGGAAATAGATCTACAGTATATTGCGGGACATTGGATTATTACAAAGGATACTTACCTTGTAGCATACTTGATGGACGATGAAAAGAGCAGCTTGAAACACGAGGAGACCAAAAGATGAAGCCAGGCTTCCAGGGCAAACCATCCGCCACAACTTGCATATCCCTAGCAACAAGGATGGGATGACACCTCCCGGGAAACGCACCTAGCGCCTCGTCGCATCACCCTTACGAGCTACCGGGGCAACAGGTGCTGAGGCCACACGAGACAACCACCTTACGCGCATGACCCCTAGACCTCATCCAAGGCTTCAACCAAGTATGGAGTGTTTGCAAGTCAAAATAGAGAGGACCTGAGCTCTATTAATAGAGAGATGGTGAGTCATGCTGCTTTATAAGCTACAAGTGACGAGTACATACCTGCAGAGTTGATTGTATGTTGCTATTATCTAAAAATACGAGGAAAGTGCGACCATGTTTTGCATGGACCGCAACCTATGAGAACCATGGAATTATGAGAGCATTGTGTAAGAAAAAGCCAATCATCAGTACAGTGTTTGATTTACTTGACCATGTATAGAGCAGAAAGAGAGCCCAAGAGTATTGCAGAGAGAGTTCGCTTGCAGAGAGAGTTCGCTTGCAGAGAGAGTTCGCTTGCAGAGAGATTTGTTAATAGAGAGTAGAGATGAGATGATGATGATGATGAAGAAGAAGAAGAAGAAGGAAAAGCTGTTGAAACAACCATCTATTTATATCTTTCTCATCGACTTTCATGTGAGTCCAGTGTCCTTGCCACACTCAAATTCGTTTCCTTTTACTTTTCTCCACGATATACTACTTTGAGCGCGTGAAAATAGTACCATTTTGACGTTTGACACTTGCTCTATTTGATCCGCTTCGTCCGAGGCTTTCAACTGTTTTCTGTCTCGAGTTATGTCCATTTTGCTACTTCAAAAAGCCCTTTTTCCACCTTCACATGAAACGAGTTCCCCCATCTCTTCCTAGATATAATTAACAGACAACTTTTCACTGGCTCAAACCTCATCAAAAAGTAAACAAAAAATGTCATTTGACACTGAAGCAGATGCAGCTGGTTGCTTGATTAAGTAATCTTTTTTTTTTACCTCTCCTTAATTTCACTCTCCAAGACCATACAGTTCTCGATCCATCTCTCTGGTTGTTTACATCAGCCATAAATTGTCCATCTAATCGGACAATACGAGTGTTAAGGTTGGCTTTCTTGTCGTTTACATCACATCGGAGCCAGCATAACTGATTCTGGACCAAGAAACAAGTGTACACCTCGGAAAACAAGCGTGCCATATGAATATTACTGCGGCAATCTCCATGGAATGGAACATAATGGATTGTTTTCGGACCAGTGCAAGTCATCTTGTTTCCAGCTATCATGGTTGCTGTCAATGATGTCAATCCAGTGTTTGCGCTACTAGATATCATCAATATGCCCACATTTACATAGTGAGTTGGTCATTCTTGTGTATCATTCCTGCAACCTGTTTTTAGTTCTTATGCCAAGAGTATTCATCTCATAAAGAGTCAACACGTTTCATATCATTTTTTTTTAGGGATCGTCCTCTTTTAGAAGGTATTCGGATCATGCAAGATCAAAATAATTCATTTGCTAGGCAAAATTAAGCTTTAAAAAAAATCACATGTAAAGTAAACAAAAGGACATGAATTGAAGAGAGATAAGCAAGTAAATGGCCAATTTGTGGTCAAAGAGAGGATATTTTATTAGAAAGTATGTACATCATTAGAAAGCAAATCGCCTGAGGAATCCAATGGTACTATTTTCAGGGTTCTAAGTAAAGTACACATCGCGAAATTCATCAAACAAGGCCGTGGGATTTCCAAAAGAAGGAGGTTTCTGAATTAAACTTCATCTCCCTTCTCCTTGCAAGATTCCTTTGTCTGTATGCTATTCTGTTGCTTTGGATCATGTCACGCTCGTCCCATGTCACCAACCTGTTCTTTTTGGGTCTCACGTTGGGTACGCTACCCATTTGAGAAGGAGTCTCGCTTTCTCGTATAATCGTTTCTGTGGGTATCATTGCCGTTATATTATAGGGCTTTGAGCAATCAAGGAGAGTCTTCTTTTAGCCAGCCAAAACGGATTACAATCCCGCTCGACTTTCTGTCGCGATTCGTTGATTTTTGATCCTTTTGCGACTCGATCGACTTATTTTACGAGATTCGACTATGAAAGTTGTAGTGATCATCCTTTACAGCCTTAAGGCCCCTGGTGGTAGGGCGAAGTGGTAAAACTCCCGTATGCCAACGGGAGGATCCCCGGTTCGAATCCTGGTGAACGCAAGTTGTCTGAATTTTTGACGTAGTACTGATGTCCTCGTTTGGTGTTTTGTACTCTATCCATTATCTATATTTTGACGATTTCCGCAAGACTGTTTTGGCTCTAGGTGTCGCACCTTATTAGCAGTAGATTTCTTTCCCAACTTAGTTCAAAATTTCTTATTCCCCTTCTTTGCAGACATTGGGTCCACCAACAGTCTTTTCTATCCCTCAGTATGACATTTAAAGGACTTTAAATAAAACCTGGAGCTCGTCTCCCCTACAAAAAAAAAAAAAAATTTACAGCCTTAAGCCTTTTTGGCTCTAGGTGTCGCACCTTATTAGTAGTAGATTTCTTTCCCAACTTAATTCAAAAATATCTTATTCCCCTTCTTTGCAGACATTGGGTCCACCAACAGTCTTTTCTATCCCTCAGTATGACATTTAAAGGACTTTAAATAAAACCTGGAGCTCGACTCCCCTACAAAAAAAAAAAAATTACAGCCTTAAGCTATCTAGGTGAAGTTTTCAAGGCGCATCCAATGATGCTAGTTATAATGACTGTTTTTAATGAACTTGTTGAGCAATTCATGAAATTATGAAATAACGTTTTTGGCGAAAATGTCGAGATTTTACATATGAAGGTCCCACAAACATGGTTTCAGGGGGCTGCCCTGAATCGAGAGAAACATTTTGACTTAATATATACCATAGCAAAAGTCTACATTATCAAGATCAAAAACGTGATCGTTTGATTTTTGATGAAAACCATGAGGGGTACCTCATGCTTTTTGGTCAATTTTTGGCCATGTTTTTTTGATCCCCAAAAAGTTGAGCAAAGGTGTCAGGAAGTAACTGCCAGATGAGAGCAACTGTTTGGTGCTATTCTGACAATCTAAAACGGCCTTCAACGTGAGAAAATGCAGCTCAAATGCACCCTAATTTTGCTGTTTTCGGTCTCGCAGGTTGGTTCTCACCAAAATAATACACTGGCTCAGTATGCAACTTGCAAATTACTTGAGCATTAGGGTTACCAAATGAAAATTGTTGATCTCTCTTGCCTCTCGGTAGTAGAGTTAATGAAATGATCATCCAGTGAGGAATTTCAAACGCCTAGAATGCCTTAAAGTTGGCAGACTTTCAGTGCTCAGAAGGAGAAGCTACTTTTAAAAGCGCTATTCTTGGTGCAACACCATCTGTCCGTGCTCTGCGAAGAGTTCTTGAGGCTGAAAGCAGTGATGAGAACTTGGATAACATTGATCTGGCCGGTCTTTCTTATTGAGGTTACTGCTCGATATTTTTAAGTATCGTGATAGCATATGTCCCAAATTTTGTGTTTGTACAGTGCTTCCAATTTCGCATTGTTCCCCGGCTCCCTCATCTTTTATTGAATTGGGTTATGTGGGTTATGTGGTGAGTTATGTTTTTTCCTTTGTCTTCCTTCCCTCTTTCGATGGCAAAGCTCGTCGTAATTATAAATGCTTGCTTTGAATGCAACAGGAAATATGTTAAACCTCAAAAGCTCAGGAAGCATCTAGTAATTCAGCATCTCATTACAATTACAGAGAGAACAAAAGCTCGACAATACAACAACCACAAATTTATCTATGTCAAGACATCTGCCGCGCATGATTCTATCGAAGAGCAGTTTGGCTGTCCTGCTTGTTTCCAACATTATGCAATGATACACGAACTGAAAAACCATTATTATTCAGATCATCCAGAGACAATACCGGCAGCACATCATCAACAACAACAACGTCATACTGAGGGATAGAAAAGACTGTTGGTGGACCCAATGTCTACAATGATGGGGAATAAGATATATAATGAACTAAGTTGGGAAAGAAATCTACTACTAGCCAGGTGCGACCCCTAGAGCCAATACAGTCATGCGAAATCGTCAAAATATATATAATGGATAAGAGCACAAACATCAAACGAGGACATCAGTAATACGTCAAAAATATATCAAACAACATGCGTTCACCAGGATTCGAACTTGGGCGTACGCTTGGCATGGCGTACGCCTTGACCATTCAGCCCAACCGCCAAGGGCGGAGAGGTCAAGTCAGCAGCATACGACAGCAACCATTTCCTTTTATGCAAAGATCTTTTACGGGTGGCAACATTCTGTAAAGATGCATTGGATACTCACAACATGGAAGCTGTCCTTGGTCGAGTAGTTTATTTCTATATCTTGTTGTTGCCGGCAAATGGGTATACGTGTTTCTCAAACTTGGTAAAGTTCAAGTCCCAAACAACCTGCAAGATTTGACGAAATTGGTGATGGATGCTCCTCTCTTGTTACTCATCATTGATGTATTCGAGAGACTTTGCATTCCGTCAGCCCAGGTGCGTAATCTTGGCCGACATCGCCCAACCATTGACACATCACGCTTTAACCAAATATTTTCTTCATCTCAAAATCGAAAACGTTTATGCCCACTTCAACGAAATAACCATTAGTCGATCATATAACTACTCTATTTTTATTTCATTACTATATTCCACCCCTTTCTTTTTATTTACCCCTCAAGTTTTTTTCTTCTGTGAATCTTTATTTTACACAAGTACTTTTCCTAGATTTCATTACCATAACAACAAACAATCATAACCCACCACACAACCCAACCAAAAAATAACAGATGGGGGGAACCGAGCGAAAGAAAAGTGTGAATAGCTTGGATTTGATGTCCTCACCAGCCAACCCAAACACCCAAAAAATGCTGGAGCGCACGACAGCCACCTTTGCCGCACTTAGCATTGTAAACCTGCTTCTTCTCCTACATAATGATGTGATCTAATATGCGTGGTTGGAACGTGAGTGCCCAAGCGCTGGCAAGAGTAAGTACGATGGTATCCTATTCAAAATTGGAGACAAGAAAATTGCTCCCGCGCTTCCGGAGTTTTCTAAAGGCATTCATGATAACATCAACAATGCCAAGGTCAGCAGCAATATTAGAAAGATTTACAAAGGCTTAATGAAGATTATAGAAGCCACAGAGTATCATGCGCTTTTTTGTATTCGTGCCTATGGTAATATTCAGTCTTTTTTAATCGAACAACGCAGTAATCTTCTTTGCAATGCCCAACAATCCAGTACCTGTTCATATCTGTGCTCTAGCAAGTTTCCAGGTGCCATGAATTCAGATGTACCGCAGAAGGTATTTGTCGTATTGTTGGCCCACATATTCTCTTTACAAAGACCATAGTCAGCCAACTTCATATGGCCATCCAGACACAGTATAATGCTATCTAGCTTGAGGTCATGGTAAATGATGCCATGTTTGTGGAAATAATCCAACGTTAGCAAAATTTTGCATGCGTAAAAACGAGCACAAGCCTATGAGTACTGTTCTCTTTGAATCTGTAGCATAAGTTCGTCACCCCCGACGTACTCCATGACATAGTATATACGAATTTCCGTCTGGGAGGTACAGTGTAAATTAACCAAGAAGGGGATGCCGCTCTTCATTTGCTGCTAAAAACACACGTTTCTGGGATTGAGTGCCAAATGATGGATTTAGCATAGACACACTCACAATTTTAGACCTGATCTTATCTCCACTTCATCATTGTCCAAGACGAAACTCCTTTTCAAAATCTTGATGGCACATCTGCCAGCTTGATTGCACCTGATACAAACTTCATACAGGCACTATTAGTTTGATGAATTCTCTATCAGGTTTAGTTGGAAAATTTCTTTTGGGTCGAGATATATGCTAGAAATGTTGGCATGCAATATTGCTGGTACAAGAGATGGTTTATTTGATAATTAAACTAATCGTGGAGAGGCTTCTTGCGTCTGATGGTATCAATAGCCTCAAATTACTGAGTAGGCCATGCGCTCTTCCACTTTTGGGCTCGATATAGTCCTGATGTAATGTGGCTGGTAGATTCCATAAACATAATCAATTCAGGTCTACCCGGTAAAATCCACACCGAGAATTAGGCTGCAAGGCGGGGCTGCACAGTGCTACATCAACTGAAATTGTATGGTTGTACACAGCCCTCTTCTGTACAGAAAGAGAGACGCTGAGAAGCAAACAACATAATGTTACCACACCCACGTATCCATCTTTTTTCCTTTTCCTCTTTTTTTGCTTACAAGATTCCATTTACTATGCAAAACTACGGTAACCAGCCACCCCCACCTCCACCTTCATCTCAGGGTTATCAAGGGTATGACCAGCCATCTCAGCAGCATTATCAACAGCACCAGGGTCATTTTGGTGGTATCACTGAAAGCTTTAGTCAACTGAATGTGGGCGAACGTTGGAATGACCTTCAATCTCATATGCATCGACCTGGTAGACACCATCATCAGCAAGAAAACAACGCTCCCCCTGGTGAAGTTGTCTGTGGACCCTTACTGCGTTACATTGATATCAACTATACAACTCGTCAGTGGCGTGGGTCCATCTTGGTCGTCTCGACTGATCACTATGCTCCACCCATCGAGATTCAGCTGACTGAGCCTGCTACTCAACGCAGCACCACGATTAAACCTCAAGCAGTCGAGCGATTGGATACGTATCGCAACAAGTACCATTTCTGGAGATACGACGTGCGTTTACCCCTCACAGATCAAGCCCAAGTAGCCACTTATTCCACTGCACATAACAACTGGGCTCAGCCTTCATTTCAAATGCACTTACCCGCTTATTTTGAATCCATGCGTTTCATGTTTTATTCCTGCAACGGTTTCTCTGATGTGCCTCAAGAGATCAAGGATAAATTTGGCGAAAAGGAAGCTCCTCTTTGGGCTGATGTGTTGGATCGTCATGAAGTGCTGCCTTTCCATGTGCTGCTCGGTGGCGGTGATCAGTTGTACCAAGATCGCTTGATCAAGGAGGATTTCATGAAGCCTTGGGTGGATGAGAAGGATCCCGCAAAGAGATTGGCCATGAACTTGAGCGATAATATGAAGCAAGGTTTTGAAGAGTTCTACTTTACAAATTACTGTAAAAATTTCGGGTTGGTGCAACATGAGTCTCTGATCACGATAGCATGGATTAACATGTTCTTCTTGTTGTAGATTCAAGGAAAATCCAGTGGTTGCAAAGGCATTTGCTACTATTCCATCCATGAATATGTGGGACGATCATGTAAGATGCGCATTTGAAAAAAGAGACGCTGAGTAGATGTTGATGTCATATGTAGGACATCATTGATGGTTATGGCTCATATCCAGCAGATATGCAGCGAGCAGAGTGTTTTCAAGGTAACCATAGGCATTTAGGGCACAGCATCAGTGAGACTAATAAGGATGTTTTTCAGTGTTATTTGCGAATGCTTGCCGATTCTACTTTTTGTTTCAACAGCACACTACCATCGAATTAGCTGGCCAGCATGGTATGATTCAGGGAGCACTGCCTACTTGTCAGAATCTGGTCTCCACACTTGGCCCTGACATTGGCTTCTTGTCCCTTGATTGCAGAGGTGAGCGTACAAAGCACGATATCTGTAAAGCTCAGACATATGATATTGTGTTTGATGCATTGCAAACAATGATCCCTCCTACGGTGAAACATTTGCTTGTGCTCACTGGTGTACCACTCATCTATCCTCGCTTAACCCTCTTTGAGAACCTGATGGACGGTGCCGCAGGATTCAACTTGGCCACAATTGCCGGTAAAACGGGCGCCTTGGGTGACATTATTGGAGGCCAATTGAACAAATGGAACGGTGATCCCGAACTACTGGATGATATGAATGACCGTAAATGCTCAGCTTGACAGAGACTGAAATCAAAGTACTCACACTATTTTACGTAGATTGGACCGCTGGTAACCATGAAGTGGAGAGAAAAAACTTTATCGAGAGACTGCAACAATATGCACGTGAAAGATCCATCCGTGTGTCCTTCTTGGGTGGCGACGTTCATTGCTGTGGTGCAGGCAAGATGTACTCCAAAGACATGAAGGAGAAGGAAGAGGGCGATCCCTACTTTATGGTGCAAATCATCTCGAGTGCTATTGTCAATGTGCCACCTCCTCAAGCCCTATTAACAGTGTTGAACCAGAATTCTGGCTTTATTACGTTCAATGGCAACACAGAAGAACGCATGTATAATCTCTTTAAGCGATCACCTAACGGAAACACAAGACAGAACAAGAAATTGATGGGTATGCGAAACTATTGTGCAGGCTACTATGATGAGCAAACTGGCAAGATGAATTTCTGGATCCAGGCCGAGAAAGAGGTTGGCATCAAAGGAACCATGGGCTATCTGATTGATGTCCCCAAGTTGCTGTTTGGCCAAGCAGGCTACCATTTGTCCCATCAGAACAAGAGACAGGTGTTGAGTGATCTGATGCAAATGCACCAACAACAGCAGCAGCCCTTCTTTGGCGGTATGGATCGATTCCATCATCATCATCAAGAGCAAGAGCAAGAGCAAGACAATGGTGGAGGACACTTTCATCGATTGCAATCAAAGATTGGCGGCTTCGTGATGCCACAGCCAAACAACTAAATCCCCTTTAATAAACCCCTCGTCCCGAAAAATTTGACAGTCTTTAAAATGTGGATATTTTTTTTATATTTTGATCCTCTTTCTTTGTACATACCACCATTGGAGCAGCCATATCGACTATGACCAGTAGAAAGCGGTCAAGGGATCAAGTCGAGGAGGATGAAGCACACCAAGATCCTCGCCTGTTGACCAGGATGCAGATTGTGCATGGCCTCAACAACATCTGGCACAGCCATCCTACGGCTGAAACGCACAATGCACTGGTTGACCAGCTTAAAGACATTGGCTATGTCTACTTTAATGAATATGTTCGAAGACCCAAGGACAAGCATCTACAAGCGATCCGCAAATCCAACACGCTCACGTCTCTGCAAGATATAGCAGAATTGGAGCACGAACGATATGACAGCGACAAACTGAAACTGCCTCGCTTTGACCATCACCCTATCGTTGTGGCCGAGAGCAACCATTTCATATCAGCGATACAGCATCGATACCGCAATTTCAAGCGTATGGGATCGCCTACAGGGCTCAAATCATTATCAAACCACGTTCGCAGGTATTATCTGTACCAAGCAATGCAGGAGCATGAGATGGAGCATGGCCCGATGGATGAAGATTTTGCGCTGTCCATGGTCGGCAACAGCTGCTGGACACCCACGGAAAAGAGAAAGTTTTTTATGGCGGTGGAACGTTGCGGTCGAGGCGATGTAGTAGAGATCAGTCGACGTGTGGGCCATACAAAGACGATAGCAGAAGTGGGAGCCTATTTGAATCTGCTGGACGGTGCTGCCAAGGCAATTGGGGGTTATGAGCCAGACGAAAAGTATACAGCAAGAGAAATGTCAGACTTTTTTCTGATGCAGGAGACGAGAATGGCATTGATTTTGGAGGCCAAATTGGAGACAGAGTCTTACGCAAAGCATCAAGAGCTGATGCAGCATGAGAGTATACAAAAGTCGCTCGAGCTGTTTGAGATTTGGAATTTCTCATCCATTACTCGCATGTAAGTGTGTGCTATAGTCAACAGTGTAGGCGAATGGTGGTAACTCGAGGTATGCCTTTAGATTTGCTGAAATCAACGACATGACCGTATTATCCAGCTCGCTTGTTCAGTATTACCAGCTCATCAAAAAGTTTGTGCTCGATATCCTGACTGGCGTGTACACTGAATTATTAGACAGCGAAGACAAGACAGTAACTCGATCCCTGATGAATCATGTCATTGCGAAGCGAAAAGAGACTTGGACCGATATGAATAACAGCAAGGATGTTCGATTGTCGAAGCTAGACATACTTTCCATGATTGATAGACGATACAGATATCACAAGGCGTTTTCAGACCATCGGTCTGCCAGTTTCTTGGCCAAGAAAAGAAGAATGGCATGGCAAAAGGCAGACGACGCTGGGAAAGAAGAAGAAGAAGAAGACCAACAAGAAAAAATCATTGAAATTGATTCTGACGATTCTGATCGAGAATCAAGTGATGGTGTCTATGACAGTGATGACGATGACATGTTAAAGCCGTTCGATGAGGAGGATGAGTTGAGGGGACAATACATATCTCAGGACAATGCAAAGCAGCACTACTTTGAAAGTTTGAATCAAGAATTGTATAATAATATTGATGTGGTGGACGTGAGCGATGGGAGCTGGGATGACGAAGACTGGGAAGACGTTGATACAGAGCAGGAGGAGTCCTTAACTGGACAAGACGACACCATCAACACAGCCAACGACATGAAAGAAGATCCAGACGATGAACTCCCAGAGGATGACTCGGAAGACGAGTACGACGAACTTGCCGAAAAGCGAATGCAACAATTGGACTACATTCATGAACAAGAACTCACAAAGCACCTTGATTTCGTCGATGCCGATACGCTACTTTCTCAACTGCACCTTCGACGTCAGTGAAAAATGAAACTCTTTCTATATAGTATATACCCTTTATCCCAATATTTTCTATTATATCACACTGCCCTACCGCCCTTTTCACTCGCTTTAAGAAAAAAAAAGTACAAAATAGCACCATCCAACATACACACATTTGCACACTCATATTTCCATAGTATACAATATTTATTCAAATGACTTTAAGCTACGAATAAATCTATCCACAGCAACTCTAAAGAGTTCATTCGAAATGTTGCCTGGTGGAGGAGGAGGTAAAGCGCTGGATGTGGTTGCTGTGGTAGTTGTGTTGGTGTCATCCTGTCCTGCTGTTGCTGCGGGTTGAGAATTTTGCAAGAATCCTTGACTTATCTCCCAACGGGTATCATCAAATCGCATCAAACCGTTCTTAACTACAAATTCCACATACAATTGAACATGGATTTGCTTGAGCACCAATCTCAAACTCTCGGTATTAGGGTCTGAATTCATGACAAACTTAAGACCAGTGGGTGTTTCGTAATAATGTAAGCGATATGTCGAGGTTTTGTAAGAAATAAATCCATCTTGACTATAAGTGTGCGAAAGCGGTTAATATCGCAGGACAATGCTCCTCTTGAGCTCACTTACTTGCCACTCAATTTACGAACAAAGTTACGTAAAGACAAAACCACACCATACACAAGCTTGGCTTCTTCTTCAATAGAGATGACGCTTCCTGCAGCCAAACCGCTTTGTTGTGTGATGCCAGTAGTTTGAAGCTGATTTGTTGCATCATCTGCACCAGCACCACCGTTGCTACGTATCAAACTAGGTGATCCACCTTCTGCTGCTGCACTGGATGATGTTGCACTTGATGTTGAGAAACGTGAAGAAGAGGTGGCTAGACCACCTAAACGACTGCCAGAGTTCCCAAGTTGACTATTGTTATTGCTAGCATTGTTGGAAGATGTAAGATTGGTGCTTGCATTGCTAGATTTGTTGTTGTGGCTCCATTTTTGAAAGTAGATGCACTGACAATGACGATCAAAGATGTAAAGGTTGTGGATAGTCATCTCTTCTATTTGAATAAATGGAAAAAAGAGGTTAGAATGAAGCGTGTAATAAAAGGGGCTTTCAACAAATGTGCAATCTTATCGGTATCTCAATATCTATCCAGCAACAAAGTCTTTGCTCTATCAAATAGGTGGATTGCTGGTAGCATTTCTCACTTTCTCAGTGAGCTGACAATGGCTACAGATTTCAGAGATACTGATTGATATACTTTTGTCTAAAATGCCTAAATATTGCAGCATTAGACTAGCAAAAGATACTTAAAGACGCACTCTCAATGTAAAGTAATAATTATATCACCAATGAAATGTTGCTGGGAGCTCTTAGCGACCATACACAGTACTTGGTAAATATTGACAGGCACAAGAATAGACCAACAATGCAAACAGCAATATTTGACTAAGGTTACAACAATAGACGGAGTAGTGATGTCCTTTAACAGTAAATCGAGGCGGTATGTTGCCCTGGTTGCCATTATTGTTTTGCGCTTCAAATAGAAGTCGTTATCTTGAAGACCAAAGATAGTTGGCTTACAGTTACCTTCTTTTGCGATCAAATTTACGAGTTTAATTTTTATTCCTTCAAACTAACATTGCCATTACAAAAGGCACTAGTTGTCCAGTAGATTCATTTGTTGACTCAATTAGTCAATCTTTCTACAAAAAAAGAGATTATGAAATAATCGAATACTGTTGCAACCTTATGCATTTTCAGATGAGGATTATGTATAATCCTTAAAGTATAAAACGTCGCACTGAATTTCTCGAAAGCAAAACGGTTGTTTTGGGGCAGGATAGCCAAAATACAGTTGTAACAACAACATGAACAATACTGTGTTAACGCAGATCCTATACTGTATAACCTACCCACATAATAAGTTTAAAAGACACTTCCCGCATTAAACTGTGTGATGGATGCCAGATTCAACAAATGCACCTTATTAACTTCTTGCTATTGAATAAAGAACTTGAATTGTATCCACGGTATTTTGCTACCCTTTTATTACAAATATAAACTCATTATAAATGACAGCTCAATAGGAGATCAATTAGCTAGAATTCTTCGGTCCCTGAACCTTTCAGCCAATCAAATTGCTTGAAAACTCCGCTGACCTAAAAAAATTTTTGCGAGGGTTTCCCCCTGTTTTGATGTGAGGCAAAATTTTAAGCGCCGCTATAATAGCAATATAGCTGCTGCTATTATCAAATTTCCCCCAGGTGCTAGAGCATGCCTTACTTACACCACCTAGTTTTAGATTCTGGCGTTGAGACCCTCAATCATCACTAAAGTAAGTAGTGATAACCAAGTGGAGGCAGCCGATCTACCTCCTAGCCTCGGATAAGTTCATGTTGAGCTTCAGGGATAGGCACATCCACACAACGTAAAAAAGGTATGCTTCAAAGAAACATAATAAGAATAAAAGAAAGAAGAAAAGAACATACTACTATAGGACTATAATAGTACGTAGGCAAAAAAGGGATACTCACACAAAGTGATTCAAAGAAAAGCATAAGAAATAAAACATTAGAGATGTTCAGAACAGCTCATTGTTGTTGCAACAAAAATACATACATGAGCAACACGCATGGTAATAGTCAGATGCAGAGCAACACAAACACCACGCACAACTGCAAAAGCAACGGTGGTATTATAAGCTTGCAATAGAACATAATGACTAATGTTGTTTCATGTGAAGCCACAGAGGCAACACAATCAACAAAAGAAAAAGAAAGACGCAACAAAGAAAAAATCATGAATGCATTATCATGAGGAAGGAAGCAATAATACAAACGTTCAAAGAAGGTTCATATCATCGCGGCCAGAAGAAAAAAGATACTTACCACTTATCACCACCATAAATAGACCACAGAAGAGGCAATCACCAGAGATAGGCCAGATATAAACCACAGATAGACCACAGATAGACCATAGAACAACCATACAATAAAGACAGTAGACCAGGAAAGACCAGATTACCAGCAGCAGCACCCACGTAAAACAGGCAAAAGAAATATCAAAGTTTAAAAAATATATACGTTTAATGTTAGTTCTACACCTTCCAGTGCACATAATCAAATAATACCTTCTATATTACACGTCAGAGAGGTAATGTCAGGCTCTTCTAGCAGTACACGGCAGTGTTATCAGAAGCAAGAGTGCTATCTTCAATCAAAACGCTTTTAAAGAAAATATTATGGTTTGATACTAAACGCGTTTTGCAAACGGAGGAAACGGAGAAAAAAAAAATAGAAGGGCAGCGCCTTATCCGACGTCACCGTCAGTAGACTTGACCTCAGCCCTCTGCTGAGGCAATTGCGGTTGCGGCACTTGAACATGGATTTGTGCAGTGGCCATTTTCGTATTTCAACTTGACTTGATTTTACATTTTCTAAACGTTTTTGTCAAATTCGACTATAGAAACTGTCGTTGTCAGTCTTTACTTTCTAATGTGTCTATAAAAAGTCAATTAAGGCGCATCGAATGATGTTGGTTGCATTGAGATCTCAGATTGAAAATAATGAGCAACCTTCAACGATAGGAATAGAGGTTTTCCGCAAAAATGTCCAGATTTAGCATATGAAAGTCTCATAAAAGTAGTCTCCAATGTTGCATTCCATCTTTACAATCAATTTGATCTCATATGTATCATAGAAAAAGTCTTCATTTTTGGGTGAAATATGCGATCGTTTGATTTTCAAGAATTTTCCCTTGCTAGTACTCATGTTAAAATGATGATTTTCATGGATTTGCAGTGACCTAAAAAAATTTGAGATAAAGCATCAGTAAGTAAAGCGCAACCAAGGGGAGCCGTTTGGTGTTACTCCAAGCGCATAAAACGCTTTGTGGCATGAGTTATTTGTGTTTGAAAACGGTTAGATTTGGACTGAATCTGACCTATAAGTAAGGCGTTGTAGGTCGTATTTGTAATGAAATAGCCACCCAAACGCAACTTAATTGAAAACCAAAGTTCACCAAATAGCACTCATTCAAATGCATGCTATTTGGATCTATTAATAAAAGCGCTCAAATGTACATCAACAACCATTTAAACATACTAAAGTAAAGATACATGCTTATATCGCACATCGTGTGAATGAATCGCTCCTGATCACAGTGTATTCAATCACACCCATGATGGTCGTAATAAGAGATGTTATCTTTATCCAAATAAAATCAAATCAATAACAAGCATATTCAAATATGACAACTATGCCCTGCTGCCATAGTTGCACAATATCTCAGATAAAGGGTTCCATACTTCAATAACAAACATCACACTTTAAACCATCAAAGTTATATTAAACCATGCTATGACGATAGCTCACCCGAGCCCATCAAGGTTACTCAAATCGACCCTTATGGCCAGTGCTCTTGCATTGATTACCACTTTAAATCAAACATCAACAACATTTGCCAGATATCGCAATAGCAGCACCTACTGCTCTCTACCATCACTAATCCTACAAGCTAGTTGCAAATGTATAAATACTCTTCTTTTTTTTTTTTTTACTAAATTCCAGGATCTTCAGTTCATTTTATACACAAATAAAATACAGTTGATTTCTATTGTATTTTACTATTGCTTTATTTTTTTTTTTTGTGAAATCTATTCAAACCTGATTTCACTGCAGATCGCTCAAACGCTATTTTTCGCTACAACCGTATAGTGGCGCATATAGGTTTTCTATTGTGCGCCAACATTAGTCAATACACGCTTTGGATTTATAGTATTTTATAGACTTGAGCACCGTATGGACGTTTCTGTGCTATTGTTATTGAAGAGGAAGGACGTACCGTATTTTTGCCATGGTAGAAAGCATCGCAGTAGGTATCCAAACAAGGTTTCATTTTGTAGAGCAAACACAAGAAGCAAAATTTATTAGTTTATAAAAAAAGAAGCCTGGTTGAATTGGCAGCTGTACTAATAATAATAATACTGTCGAAAAAACACTGGTTTTCTTTATATCAATTGCTTATATCATCTAAAAATCCATTCATACAATGTTCAGCAGCCTCTCAATGTAGGTATATAACTTTTCTGATATGAAAATCTCCAACAACATCAACATGAGGCGTAAAAAAGCCACACTACTACAACCAAGCAAGATATCACCAACAAGCACTTTTTAAATACTACGTTTTGCAACATCTCATCCATCATCAATCTATTATTCGTAACTGTTTGTAATTAACGCTAACAGGTTCTTATATCAAGCTCATTTCTCATTAAAATTGCCTTATTCCCAAAAGCCTTCTATTTCTCACCAACAACCCCACCATTCAATCCAAAATCAAAATACACCATTATCGTTTTTCTCTATAAATTTCTATACAAACTTGCTACTTTCAAAGCGAACTTCAAAGCGAAATTCAAAGAGAAACAAAAGCGAATAGAGAAAAGCCAGGCAGCGATGATTCCAAGGTATAGCCTCTGCCACAGGTCCATCCATTGACAAGCCATGTTGGACTGTCTTGTAGGGAGGACTAGGACATTGAGATCAGACGGATTTTTCATGTTACCTTCCCTCCTTTCTTTTATATTCAATCCAAATCTGTTTCTGTCTGGCTTCTACGAAATTGACATTGCATTTTCAAGAGATTTATTAGTACTTTTTATGAATTGAACTTGCGTTTTTCCAAAACTAAGTGGAAACCCGTACGGCTTACAAGAAAATGTGCCCTACTTGATTTTAACATTCCGTTTGGCATGTTGTGTTGAGAGGTTTGCATCATTTCAAAACTCGTTACTGCCTTTTTTCCTTTTCTTCACCATTTCTACCATCAAACATCATGCCTGTTCATGCTGCCACCGTGGCTACTGCTGTAGGCGCACCGTCGACGCTGAATCTAGACAACGATCGATCGCATGAATCCATCTTGCGACTTGGCGACGAGCTGATCTTTTACGATCAAAATAACAACATGCTCACAGCCGAGAACCCTCTTGAAACTCGTGCCTGTGTACGACCGTCTCAGCCGTCGTTTCTCTCTACGCGCGACGCTATGGGCACTAGCATCTTTAGACTAGAACCACAGCAATCACATGCTGCACAAAAAGAACTCGAAACATTTGTGGGCGAAGACGATATCGAAAGTCTTTCATGTGAAGCGAGCATCGAGGAATTGGAGCAATTAACCATATTACAACACAAGGCTGACAAGGAAATTGCTCAAAATGAAGCCGAAAAGCGTCGGCTATTAGGCAAACCAGTGGTGTATGGTCAGGTCATTCAATTATTTAACCAGCATTTTAAGAAATACTTGACAGTGACAGGCAAAACATGCTTCAACAACAAAGGTGCTCAACATCGGTTGCAGGTCAATTTATCGAGCGAATTTGTAGGCTACTTTAGGATCATGCCTCGCTACAGGATCCGGTTTGTGGGCGATGTCATTCGCGTGGGCGATACGGTGGCATTGCAGTGTGTTCGACCTGAAGGCTACCTGAATGTGGATTATGACAGCAGCGGAAAATCAAACTATGAAGTCTATTCGCATACTCGGCTGTCATCGTGGACCATGCGGCTGCATTATTCATCCACATCGGATCAGGATACCAAGCATATCAAGTATACAAACGCTGGGCAGTATGTCAGGTTTTATCACAAGGAAATGGAGTCTTATTTAGAGGCGCCATCCATTTATGGGTGAGTAGAATGCATTGGGTATACTGCACGAGTGAGGAGTATTGACATGTGATTGACAGAAACAACGTCGTCATGCTCAAAAAGCACATTATCAATCCATTGGATCCCAAGGAAACAGAGTCGCCTCAAGCGTTTTGGGAGGTATATATCAGGCACCGTGTTGAGCAAAAAAGATGATACTGATGCTTTCATTGCAGATTGAGAATGTGGACATGTCTCGTGGATCCAAGGTGCGCTGGAGGAAATCCATTCGAATTCGACATATAGCCACACGAGCCTATCTCTCTATTGATCCCAGCAACATTCGTATTGATCCGGCCACCGGAAAGACCTGCTTGTCATTGCAGCTGGTTAAAGATCCACCTCGTCCATTTGACTCGAGCCAGGACAGCACACTGTTTCAACTGGTGCCTGTGTCAGCTCCCTCCCTCACTGGAGTTCCTTACGGCTCGTTTCTTCGCATCAAGCATACGCTGACAGATTGCTGGATGCATGCCGCCTCGAATGAGGATGAGGATGCCGCTAGCACGAGTGCAAGCGATGTGCCTAAATTTACCATTAGCAATCCGTCTTGTTCCTCTTTGCCTGCCAGTTCGAAACCTACTAGACCGTCACCCCTTTTGCAAGCGCCCAGTAGTTTTATGGCAACTAGAATCCACCATGAGCGATTCAATTCAACGGAATCTCTCTTCTCCAACATTATGGACAGCCAGCAGCAACAACCCGACTATTTTGATGTGGATATGGTCAACGATACGCTCCCAGACTTATCTGATGCTTACCTTGATATCTCTGCCGCCCAAGACTTGTACTATCATGATTGTTTCTCCATTACACTGGTAGATCAAGAGTTGGCAGATACCTTCAATTACGCCAATGAAATGTTGCCACCTTTGCAGCGTTTCCTGTGTCAACCGAGGCCCATCAACAAGGATACGAGTGTCAGTTTCCCTATCCTGCAGGATGAATACGAGTCCATTGCCAACATTCTGAGAGCATTGATACGGTTCTGTACAAAGAGCAATGAATCCGATCCTTTGAAACGAGTTGGGTTGCCAATTGAGTACCATCAAATACTTGTGCGAGATATAGGCATCATAAAGACAGTGATTGATATGATTGTCGTGCCCTTCAACCTTACGAAAAGGAGAAAGATCAGAGAAAAGTTACAGCGCCAGACACAACAGTCGTTCAAGCAAGCTGTCGATTGTACCACAACAAGCCCTGACGAGAAGGAAGTGACCCGATCAGAATTACTGCTGAATACCCAATTGAAGCACATCTTGACACTCTGCTACCACCTTTTGCGCGTGTTCCTCGTCCGTAGACCATCCGCCCTGCAAGAAGAAGACAATGATGGCACTGACAATGATGGACCAGGCAGAGAAAACCAGTTCTACGTCTTCAACAAGGCAGGTGAGCAGGGCATTGCTTTGTTCATTGAGCATCTCTCGTACAATGTAGGTGCTACTGATATGCTGATTCGATTGCTGGAAGTGGTGGAACAGCACAATGTAATTACACTGTCCATTGTCACATCGCTGATTGAGAAATCCCTCGTGCGGACGTGTGACATTACTGAGGAGCTTAAGAAAGGTGTTCGTGTCGAGGACACGCAGCAAAGAGTCACCTGTATAAGGCTATTGAGCGCGTTGTGCCAAAAGGCAGCGAGTCCAGCCTCCTACCGCAGTAGCAAGAATACCGCTATAAAGGCTGACACCGCATCTCTCTTCTTGCTGTATCGCGAAAGAGTCAGGGAAGGCTTGTTCAGTCGTAGTGGAGCGTGTTTGCTGCAAACGAAGGTGGTAGATAAGCATGTGCAAGTTCAGTTTGTGAATGATATGTGGTACGATTTAGGCGACTTGCTCCAGCAGCAACCACACATGCTGCTTTTCATAGAAAGTTTGTTGGATTTGGTGTATTCCTTGTCTAATGAATCACATTCCAAGACGGATGGCTTCATGAGTCAGTGTATCAGCAGAGAAGTCTGCCTGTTATGCCTAAAAAACACTGCTTTGCCTTGCACCCTTCGCTCCAAGTTTTGTGATCTGTTGAGAGGTAATTCTGAGTGATTTCTTGTACAGGATGATGTGCTAATATGCGGTTCCTTAGTCCTATACGTAGATGTATCAACATTTGAAAAGGTGGCTTTGACTGACTACACTATTTATACGCAATCGATCAACAACAATACCGAATACTATCCATTTGGGTCTTCTGGCATCGAAGCTGAATTCTTTCAGAGCCTCAAGCGTTGGATATTCCGTTTTCTAGATAGTCGACATCATGAGGTATCAAGTAGCCTTTATTGCAGTGAATACATTCAAATGCTCATGTAGACGTTTTGTATAGTTTATCGAGGACTCTGATGATATCCAGTTCTTGTCGTCGGTCTTGCAGCTGGTGCATACACAATTACGTCTTGGATTCTTTCAAAAAACAAGAGATGTGGGTATACTGTTCAGAGCACTTGTCCATGTCTTGGATGGACGCACAGATGCAAGGTAGATACAAAACGAAGCTGAGCGTGGGGCTGTTTGCTGACACTGATCTTCGCATACAGAAATGAGGAGCACTGCAAGTACATTACAGATGTCGACACGCCTCGCAAATGGCGTGAGCGGTATGTTTTGACCGAGAAAAACATGTTTGTCATGAACACAAAGATACAGATACTGCATATTTTCGACTTGATATTTGATTTGCGACTTCGAGTGAGAATGTCCAAACTAGCAAACACTTGGAAAGTGGTGACAGAAAAGTAAATGCTGCTTGCATGCTCATGTTCTTTGTACTCACCCATCTCATTCACAGTGACGCAGCAGAATACCACACGTCTCCGAATGCATCAGGACTTTTGCTCATGCTGTCCGTATTTGAAGAGACAGAACTGAGGGACAGAGAGGAAAGTCTCATGCCAATACTAAAGGATATTCTCAAGTATCAATATGCTCCTCTCAAAGAGATAGTCGTTGTCGTCATGCATAGGCTGTTTACAGACAGTCAAGGTACGTCTTGCCATCAAGTATTCATCACAATAACTCATAGCCACTACGACTAGAACTGTTCAAGGAGGTAGCCAATGCTGTTGTTCTTAGAGACCCTGAGCAAGCTCAAGTCTACAAGACCATCAAGCAGCAGCTAACACAACTGCAACGTATTGTCTACAGTAGTAGATTCACTGACGATCACTGCCTTTTGCACCTGTCGCAGATATCCAACATCACTCAAGAGCTGCAAGAGCTTGTTACAGTGCCAACCGACAGCGAAGGTGTCCCCATTTACGATGAAAGCGTCTACTGTCGCATCTTCAAAAGCCTCGATGCCTGTGATTTCCTAGTGGATGTGCTGGTATCTTTGCTAAACATCTCTGCCAAGCACTACCACGCCTACATTGACACTATCAATGCCTGTTTGGGCCTTCTCTGCACTATCACCAGTAACGATAAGGAGCTGCAAACTCAATTTGTGCTCTCCAACATGGATCTGCTCATCAGTTTGACTGAACTCTCAGCAAAGATTGCAGTGACGTTTGCGCAATTATGCTCCAATAACCTGTATCTCAGTGTTCACATCAAAGAGGACCATATCATTCGTCTGCTAGAGATATCTGAGGGTCATCAAGGCGAGTATTTGCTTGTGTTTCATGATCTCATGAAGACACAGGGCAAGTTTATCAAGCGAAACCAGGATATCGTGATGCGATTCTTTATGGACCACCGTCAAGACTATGTACCCTTTGATTCTGTGGAAAAGCTCAAGAGCATGCACAATTCGGATTACTGCATTCATCTGATCAGCATGCTGGCTATTTGTGGGCAAGGCGAGAACACGTTTGGTCAGTCTTTTGCACGCACTATATTCTCCATCCAGGACATTTACGACATTGTGCACGACCAACATGTATCCATCCAGCTCAAATCAGTCATGCTCAAGTTTTTGGCCTCCATTTACATTGAGGATGTCGAGTTGGTATCAGAAGCACCCATCTATGATAATGAAAATATCGTTCAATTAATCAAATTTTCAGAAGATGCCATCACTCAATGCATCTACACGTCGTCGCCATCAACACAACAGCAAGACCAGAGCAATGACTATTACGTCCTTGTCTTTCGTGGCGTCCTGGCATTCCTGAGAGCTGTATTTGAGTACCACATCTCAATTGAGATAGCAGTGTATGAGATTTATCGCTACACACACTTGGTCGACCTCACTGTCAAACTACTGCCTCTGGCCTACCGAGATGAAAAAGCATTGCAAGCAAATTTGGCTTGCTTGGATAGTATGATTAACGTAGCAGGCTTTAGAGGTAGTATGAGCCCCAGGGAGCTACGTGATATTCTCAAGGATGCTACAATGACACTGGATAGGCTGTATGCTAGAAACCGCCATCATCATCAGGAACAGCAATCCACCTTTACATCCATCAGTCATTTGATGTCTATTCAGGATACAGTGAATATCAGTTTCCAAAAACTGTTTCAGGAAATCAAAACTAGTAAAGCAGTAGAACAGTACCAGCAGCAAGAATTTGATAGGCTCTGTAAGCACCTAAAAGAGAATGAAAGCAAATATTAACCAACACATTCTATTAGGTTCTCATTTTAGCTTGTCTGGCGACAGCGCCATGGATACAGACGGTAGTATCGAGTCTTTGATCGCCTATCTTTCTACCATGACGACATCGAAAGTCAATAAACGGGTTGAGTATTATCAAGTAGCGACTATCAAATTACTCGAAGAAGTGTCCCGAAAGTACATTCGACAGAGGACCGAGACGGATCCCAATGCAAATCCTAGCCGTTATGAAGCACTAGAAAAGAAAAAGGTCAAGGCTCAAAACGCATTGAATGATTTGGGCTGTACACTGGTGGCTCAAAACTTGCTCTCGTCCCCTAGACGACGTATCTTTGATGCTGCTCTTAAGCTACTGATCTCGTTGCTCGATGGAGGCAATAAGAATGTTCAGGTACACGATGCATCTTTACATTGGACAAGTAGGGAGGCTCATGCGTTTTCTTCTTGACAGGACAAACTGGAAGAATACTTTTACAGCATTCGAGAAGAAAGGTTCTTTTATTCGTTCCATCAGCGCTTGCAAAGCGGCATCAACTCATCCAAAGACGCGCAAATCTATCTGACGAGACGGATGTACAAGATGAATCGCCAACAACACATGCTGGACAATGTCATGCAGCAGCAAGAAAAGGCCACTAATAGCACTGTTACTAGACGCAAAAAGAGCAAATCCATCAGTCTGGTGGAATCTAGCTTTGCCGCACCCATTGCAGCTAGCAAAAGAAACAGCTACCATATGATGGCTCGAAAAAGAGCATCCAGTATCTATGTCAACCAGCAGCAACCATTGTCCATAGAGTGTAATGAGCTGTACAAGGATATTTCACAATTGATGGTGACCAACAGTGAAACAACCTCTGAATTTGGCTCTACAGCAAAAGACTTTAAAGTGATGCAAGATACAATGAGAACACTGCAACTGATGGTGGAAGGACACAACCTACACTTGCAAACATACCTGGCCAAGCAGCCCGACAACATCAAAAGCTTCAATATTGTATTGGATGTGGTTGAATACTTTCATGCTATTGTGCCTCTTTGCAATGAGCAGAATATAAAGTTGATCATACAAGTGTTGGATACAATTACAGAGCTGGCACAGGTAATATATAGCTATAAGGGGGCACAATGTATTGCATTAACACGCTCTGTATGTATAGGGCTGCTTGCAAAATCAAGTAGCCATATTTAACAACAAGATTATCAATCCTGTCAACACCATCTTGAGGGAAGCATACACTAGCTGTGATCACCAGCTTGTGAATGAGTTGAAGGTAAATGCACCTGTAACACCATCCATGTGTTTTAAGAATACTAATGCACTCAACTGTGTAGTCCAAAGTGGTGACATGTCTTCTCAGTTTGCTCGAAGGTGGTATTGAAAACAGTGAAACCATCTACAAAGAAATGATCGAGTCTCTTGATTTGGCCACTGTCAAGAGCAACATGGATGCAATTTACATTGAGAACCTCGCAAGCCTCAACTCCAAAAACGTGTATGAGAAACTAGAGTGTGGGTTTCTGTATGCTATTCTGGTTATGACACTCGCACCTGCCATCAAAGATCAAGAGCAAAGCGCCATGTTTTTTGAAAAGAACGATGCATTTGATTACTTTCAGAGCCATACAGGCAAAATTGAAATATTGATGGATTACGGCCAAGAAAAGCAACTGACTCGCGTATTGTTTCCTGTTCCTGAAATCTGTCAATATCTAAGACAGGAGACAAAGCAGCGATTTTTGTGGAATGTCAAGCGGTAAATAGGGTATACATGCGTGATGGATACTTGCACTCATCCTGCTATGTGGGTTTAGGGAGTCGCCTTCGAGCAAGATTGAAGATTTTGTTCAGCAATCAGACATGATTATATACGAGCAAGTAGCCCCACATGTCTTCAAGCAGGGTTGTTACTCATCATTCATCAATAGGATTGAAAATCAAGCGCATGTGGCTCACAGTAAATACCTATCGTTCTTGACAGAGTACAGTGCCTTTTGGTGGGAGTCAGCATACGGTGTATCCATTCTTTTGAATTTGCTGCTCATGATGTACCCGAATCTACTGGTGGATGCAGTCAACACGCATAGCAGCAACCAGAAGCCGTTTCTTATTTTGTGCTGTCGGTATCTGTTGGGCCTGGTTCATTTAGGCTTCTGGCTACTACTGACAGCAGAATTCTACTTTATTCAACTACCCGTGCTGATCAATCGCCGTCATGGGCCTCATGTTCGCACCTTTATCTGGGCAAGAACATTGACCGACTCAAAATTTCTATATCATATCCTCATGGTGTTCTTTTCCGCCATTGGTCTCGTGTATCCAGGTTTCTACTCTTTGCATTTGCTGGATTTTGTGTTTCGAGATAGCATCTTGCAAGGTGTCATTTCAAGTATCACTTTGAATGTGCATTCCATTTCTCGAACTGTACGTATTGTCTTTGTCATGGCATGTGGGTAGTACTGATGTTACTTCAATACAGGCCATTTTAGGTATCATTGTCATCTACATTCATAGTATTGTTGCCTACATGTATTTCAGAAAGGAGTTTGATGTCTCTAAAGGCTTGTTTTGTGGGTCGCTGATGGAGTGCTTTGTTACTGTTCTTTCACATGGGTAAACTCAATGTCGTAGTACGTGTATAGATCATCATTTAACAATGTAATACAGTGTCAGATCGGGTGGAGGTATTGGCGACATATTGGAGCCTGATGAATTGCACAAACCAAGTGGATGGCGAACAGCGTTTGAAATGTCCTTTTATCTGGTTGTCGTTGTATTTTTACTGAACGCTATTTTTGGTATCATCTTTGATACCTTTGGGCATCTCCGTGATGGTATGTGATGGACATGCGTGGTATTCAAAGTAGATTTTGACTTGTTTGTGCATTGGTAGAAAGATCGTCTATCCAACAAGATATGAAAAATTGTAAGTGCGTTTTTTTTTTTTTTTTTGCTATGTACAGGTGCCTTAATGTCATTTCTTTTTAGCCTGTTTCATCTGTAGTATACCAGCAGTCGAGTTTCAGCGTCATGCAAAGAAAGGGTTTGAAGATCATGTCAAAAATGACCACAACATCTGGTAGGTATCAGAAGCATTTACTAGAGAGACATGCTCATTGTCAAGTTTTGTAGGCAATATCTGTTCTTTTTGGTGCATCTCAGGAACAAGGACAGGACTGAATACACAGGACCAGAGTCCTATGTGTCTGGATGTCTCAAGAATGCTGATTACAGCTTCTTTCCTATCAACAGAGCATTGGGATTATCGACAGACGAGCAAGACGATACTGAGAGACTAGATAGATTGGAAGAGATGAGTCAGCAGCTGTTGGACAAACTAGCCAAGTTAGAGGAACACTTGGACAAGCTGACCGACCATCAAATTCGATCAAGACAAAATAGTTTTATGCTGTCTCCAATGTAATTTGCCACTGTTAATGCAAATACACGCTATTCTACTGTACATCAATTGGATGCATTATACGACCAAAAAGCAAAGCTTTCCGAATAAATGTTCCAAAATACATGACTCAATTAGATTTCATGTCTACAACAAATAGATCATTTGATCAAAAATTAAGAACAGTGATTGCCTTCATGACTCCAAAGGTTGTAACTGCTACACTGAGACAACCTGATAATCTCCGATACTTTTTTTTTCTGCTCCAGATTGGCCAGATTGTTTGAATTTCGACTTGATTGAAGTATTTTGTCATGTATCTTTAGAATATGTCTGACACTAGTCATATACATCATTCTCCCTCTCAACCCGACGCTGAGACCCCTCTGCTGTGGACTCATGTAGTCGGCTCAAAACGCAAAGGCAACAACAAGAAACAGCAATCCATTGTTTCTTTCAATCCTACGCTCATCCAACGACCAGTTACGGAGGCAGAGGCATCTCAACAGGCCATCAATGGAGAGGCCTCTTCAGGACCTATGGCTGTCATACGTCCATTCCTCAAGGGTATCGAGGAGGATTCGGTTTTCATCGATCTGACACCTGTCAAAGATCGTAATCTATTGAACAAGGCCCTTCTCAAGTTCAATGAAGCTACAACCAACTCTGAACTTTATGAAGACTTTCTTGGTTACCGTAGCAAACCAAGACATTACCTTGGCCATGCTTTTCTCGAGACAATGTGGCTGCCTGAGTGTGTAGGACGCACCACACTCATCAACGACGGCATTACCCTGGAAGATGGTACCTATTTGAGGGGCTTTCCATCCTACCCTGGCGATGCCACCATTGTCAAGTTGACATTACAGAATCTCCCTTTCTTGCCAGCTTTGCAACTCAAGGAGGAAATGGCGACTCGTCTCTCCCGATATGGTGATGTCCTGGATCATGGCATCTCAAGAACTAATGGCATCTTCCAAGGTGAAGGTTATGCTACGCTTAACCTTACTGTGCCTTCCTCCCCTGATTATGCCTGTGATGAATTGCACCCCGAAGACAAGCCCTGCCCTGGTCATCGACACCTGGAGAAACTCAGCGGAGTGATGATCTGGGATCCTCGTTCAGCCGATCAGCGAATGGTTCTGCTGCAATGGGACAAGATGCCCAACTTTTGCCGTATCTGTCATAGTGCCGATCATTGTAGGGCGGATTGCCCTGAGTACAAGAAGTGGATCCAGTGCTACCACTGTGATGAATATGGTCATGTGGAGTACAACTGTCCCCGTAATACAAGTCCAAACAAAGTCCGTGCGGTAGACAGTAAGGCTGCTTCGAAGCCCCGAAAAGTGTCTCAGGAGGCAAAGAGCGGTACATCATCTGGTAAGAAGAAAGCCGCTCCCAAGGTCTCCAAAGCTCCTCCAGTAGCTGCTGGTGCTGGTGCTGGTTCTGGTACTCCTGGTGGTGATACTGCTGGTGGTGGGTCTCCCGGTGGTGGTGATTCTGGTGTTGTTCCAGGTAACAATCAAGGTGATGGCCAAGGTGGTGCCCAAGATGTGGTCCACAGCGGCGTACAAGGTGGTGCTGATAGCCAAACCATTGCTCAAAAGCAAGGTGCTGATAGGGATGCCGACATGGACGAGCTCCCTCTGGCTCAAGACTCTGACAATACCACTGGTACTGAGTCTACTGATACTGAAATGGGTGAATCTCCTGCCAATCCTACTAGTGCATCCGAGAATGCGCTGGATCACCCAGTGAAGAAAATAGGTAAATTTGATGGTGCGGATGATTTTACTTCTGCCAAGCAACAGGCTGCAGTTACAGCAGCAGCACAGGGACAACAACAAGGCTTGACAGGCCCACCCTCACCATCTCAACATTAATATGATGAATTTACAACATACAGTGAAAATTGCCACCCTCAATTGCCGTGGCCTCAAAAAAATAGATAACCCAAAAAAAAGACAACAATTTATTAGATACCTTAGAACACTAGGCTATGATATCTTAGTGTTCCAAGAAACACATGCAACAGACTCCACTATTATAGACATGCTCAATACACAATTCAACACCAAGTCGAGTCTTTGGACTCCACATTGCGGCATTATATCACTTAACACCAATTATACACTTCAACACATCTCAGAAGGCATTGATGGCGGTCGTTTTATTTTGGCCTCCCTTCACCTTACTCGAGATGTACAACTTTTAGCAACAACACCACCAATAGCAACTCTACTCAACATTTACGGTCGAGCGTCAGCTCACACCGAACGCACAGCATTTTATTCAGAATTACTTGATATACCAATTGTCAAGGACACTATCACTAATACAACAAACACTATCTTTATAATGGGCGATTTCAACTATCAATACAAGGATCGGCGAACTGATGGCTCTCTCATCAGTGCACCTGTGATATGGACTGATCTTTTGGATGATTATTACATTGATGTATTTGGGGATGACAAGCACAACACCTGGCATAGTGGCAGAAATGCTGGGATTTTGGATTATATCTTTTGTAGCTCCAATGCTCATCACCTTGTAACTAGTACTAGTCAACAATACCTCTCTCCGGAGTGGACTGATCATGAGCTTTTGGGGTTCTCCTATCAATTTCAAGATTCCAATGGTCGTGGCCCTGGTGTCTGGAAGGCTAATCCCTACTTGGCTCGCAACAAAGATTTTCGCAAGGCACTGGCGGAATTCCTCATTGGCAGTGAGGAACGAAGAGCAGGTATCAAGCGGTTTACATCTCCCCAACAACAATGGGATTGGATCAAAGCAGAGGTCAAGTTATTCATCAAGCAGTATCAAATTGAGGATTTGAACTGGAGGAAGAAACAACTACATCGACTGCTTTCAAAGAGGAACAAGATGATGAGACATAAGAAGCATCGAGGATTGATATTTCAGGGATTGGACTCCATCAACCAGCAAATTCAGTCCCTGCAGCACTCAATTGCAGAAATAGAAATCTTGAAGGCAGGCAAGTTCTATCGTGAACATGGTGAGAAATCACCCGGATTCCTCAAGCGCTCTGCGGTGTCTCGAGAGAACCGTCGGTCCATTGTGGCGCTGCGAGACCCCTCTACGGGTTCAATGTGTCAGGCACAGGATGGCATATCTGCCATTGCAACTGATTTTTACACTGCATTATTCACACCAGAGGCTCTAGATTCAACAGCACTCAGTACCGTGATTCGAAGCATCCCTCAGCACTTAAAGATCAGCAGCGAACAACAGGAGGAACTGATGTTGCCGATTGATGTAGACGAGCTCTTGGCCGACAGCAAACACACTCGACGCCTTAGCAGCCCTGGCCCGGATGGCTTGCCATATGAGATTTTGTACCTGATCATGAAATTCCCACCATTTCATTCACTCATCAACCTAGTCTACAATGAAGCACTGACGAAGGGTAAGTTTCCGCCATCTTGGAACGAATCTGTCATGTGCTTGCTCTACAAGAAGGGTGATCCGGCTGAAATGAAGAACTACCGTCCTCTGTCTCTGGCCAATTCGGATTACAAGCTGTTCACTCGCAACATCAATCGTCGTATCATGGCTGTCTCTTCTCAATTGATTAGTCGCCATCAGCTTGGATTTATTCCTGGACGCTTTATTGCTGAAAATGGCATGATCTGTCAACTGATCATGGAAGATGCTCAAAGGAAATGGACAATTGCGGAACAACAGGATGACGACCCCACCTTTCGCAACTTGGATGCAGATATCGGTCTTTTGTTGGATCAAGAAAAGGCCTACGATCGTGTGAATTTGGACTATCTCAAGAAAGTCTTGACAAAGTTTGGGTTTCCTCGTCCCCTCATCAAGTGCATATACAAACTGATGGGCGACAATCTCATACGGATTAATCTGAATGGCCATATGTCAACAGAGGTTGCCAAGCTGCGTGGACTCAAGCAAGGAGATCCTCTCTCGCCTATCCTGTACAACCTGGCCTTCGAACCCTTTTTACTGGCAATCTTGCATGATCGTCAATTTCACGGATACACGATGGGTACTGCTACTACCAAGTTATTGTGTTATGCGGACGATGCTTTGGTATTTGTCCATGACGCACAGGACCTGTCTCGCTTACAACTTCATATGTCTCGCTATTGTGCTGCTTCCAACGCCAAATTCAACTATGACAAGGTGCAAGCCTTTTCGGTGTCTGGTCGGGATACATGGGACATTTGGCAAGTTCCGTTATCGCATGCCCACATCACCCATCTGCATTCTGTGGAAGATGATGAACCTTTGATATATCTTGGATTTCCTCTCGTACAAAGCAGGATCCAGCGGGTCAACTTTATGGGTGCACTGACAACCAAGATCAAGACGGCCATCCAGATCCACTCTGTCCGATCCCTGTCAGTTGTTGGAAAGGCCACTGTGCTGAATTCTCTGCTTCTGTCCAAGTTATGGTACGTTCTACGTGTTACTCCTCTCACCCAGCCCGATGTCAAGCAGCTGCGGTCACTGGCAATTCTTTTCTTGAGAAAGAACATTTTCCCTGTCATTCCTTGGAAAACATGGATTCTCCCAAAAGACAAAGGTGGACTGGGTGTTGTCGACATCCAAACTCAAGCTTCGGCTCTGTATTTTCGTTGGCTACATCCGTTGCTGGTATATGATCAATCTGTCATTGATGCCCACCCGGTGTCCTACCTTCTCAGTTACCATCTACGCAACATGAATGGATACCAGTATCACCATATTCCGCTCCTCTTCCCCTTTGCTCGTCGCAATCAGGGTTTGAAAACACAGCGCACGGGAACTGTCGATATGTTATATCGTGCAGTCGACTATCTTCCCAAGTCGTATGAAGCTGCTCGGATCAATACTGCTACTGCCATGGCTCTCCCACTACAGGCTGCCTTCTATGTCCCTCCATCCTCTTCACTGGTGGTTCCTCGTCGAGTCAAAGCGATGATGGTTTCTGATGTGTTTCAATATGATGCTCGGCTCAACTTTGTTCATTGGAAAGATACTCGTGACCCTTCCCTCCTCAATTGGAAACGTGCTCCTTCTACAGTGTTCAAAGGTCTTGCGTCTGCCCAGCTGAAATTTCAACCCTACTTCCATCCAGTGTGTAGTCCTGCTCCCCTGGTTGATTCTGATGTCTCCTTTGCGCCTCTAGTGCATCAATTTTGTCTACACGATGGCCAACCCCTTGGAAATGCTCAGGCTTCGGCCAAAACATTTCGTCTGTCCGTGCTGTCGTCGATGGAACAACCCTTGGCCTTGCAGAATGTCTCAGCTTCTCATTGGAAATTCTTTTGGTCCCTGTCTCTTACCTACATTCAACGTAATGTGATATACCGGCTCATCACAGGCTGTATCCCTTCTCGAAGCAGGTTACACTACATGATGCCTGGAGTCTTCGAGTCTCACAATTGTCCTGTCTGCTTGTCTCCCAATGAAACTGCCAGCCACCTGCTCTTTGACTGTCCATCCAAAGAAAAGGTATGGCTAGGCGTCATTTTTGAATTCCTATGGCCCACGACGTCCATCACTGACATCAAAGAGGCTCTTCTGTCCCTGGACTTTTCGGATATCTGGTACTCCCAAGTCAAAGGCATCCATCCTTACAGAATCCTACTTATCACCCTGTCTCAAATATGGCTAGCCCATATGCGCTTTGTTTTTGACAACATCATCCTTGTCCCTGAGGCGATTCTGGTGAATGTCCGCTCCACTGTTCGCCAGACAGTGGATGAGGATCAAATCCATTCCCTCTTGTAGTTTTGATAGTTTCGATAGTTCTGCTTAGTTTAGTTTAGTTAATATTTCACCTTCTTTTTATTATCTCTTTTTTAATTGCACCCGCCTCTTCACTTCGACCCAGTACTCCTAGTGTACGCGGCTCAATCAATAAACAAAATTTTTAAAAAAAAAAAAAGTATTTTGTCAGGTTTGACCATATAACCTAGGATGGACGTCCGTACTTCCTAATGCATTCTTGGAATACTTTTCAAGGCGCATCTGATGGTGTTAGTCATGAGAGATACTTTGACTAAACTTATTGAGTAATTTCAGAAAATGTGAAATGCGGTTTTTGACGAAAACGTCGAAATTTTGAATACAAAGGTCTCAAAACAGAAGTTTCAGGGGTTGCCTTGGATCGAGAGAAGCATTTTGATGTAATATATGTCTTATTGAAAGTCTTCATTTTTGAGGTCAAAAAACGCGATCGTTTAATTTTTGATCAAATCCATGAGGTACCCCTCATGGTTTTTGGTTGAATTTTGGCCATTTTAAAAAAGCTGAGCAATGCTGCCAGCAAGTAAGTGTTGGATGAAAGCAACTGTTTGGTGCTATTTTGGAGATCCAAAACGGCCTATAACACGAGAAAACAAGGCAAAAAAGCGCCCAATTTCCTTTATGCTTTGCATTCAATTGAGCAATAAGAATGTATGCTGTCTGCCTGTATATGAACTGTTATCATGGATTGAAACGTGGAGTACACGTAGAAAGTCAGATTCACAGCTTCAGTCGTTTATTTATGGGCAAAGCGAAAAAGTGAAATATATTAGCTGAACAGTGTTCATAGTAATGATTTCCAATTTGAATATCCCTGATAGACCAGTACTAGTATTTGATAGATCGTTAGATGATATGAGATGTACTAGCAGAATCCGACCAAAATCTCAAGTAGATCGCATAGTCGCAAAGTTCGAGTACACGAGTCATAACCATCATATCATGCGCATCATCAGGAAGCTAACATTATCAAGAAGCAAACTTATGGTACTCAGTCACCAAAGATAAAAATGCCTTGGTTCAAGCAAAATGTGTTGTGCTGATATACTCTATCTGGTTCATAAGAAAATGCTTGTGTATGGCCCATAGCTTGAGGCACTCTACATGTATATATATATATATATATATATATATATATATACAGTCCTATCAAAAGTAGAAATAAACATAAAACTTAATATATCATCACTGCCATTCCACACGACGAAACAGCATTGACATCTTTATTACTTTAAATTGCTACGCTACAGTAGTAATGGTAATAATATTACACATAGATAATTGATATGATATGTACATGAATGCAAAATGGCTCAAAGTAAGCACACTATTCATCATTCTATTCTTTGGTGTATTTAATCTTGTTATTCAACATGGGGCGTTGATTGATGACAACAGGCAAGTGCATATTTGGAGTTGTTGCAAGTCGATTTTCTGAACGAACAACAGAACCTATAGCTGCATTCAACTTGTTAGTCCACTGCTCTGGTGCGGCTGCTTCAACAACTTACACATAAAGAATCCAAACGAAGCAGCAGATCCAATCATGTACTGACTCAACATACTGATAGGGCTTTTGTTGCCTGAACCAAATCTACACATACAAAAAAGTTACTATGGACAATGGGAAATAAACAGGCATAAATCTTACCTCATGAGACTAATACTACCAAAAACAAAGCCAATACATAGGCCGACAGTACCGCCCATGGCAGCGCCCATTTTCATTTTCTCAAAAGTTGAAGGTTCCATGCTTGTATGCGTTGATGTTAGCCAGGGGGAGGTGATGTGAAAATGAAGAGGAAAAATGAAAACTGCAACATAAAACCAAGAAATGCGAAGTTATATGCCGGCTTTAAAAGCTCCTGGGAATTCAATACCAGCGTGTCAAACATGTTGAACAATTGACAGATGTTCCATCAAGAAGAATCCAGTAAAGCAGCAATATACAACATATAAAAGATCCTTGTCATTAATTTATATGTAGCGTACGGCGTATCTGTAAAAGAACGCATTTACCTCATCTCAATTGCTTGAAAACCCCCCAATAAATCTTTTGATCTGCTGATAAACTTTACTTGATGGAGTTGTCACCAAGCACTTTCCACAAGTTGGCTCAAGTGGTCAACATAAACAGCGTTTCTGTATTTTTCAATACACATTCTCTCTTTCTCTTACAGACTCTTAACGGCCAATACTATCAGTAGATAAGCAGATATCGCTACTAAATGAAGCCATAACGTCATGGAACCACATTTAGCATTTGAAGGATGGCTTTGCCTTAATTACAAGTCCGTGAGCTTCAAAATATCCATGACGACGTGGATAACTGCAACCTATTTTTTCTGCATAGTTTACTACACTTTTTACTCGATACAGCATGTCGACAGAGATACCAGCTTTACCGCCTCGTAAGATGGCCACAACGGTACAGATAGAAAACGAAGCCAAGACGCTGCTCGATTGTCCATGCTACTCACCCATGGCATTGCTCGCTCATTTGGAGACCTTCTCCAGTGACCACAAACACGTTTTCAAGCGCTTGGTTGTAGAAAACAACAACTTGGATCAGGAACCAACAGCACAAGACACACTGGAAGAGACAGAGGATTTGGATAGTACGCCCGCCATAGTTGTTGAAAGCACTACAACATCTCGATACATTTGCCAAGTGTGCCATGTGTGGTTACTGGTACAGCGCAACAAGGAGAATGCCGAGAAATGCCCAGCAACAGACTACCTGTGCCATCATTACCATTCGCAGAGCTTGGGTGGGTATGAATGTTGTGGATGTCAGTACTCATTGGCCACCGATATAAACGAACCTGTCTTGTCGATGACGGTGGTAAAGCGATTAGAAGCGACACGACTGAAGGCGAGATCCTATGCTGCTTTGATGCAGAATAAGGGAGATATGGATCCTACACTCGTCAGCACATATACCACAGTATTGGTCTACATCAGGGATCTGTTGAATGGCGTCAGGAGAAACATCAATTCAGTCAACCCCAACTTTCTTTCTCGTATTGGACTCAATGACGGCAGGTAAATAGCAACATCGACAGTACAGTGCACACAGCATATTGACAATGGGTACATAGTCATGCATTACTAGAAGCAATTGGATTTTATTTCGAGGACAGCTATTTCATGGCACCCGATATTGAACCTGGATCTCCTGCAGAGCAACGACTGAAGCTGTTACAACAAGAAATCATCCTGTCATTAGACACATTACGACAAGATATGGGTTCCACCACCGTCCCAGTAACTTCTGCAGAGGCCAACTTCAAGGTAAAGACAGCGGACATGCAACAGTTACTTGGCATTGTGCCCTCGCTTGAAACCCGGTACATTGCCAACAACGACTATGTCAACAAAGCCTATGCTTCCTTTGGACTGACATCAGGGGCTGCAGACACTTTGGTGTCGTGGGCCTACAAAAAAGCCATTAGCGAGCCTTCCATTATCATGGACGAATACGATGCGATGGACAGCTTGATGACGATAGCGAATCACACCAATTCTGTCGTGCTGCAAACATTGATTGCATGTGAGCGTAGTCAGGGAAAGATTGGCAGAAATGACATTGGAGATGCATATGCTTATTTTGGAGTGACAGCGGATGCTGCAGACGATGGACTCTTGACTGGGTTGTACAAGGTGAAGCTATCAGACGAACCGCTGGAGAAGAGCACGATTCAGGACAAGCTCAAAATCATCGCTATAGCTAGAAACAGTGCAGAGCTGATCCAGTTTTTGAAAGAGGAAAAGGGCATCACATCATCCACCAATGTCCAATCAGTGGAGGATCTGATGGGAGGTAAAAGAGAGAGAGAGAGTCTATGAATCACTGATATATTGACTTGATGTCTCTGAGATAGTTCCAGCACATATGATCCACAATCAGCAATCCATGTAAGTGTATTTCTTTTTTTTTATATATATCTTTCGTTATCATGCGCAGAGAAAGGAGAATGTCTGTTTGGGAGCCATCTTACTCACTTTGTTCTAAACACACCTGGTCTTGGTTTTTGGCAACTGACAGACCTGTCGGCTTGAACAATATAGGCAACACATGCTACTTTAACAGTCTTTTGCAGTATTACTACACCTTGCTGCCTTTCCGTGATACAATGATCAACATTGAGGATTACGTGGAGGATGAGAACAGTGAACCCAAGAAAATTGGCGGTATTGAGGTGGATCAATCAGAGATTCGACGTGCCAAGAAATGTAAGTAGTCTCGTTTCGCATCGACACTTTTGCTTATAGTGTGTCTCGTAGTCGTGGGTCTCTTGCGAGAGCTGTTTCTTAATCTTCACCAAACCAACGACAGAGCCATCTCGCCTCAGACTGACTTGGCCTACATGGCTTTGCTCAATGAAAAGGACGATCAAGACGATGCAGCTACTGCAGATGTCCCACAGTCAGAACAACAGCAGCAAACCTCTAAAGAAACTGATGTCAACATGGAGGCAGTGACAGAGCCTGTTTCAGACGAATCCACTGCCATGATGACGGACGATTCTTTTGCATCACTACAAACTGCTATGAAAGCATCTGGAGCTAGGGACGACCAAGTACCCGCGGTCTCTCCCTTGCAATCTAGTGAATTACCCACAGAGGATCCTCATGAAGATGGCATGGCCTCTATGCAGGAAGATATCCGTTCTGACTCGCCTCCACCAGCCTACCAGGACATTGCCTCTTCTTCCTCAAAGCAAAATGAGCCTGAAAATAAAAAAGCACCAAGCTCGTCGACTGCAAAAGCACCCAGCAAACCCAAGCAAAGACCTAGCGTGGATACGATGATGTTTGGCAAGCAGCAAGATGTCACCGAGTGTATGGGTAATGTCATGTATCTGGTAGAGGCAGCACTGAAGCCTTTGCATAAGACGGAAGATGGAGAGCAAGTGGATGACATGATCCGCCAAACATTCTATGGTAAAGCGCGTCAAATCTTGTCTTATCGTGATGACAGCACACTGCAAGTCGTCAAGAAGGAGATGGAAGAAGACTTTTCTCATGTGATTGTGGACGCGTCTGAAAGCAAAGATCTATATGATGGCCTGGACGAGTACTTTTTTGCAGAGCATGTGGAGAACTTCCAAGGCGGCCATGAAGCAACTCGCGAAGTAACAGTAAAGACATTCCCTCCTATTCTTCAGATCCTTGTTCAGCGAGTCCAGTTTGACAGGGCTACAGCGAACGTCTACAAATCCAATGCCAACATCCAGCTGGAAAAAACCATTTACCTTGATCGATACGCTGATACCAACTTTGATGCTTTGAAGGAGAGAAGAGCGGAAGTAGCTGAATGGAGAGCTGAGCTCGATAAATATAAGAAACAAGTTGCCGCCTACTCGAAATCAGACACATGCCATATGCCAATCCCTGACTTGTTGGAAGCCGCTGGTCAGGTCTTGCACGATTTCAGCTTAGAAGAGACATCAGAGGAGAAGAAAGCCAAATTCAAGATTGCATTGGCCTTATTACACAAGGAGGCTCAAAAGACCAAGCAGCTGGTGCAAGAAGGCAATGCTAAGATTCAATCACTCAAGGAAAACATCCAAAAGCAGTACAATGACTACACACAGTTGGCCTACAATCTGCACGCTGTCTTTATTCATCAAGGCCAAGCAAACTACGGCCATTACTGGGTGTATATCTACGACCACAAAGGAGACCAGTGGTGGAAATACAATGATTCTTTGGTGACCAAAGTGAATGAATCTGAAATTTTGCATGATACCACTGGCTCTACCGCAAACCCTTATTTCTTGGTCTACGTAGATGCTACTAAAATGGATGATTGCGTAGAAACGATCAAACCTAACCATGTATAAATATGAATAAAACCCCATATCATGATGTCAACTGAGCCTCAATGTGCACTATATTTAATGCTGAACTGTGCTTCCCTTTTTCTTGTCTTTCTTTTTTCTAATTTCTCTTCAACTTATCATTATCAACATGAATCAAGGATCTCCTCCTCCTCAGCTTCCTCCCGGATGGTACGTCAAGAGCTTCTTTAGAACAATCATATCACCATTAACACGTATAATACAGGATTGCTCTCTGGGATGAAACAACACAGCGCTATTATTACGTCGAACAAGCAACTGGCACAACACAATGGGAGCTTCCAAACGGTGCATCAAAAGCAGCTGAAGCAGGTATGGAAGGCGCAGGAGAAGCATCTAGCTACGGCGGTGGATATCCTCAGCAATTACCATCACCTTACCCTCAGCAACCTGGTGCTTCTCCCAATGCTGCAGTTGCAACCGCTTATCCTACGCAGAACGGCACTCCAACAGGTGAATTAAACCCTGATGGCACCGACAGAGGTATTGGCAAAGTATTTACAGGTCTGTAGAATGTCTTGGCATCAACAGTGGAAAAATAAGGAATGTCATTGTCAACTGACATGATTTACATTATTATTAGGTTTTTCTGGTGGTGCTATCACTGGTAGCTTGATTGGGTAGGTACATCACACAATCAGTTGGAAAAAGTACAAGTGTTCAGATGTTATTCTATAGTTTCGCTGCAGGCAAATATTTCAACAAACCCAAGGTAAATTCTCCGTTGTTTCTCTTTTTTTTTGCAGCAGGTTTCTAAACAGCAAGTTTCATTCGACAGTATCAGAATCAGTATCAGCCTCCCCCTCCCCCTCCCCCTTCTGGTGGATTTGGATTCAACAGTTTTGCTAACAGTTTCGGTGGTGGAAATAACAACTATGGTGGACAGCAAGGTGGCTATCACGGCCAAGGCAACCCTTATGGTGGTCCCCCTGCTGGCCCTGGCGGTTATGGTGGTCCTGGAGGTTATGGAGGTGTTCCTGGCTTTCCTGGTTACAACCCTCCTGTTGCTGGCAAGAAGCCCGGTTGGTAAATGCTTTACATCTCGTATTTCATCATTTAATAATTAGCACTGTAAAATAAATAATCAAACACTTTATATTCATATGTTTCATTGGACCTCACTTCATTAGATCAAGAAGGGAGCGGGGAGCATTGAATATTATGTTGATTCAAAAAGTGATTTTGCTGGGCTACATGTTTTTGGCATAGTGATTGGTTGATCAGGCTAGAAATGGACACGCATAAAAGAGAGGATGTGTCTGATCAATTGGTGCACTCACATGCAAGCAGCGAAGAGAGCAGCACTCTTTTACTCACCCTCAATAGAGTTTATGACTGAAGCCGATCTTATAAAAACCGTTTAAAAATGGTGAATCCATGTCAAGTATTACCACATGAAATTTGAGTATTATCCTGGATCAGGTCAAAGATAAAAAAGCAACTAGCAGCATGTTGATTGGTATACAAGCAACGGAACCCAGTCGTAGAGAAGGCAATCATGACCAAAGAAGGCTCTGTCATCAAGATCCATTACCGCCCAACAAAAAAAAGAACGGCGCTGGCTCTTTTTATCAATATCCTCACGTAGGATAGAGAACCGAGTCTTCTATACAACGAACTCTTGAAGCTGGTAATGACTCCTAGCCTCGAAGAAATGCGGGGGGGGGCGTTTCCCTTCAAGGAAATCGAGCTGTGTTTGGTAGCTTGAATAATTCTACTAATGTCACTATTGAGTGTCATAGATATGATTTTAAAGTACTGCAAATTAGGGTACTTTTATACAAGATACTCGACAAGGTTGCGCCAGAGAGTTTGCTCTTCGTTTGACACTTTGAGTATTGACTTTATTTCTCATCTACGATGGCATTCTGTGCCAGCCAGGTGTTCATTTGATCGCTGCTTTTGGTAATTGTTGTATCAACAGATGCAATATTAGCAAATTAAAATAGAAATCAACAGGAAGACTTTAAAAATAACCAGATACGAAAGCTAATGGTTTATTAATTGATTCAAGCACATCTTCACTATATATACTATAAAACATTCAAAAAAAGTAGACAAACAAATCATATCCCTTTCAAAATTTTAAAGAATTGTGTGCCGTACAAGGTGAATAAAACCACAGGCAAAGCCAGCAATGGGGAGGGGGTTTGAGGGAAGAACATAACGTGTCTAATTCAACACTGGATAGCATTGATTTATAGGGGGTTTTAACGTAGCGAAGCAAAGGTGAAAAGCCATAGTATTCAAGCAGCAAACTTGGGTTTTCGTTTCCTTTATTACCAAGCTTACCAACAACATAACGTATCAAAATTTGCGTGAATTAGTCTTACTTAAATCAATATGCCTCCTATTCGAATTAAAAATTGCTCAAGCTACAGAACTGCCTTTCCAGTAATTTGCAGCTACCAAAGATGTGATTTATGCCGTGTAAATAAACTCTATAGAGCAAAACATGACCAAGTTTGGCAGCTTTCAAGCCTTCATACCTTGACATGTAGACCTTTCTGAGCCACCGGAGTGACGCCAAACAATTGTACTTGAGTAGTAGTAACTTTCTGACACCTTTGCTCAACTTTTTGGGCCAAAAAAAAAACATGGCCAAAAATCGACCAAAAGCCATGAGGGGTACCTCATGGAAAACATCAAAAAATCAATCGATCGCATTTTTGATCCCAAAAATGAAGACTTTTACTATGGTACATATCAGATCAAAATGATTATATCGATCCAACGCAACCTCTGAAACCACTGTTGTGAGACTTTGATAAGCAAAATCTCAACATTCCGGCCAAAAGCCTCATTTCGTATTTTCAAACATTGCTCGATAAGTTCAGTCAAAATACCACATAAAGTAAGCACCATTAGATGCGTCTTGAAAAGTATTCCAGAGAAGCTTAAGAGCAGACACCTGAGTCTTTACAATTTATATAGTCGAATCTTGCAAAATAGACAAAATGTGTCGAATTAGAATAAATCTGGCCAATCTTGAGCAAAGGCCAAACGGACTTTTAATTTGGATTGGCTAACAAACCTGAATGTCATCCGCATCACGAAGCCAAACGTTGCTTTTGAAAGCTCATAATATATTGTCATTTATTCTATGGTTTTGCACACTACAATTGTAACCTACACTAGTGGCATACCGTGCCTATCCATTATCCCCATTTACTTTTGCGACCAAGCTCCGTTGTCTATGAAACTAATGACGGTTGTTCCTGAACAACATTGCGTTTCCATAGACGGATATGAGGGGTGCCATCTTCTTCAAACTCTTCGTCATCCCCATCCTCAACGACAAATCCTAGTTTCTCGTAAAAGCCTCTCTTCTCTGAAACCGCGTGCAAATAGATTGTATGATATCCATTGGCTTTGCAATATTCGATGAATTCTGCAATCAATTTTGGGCCAATGCCTAATCCTCGAGCATTTGACAGAACTGCAACCCTGCCCAATCTAGCTACATTCTCTGAAACACGAACCAAGCGAATAGTCCCAATTGAATGATTTGGCTCCACCGAGCCATCTTCATGATGCTTGTCTGCTACTGCAGCCCAATGCTCTGCGTCAGGATCATCTCTGTTGAGTAAGTATACAGTAAGATCCAGTTGTTGAGAGTGTGATGAAATTTGTCTTGAGATACATACTCATCAGTTACTACATTTGGTAGATAGCCCTGTTCTACCACATATACTTCACGACGAACGTGGTATGCTAGTTCCAATTGATTTGGTTTTTCCAAATGGAGAATCTTGACGCTGGAATACTTGCAATTGCTTGCTGTCATAGGTTTTAAGTAAGAAAAAGGTGCCTTGAAGAACTCAACGTTGCAATTAGGGGCCTTTTATAAATGTAATTTAAGCAGATTTAATTTGCGCAGAGTCATAAAATGTCAGTTAGCGTAAAATCCGAGAATGCGGGGAGTCTCTTTCGCCAGAGTCTAGTTTGTTTAAAGCCGCTTGCGTGATTTGCAATTTCAAGAAGGTGCATTTAGCTGTTACGCTTGCCACAAAGAAACAAGGAGTCGTATAATGTAGAGCCGCTACCCAAATCAATTTAGCAGAAATATTCATTCAAAGATCTTCATAATAATGAGGTATTGTGTTTTGATCATAGCAAAAGAGACCCTTGCGTTTGAAATGCCTTTCATGCGACGTTTGCTTTATCCGATGTTAGTCAAACTTCTTTGAGAGTCTGCCCGATGCCAATGTCTTGACAAAGTAGCAATTTGAATATCCCTTTGTATTCATACCAAGAGCCGGTCATATGGAAGAAGCATGTTAGGGCTTTTTTTACATGGCTTTTTCAATAGACCACAAATGATAGACCTCTACTGTTCCAGACAGAACCACACCGTTTAAATTCAGAAACAATATTCCTTCTCCCGAGCTCATTATACACAAACAAGATAAAAGCCTATCAGCACTAGAACAAAGGCTTGCTTAGACAAAAGCCCATGCGGTCATGAACAAAACGGCAATGTACTTATAGACAAAAAGTTTTTATTTTGCTTCCAAATAGTAAAGACATAAAATTACAGAAAAAAAAACTGGTAAAGCAGGATCAAATAGCTATATCTATACGAAAAAGCTCACAGTTTACAAGAACTTGAATACACTAGGATAGTGAAGGAGACGCTTAAGCAGAGAACTCCTTGATCTTAGCCTCGATGCTGGCAACGTTGGCACCGACAACCTCACCGAGCTTCTCACCCTTTCTGAAGTACATGATGGTGGGCATGGCACGAACTTGATATTCAGCAGCAACATCCTGTTGTTACAAACAAGAAAGAATGAATACACACTTGTTTGTATGAACCGCTGCCTTTTTTTCACTTTATATACTTACAGGAACTTCATCAACATCAACCTTGGCAAAGACAGCATGATCATATGCTTCAGCAAACTTGTGGAGCTTGGGAGCAATCAACTTGCAAGGACCACACCAGGTAGCATGGAAATCAACAACGACGAGCTTATCTTGGGCGATCAATTCCTTGAAGGCTTCGAGAGACTTGGGTTCCTTGAATTCAACAGACATTTTTATATATTATTATAGAGTAATGAAATATAAAAGAGAGAAGAAATTGGTAACGCGTTTCATGGAAGCTATATTTATACATAAATTTTTTATACTCTCTCCATTTTTCATGGGAGATTATTACTAATGACGCGCTTTAGCCATGATCATTGGATGAGAATCAAGGCTTATTCATCTTTTGTTCCGATGTCAAACCCCATTACCTATTAGCTGAATAATTCGAGAGCTAAATGATGCGGCCATTCAACCATCACTAAATGGCCTTTCCTGAATGTTCTCCTGCGAAACGAGACTAGCTCATTGGTTGCCACACCATATTCAATAAGCATTCGCAATGCTTGTGGCATGTTGCCAAAACACACTTGATCTCATCAGCCGATTATCGAACACGATTAGCAATCAGAAAAGCGTAGCATTACCGCATAGGCAGTATAAGCACTCTGACACATCAAATGGAATGCAATGTATTCAACGCTTACTTCCCATGTACTGTACATGGTGCAGCATTTTATGTATAAAACTGCTCTTTTCATGTCTGATAAGTACAGCTTGGGAGTAGGAATACATATACGTATATATATATATTGATGAGTTTTATGCTTATATGAAATAATACAAGATAAAAGATATTGCGCTGATGCTTACTGTTGTCCAGTCAGACACGTTGGATCGTAATGTGATAATGTACAAGAATTTGTCGGCTCCAGAAACAAGCTAGGCAGCAAACGGGGAAGTGAGTGGGGGAGAAAGAGAGAGAGAATATTTGATGTATAGTTGTCACCCTATCTATTGATAATACTGTTGTTGCTGTTGCTGTTGCATTTGCTGCTGCTGCTGCTGTTGTTGTTGTTGTTGTTGTTGTTGTTGTTGTTGTTGTTGCTCATAGAGAGGTTGATCTGGTGTGAAATGAGTGTCATTCAGCCTAAATTCAAATGGAGGAGCACTTTGCTGCGTGTTTAATAATGCCAAAATCTGGTCATTTGTCAAGACAACATCATCGCTGTACAATGGCTGGCCAATCATCTCAGCAATGTTCATATTGTAGGTACCTGATCCGCAAACATGAACAACGTGGCTGATAAGCATTTACATATTACACTTTACCTTGCTGCAGTAACAATTCAAGGGCACTTGGATCTGACCAATCCATGCTATCAAAATTCTGAAGAGCGTTATTATTGCTGTCAAGATGGTTGGTGCTGTAGTTGATCTCTGGCTCGGGTATGGTCTTTTCTTCTGTGATGGGAGACTCGACGCCAGCATAATATCTGTCAAATGGATTGACGTCTTCTTCTCTATCAGGTGTGGCCAGCGCAGACGAGGTGAATGGTTTGTAGGTCTTTGGGTTGTTATAGTATCGATTGACAGGTCGTGTTGCAGAGTAAGACGAAGAAAGCATCATGCCATTGCCATTATTCTGGTTATAAGCGGGATTGTTCTGCGTAGGTGTCGTGTTGTTGTTGGGCGAGGAGGACAGATCACCCGAGTACAAGGGCACAGAAGAAGAGTATTCGTGGTGTGTCGTCTTTGGTGAACTGCTCAGTCGTGGAGAGTAAGGAGAGTAGCGTCTGGATGTTGTTGCGGGTGGTGATCCGATATGCATGTTAGCAATAGAGCGATGGAGTTGGCCACCAGGAGAGCCAGGAGGCAAGAAGCTTGGCATAGAGGGCGATACGGAAGCAGCAGCATGATGATAAGCATTGTTATCTGAACTGTTGATCGTCACAGGCATGGTACCACCACCACTGCCACTGCCCTGGAAAGATCGAGGTCGCTGTTGTTTGAGAGTCTCGGGTAGGTTCAAGGAACGAGAGGAAAAGGGCAACGGTTGCGAATGTCGATTGGCAAGGCGATTGCTTCCAGGGCTTCTACCTCCCTTGGCAATATCCCGTTCTTCTTGCAATCGCTGCAGTAAGATGGCCTTCTTACCGGTAGCAGGCTTACCTCGTTGTCTCAGCATTTCCTTGAGTTCAGATACTGTGATATCATCAAAATCTACCTTGGTCAATTGATTGTCCAATTGTCTCTGATGCGATTCAGCATCAAATGGCTGGTTGCTGTTTGGCCGTGTGACACGTTGAATCTGGATAGGCATTGTGCGTGCAGGAACCGAAGAAGAGAGAGGTTCCTTGGACGAGAGACTGTCTTCTCTATTGTTGTTGTTTGTATTCATGACGAGGCCGCCAATCATAGCAACATTAGCAGCAGGAGGTGTAAGCGGTGGATGCTGTGTTGGTGATGGCGTGGGCGTAGAGGATGTATGTGTTGGCTTTTGCTGATCTTCTGCTGCTGCTGCTTTGTAGGGCACATGTTCCAGGTTGATTGCACTATCTTCTTTAAACGGCGGCACGGGAGAGGTCGATTGGTGTGTAACAGTCGATTTGGCGCTGTTGCTGGAGGAGGAAGCACGTTTTGATGTGGTATGTTGCGGTTGTGGCGATGTAGAATATTTCTTGCTGGATTTACCTTTTGATGATTGCAATGCTTTAGGTGTATAGTTTACCCTGAAGCGAGCTTGCAGTTCATTAAACCGGCGTTGATGATCAATTTTAGCTTCATTGGGATCGTCTTCATGATCATCCATGTTGGATTTGCCGACTACATGTTGACGACGGTTGCTCTGCTTCTTCTTGGTTTGCTGCTGCTGCTGCTGCTGCTGCTTTGTGGGCTCAAACATGGCTGTCAAATTGGACGCTGCTGTGTCCCCTTGAGCATGCTGTTCTGAATACGCATGCTGATCTCGTAACAACTGATGTTGGCGTAAAAAGTTTGGGTCCGATAGCAGAATAGCCTCTTGCTGTGTATCTAATGTGTGCTGGTGCTGTGGTGGTGGATGATCCCAGTGGGCGCTGTTGGTGTCAAACAGAGACGGTTCACTAAAGAGATTGTTGGAGTCAAATTCAAGCTGGTTGTTTAGAAAATCAATTGGAGATTCCTGTGGTTCAACAATGTGGTCAGTGGAGTCGACATGTGCATTTGGAAAGGTTGCATTGGATGCGTTTCTAGAGTGTAGATGCTCGCTGTTGTCTGTGAAATTGGGATCCTTTTGGTTGTAGAAATACATGTCTGAGCGAACAAGCAGAAAGAAAGGAAGGGTAAATGGAACGAAGGGGTGTGTATTCCAGCCTAAAAGACGATTGAGAATCACAACAAAAAATTAGACTGAAAACAAAGAGAAAACATGGTCACTTGTATCATCCATTTTATTTGGTAAATGAAAGACCATTTGTGTTACATGATAAAGGTGAAGAGCAGGAAAAACAAGACAATGGTGACAAAGATCTTGATGATGAGCCATCGGTTGGAGCTGATGCTCGTGTAGTACTTGAGCAGTTCCCGTTGCGCTCCCATGACATTCATCTCGATATCATCTGTGTTTTGGTCGATTCTACATCGAAATGTCAGTACAGCATGCCACACACACATTTACACACACACACACACCTTTGCACTGTCTCTCTCTGCTCAGCTACCATGGTGGCCAATTGCTGGAAAATGCTTCCTAGCTCTGCAATCGTGCTTTCAATGCTTTCAATAGCAGATGATCTATGATCAATGTATCTATCTTGCTCCATCACCATCATCTCCTGCTGCTGCTGTTGCGTGATCATGGGTATACCTAGCGATAATGTCGATTCTTGCTGCTCAGGCTCCTTGGTTTCCTCCAAGAGAGCCACGCTGTTTGTTGGCTGTGCTTGTTGCGATGATATAGGTGTTGTTTCCAGTCCACGGCGTCGGGATTTCATGAGAGGTGAATTGGCTATAATATCATATAAGCATGTGGCTACTCTACCGCAATCTAACCCACTTGCCTAGTGCTGGATCTGCTCCTTGCTCTGCTGCCGAGAACAAAAACTGATCTCTCTTGTCTTTTGACATTTTCATGTTCTGTAAACGTATAAGAAGACGACGATCCTTACATCCACACAGACTCTTACCTCTGTTCTAATCTCCAAAACATCCTTAAAACTCATGGAGGTATCTGCCAACTTGCTCTGCAAAGCCACTACGACATTGGATGTGTGCTCTGTTGCTTGTTTCGACGCTTGTTTTTGATGCTTTGTGTAGTCTTGTAGCATAGCAATTTGCTTGTTTAATTTAGCGATATCTTGCTTGATGATAAACGTCAGTTCCTGCAGAGCAATGTGAGTCAGCAGCAGTAGAGAGTACTTGTCATGCATAGCATTACACTGATTTCCACAGGCCTGTCATCAAACAGTGTCTTTCTCTTGGCAACTACACAGACATGGTGAGCGATCGTAAAGGCAACCCAGACCATAATCGCTTACGTTTCGTCAGCTTTTCTAGTTTGCTTGCCGTATTCGTAATTTGTCGACTGATTTCAGCTGCCATCACGGAGAACTCGGAGCGAGCGTGAGGCGCTTTTTTGCTGTTCTTTTTTGTTATGCTTGCATTGGAAGGTTCTGGTGATAAAAGAGCTCTGCGTTCCAGGATGGATGTCGGTGTGTGTGTTCTCGTGCGAATACGCTCACACATGGAGTGAAACTCGTTTGTTCTATCTCTGAATGATGATGCCATAGTGTCTCTTTTTTTTTTCTTTTTTTTTTTTTTCTTTTTCTTTTTGAATAGATATAACAAAAGAAAAAGGAGAGCTTGGTGGATGTAACAACGAAATATTTGGTTTTCCGTAGTGCTCATAGTGGTTCTCCCCGCCCAGTCACATTATGTACGTGGTGGATCCAGTCAGCATTTGGTTGGGATGTGGCGGGCCAATTGAACTGAATCAAGCCCTTTGCCTTTTCATGAACAAACAGAGCATTGCAGATCTGTATACATCGGTGGCTGATAGCTCTCAGATGTTGATGATATTGCTGAAGCAGATGTGATCAAGACAAGCTCAGATCCATGCCACATTTGAGACGCATTGGGGCCTTGAAAGCCGAGCATCACCTACAATTCAGATGTCCTGCTCTGCCTATCAATAGGTGATGTATTCTAGCGTATCACTTATCTTGTATGCACTCAATGTCATACAAACAAAGTCTCCACTAGAGCTCTGTGTATCAACGATGGCGCATTTTCATGTAGATTTTGTGTCTTCATTGGAGGGAATCGAGCGGCAATGGATGTGATGTGCGGTGACTGCAAAGACCGAAGCCAGAAAAAGAGTACAAAAAAAATAGACTATTTAGCAAAAGAGAGACGATGGCCATCATTTGACTCCCTCTTTTCCTTTTTTTTTCCGTTACAAGCAATGGTCAACACTATTCACGACGTCAAGATTGCCGTTATCGGTGGCTCCGGCCTTTACAAGCTCGAAGGTCTTGAAGTCATCGAAGAGGTCAATCCCGAGACTGTAAGTATATGGACAAGGATAGGATGGATTTTGCTCGGTCGAAACTCACATCATGTAGCCTTGGGGTTATGCCAGCGACAAAATTGTCATCTCCAAAACTCCCAGCGGAAACAAGATTGCTTTCTTGGCTCGTCATGGCCGTGGCCATTACTTGACCCCCACTGAAGTACCTGTCCGTGCCAACATTGCTGCCCTCAAGTCTCTTGGTGTGGAAGTCATCCTCGCCTTCTCTGCTGTTGGATCTCTCCGTGAAGAGATTCCTCCTTGCGATTTCGTCTTGCCCGATCAATTGATTGACCGTACTCGTGGTCTTCGTCCCTCTACTTTCTTTGGTGAGGGTGTTGTCGCTCATGCTGGATTCGCTGATCCTTTCCATGCCGGTCTCTCTGATTTGATTGCCAAGCACGAAAAGGTCCTTGAGTTCGGTGCCAGATTGCATCAAAAGAAAACTGCTGTTTGTATGGAGGGCCCTGCTTTCTCTACCCGTGCTGAATCTCACATGTATCGTTCTTGGGGCGGTGATGTGATCAACATGAGTGCTTTGCCCGAGTCCAAGCTGGCTCGTGAGGCTGAAATTGCTTATCAAATGATCTGTATGTCTACAGATTACGATTGTTGGAGACAAAACGAGGAGGCTGTTACTGTCGAAACTGTTATGCAAAACATGGGTAACAATGGTAAGAACGCAAAGACTTTGCTGCATGCTCTTTTACCTGATCTTGAGGAGGCTGTCAACAACGATACTCTTGAACCCAAGTTAAAGGGATCAATGAAGTTTTCTGGAATGACTGCCCCTGAAAAGAGAAACCCTGAAACTGTTCGCAAGTTAGATTTCATTTTGCCTGGTTACTTTTAAGTTATTCTTCTTTATTAGCAAATAAAAGAACTATATACTATTGTTTGTATTAAATTCTGCAAGGCCTACATGATAAAAAAATATGGCATTGATAAGGGAGCGGATAATGATTGGTTTTAGGCGGTCAATAAACTCTTTGAAGATTCGACAGGTAATGTCATTCTCCAAATATCAGAAGGTGATTTTGATTTGAAAGCAGGTGCCCATGGGGACAGGTTCTTTATGCTATTAGATGAACGCTGTGATTGCTCAAGCTGGTTGGGTATAGGTTGCAGTAATAAGGGAATACCGTTGTTGGATAATGGATGAGACGGAGAAGGCGATTGCTTGCTACGTGAGGTAGCGTCATCTAGAGTGCAGCTTTTTTGAATGTCTTGGATGATGGAGGATATGGGTGAGATGTCAGCCGATGTGAATAGTAAATCATCCTCGTCGCTCATGACCTTCCAAGGGTGAACAGCAAATTGTTGCTTTTGCGATGACTGAGATGCTGCATGAGCGGTTATAAAGCCAGGAGGAGCAGGCATGATGCTGCCTGTTGCAGCGACACCGACAGCTGTGCCAATGGGCGCACTGTTGGAAACTAGAAATCCAACGATATCTTGTGGACACTCCATGCGAGAAGCTTGTAGTAAGGTTGTTTTCTGACGCTCTGTGAAAGCAGGACACATGATGCCTGCGCGCACCAGTCGTTCCAGTAGGGTGCTGTCAATCTGAACATAGTCTTTTGCCAAATGCGTCTTGAGAGATTCAATGGCTAGTTTGAGCATTTCGTAAATGTGATCTCTATGCATAGTCGAGATGAGATGAAATTGATGCCAGGGATACTTTGCAATGACACTAATGATATTTTCAAATGGCCTTTCAGCGCATTTTCTCGAGAAATGTAACTGCTCAAAGCGATCAGGAATGAGAATGGATGTAGGCGCTACATGTCATGAGTTTACCTTGTAGTTTTTGCAGACGACTAGCAGTGAATTGATTTCTTCACGGGTGATGAAAGGCGGACAGCCAGAGCTGCTTCCTCCACCAGCGGCTGTTGTCATGGTTCTGAGGACCTCATTTGGAGGAGGAATAGCCGAGATGCCCTGAAACTGGCCCCTCCACTTTGGAAACACAACCTTGAGCAACTCTTCTTGGCAGCATTCAGTAACAGACACAATTCTACCCTTCAGAGGCTTTTGATTTTTGGTCTCGATAGCTCGACGCAGATCAAACACAGTTGCGAACTCGACATAGGCATCTGATAATGTCTTTCCAGTAGTGCGGTCCATCATGATCTATACAAGAAGAGGGGTTATATTAAAAGGGGGTTCAATCTCATAGCAGGAGCTTCTCCATCTGTAAAAAACTTACGTGGATGGATTGAGAGCATGTAGAAGAAGGAGGAATGCGACAATTTCCAAAGAAATGACGGACATCGTTTTGAGAGACATCCCAAGGGATCTTATTAAAATGAAACGTATTAACTGCCATGAACATGTATGTATAATTAAAGTCAAATTGCACATACGTTGGTCAATTTAACACAGGGATAATATGCCGTGTTGCTTGCTTGCGAATAGGTGGTATTGAATAAATAGTCGTTGCTGGAATAGGCAGTGGCGTTTGTTGGTGCTGACGGTGGAGATGCTCTACTTGCTGCATTGAAGTTTCTCTGAATTCAGGGGCGTTAATTAAAAGCACAGTATGTACATGGCATGGAAAAGGTGATTACCTGTGCGCAAAACGGACATGTTCCTTGTATCATGGACTGTGTGTTGTTGTTTAAACATGTATGACAGAACTGGTGTTGGCCACATGAGAGGTTGTACAGTTGTGATGGAGCATCGAAGCACAGGGCGCATGTACTCATGATATTGGGTATGGATGATCTTCGCCAATAGTCGGTTGGTGCTGTAACATTGCCAGGAAAGTCATGGCCATCCACCTGAACAGAGTGCTTACGTAATATTGGGTTTGTGTTGGCATTGCTGTTGATAGAGAGCCAGTCGGTGGCAGAAGAGCAAGGCCAATCAAACAAGGAGTAGTTGTTTAATGCAAACGAAGATGGTGTTGGAGGGCTGATGGGTGATTGATTCTCATTTTTATCTGCATTGGAGATGGTAGCCATGTTGATGTAATTTGATACAGTTGAAAGAAATGACAAAAAATCGACCTGTTTATATATGATTACCAAAGGATTGCATATATACATATATGTCTTGTAATTTAATATGTTGGAGAGTGGTATGTTTATTCATCTATGTGTACGTACTGTGTGTACATGTGTGCTCATATTAAGGTGCTAAATCAATCCCCCCTTACATTTTTTGCGCTTAATTTACCATTTTATTTTCTGTCAAACTTCCTAGTTTAGACATTTATTGCAGGCACTATTAATTCCTCTGGAATGGTTTACTTTACACATTGGCATCAAACATGGTTCGTTTCTGAATAGCAACTCTTGAGCAACACGTGTTTCTATGTTGGTTTATTGTAGAAAAACCTTAAAGCATGGATGATCTCTGTGTCTCTCTCACTCTCTTTCTCAAATGGTATACGCTGAGCAATGAGAAATGCTTTTTTTATTGCAGTTGGTATGTGGAAAAATATACTACAATGGTATTTTCAGCTAGATTAGATACGATAAAGGGCTGTGTATTATTTTTTTTTTTCTTCTGTGAAGAATCATTATAGAAATCTGTGCGACACTAGTCATCAGTCATCAGCATCTATGATATACATGTACGTTCTAACATTGATACGTAATGACACACACACACACACACACACACACACACACATACATACACACACATGCTATTGTAGCTTATTTCAGACTGGCCTACTCTTTATGCCCTGGATCTCTGGATCGATTCTCTCAAATGCACACCTGCTTTAGTCATCTCATTCCCTAAAACTTTAAGAAAGAGTCTATGAGAAAAATCAGCCGAAATAAGCTCGAGCCAATCTAGTTGTCCCTACTGTACCCGCCCTTTCTCTGCTATTTTTTGATCTCATCAATGGACCTCCAAGGCATTGGAAAAGATGGCTTTCCCTGCATCTCACGTGTGTATTTGAATAATATTGAATAATGTTGTACAAAATCTTGTATGTATAAAATAGATTTGGAGATAAAATAGTTAAAACCTAATACACAAGTAGAGCTCTTTTTTCTTCTCTTCTTTTTCTCTCGTATTTTAGTGCCTGAATTGGAAGAATGCAATCCACACAAGATAACAGTAATAAATGGACATCACCTCCTGATACGCCTCGCAATTACATGCCGCTCCAACCAAGCTATCCGTACAGTAATACCGAGTACAATCCTCAATCCAATGTACTGCCCGGTTTGGCCACACAGCCATCTATGCATGGGTAAGGTATTTTGATGAGAGCATGATTAGCACACATGTATTCACCCACTTTGCACAGTTTAATGGCAGGCTCGCAGCCAAGCACACCGAGACCTGATATTATTAGCCCACCACCTGACAAAATTTCTTCAATCACTTCAACGAATACGACCACTACGCCTGACCTTATTAGAAGAAGACCTCCACTTCCTTCTCGACCCGCAAGTTTCACCACCACCACATTTCACTCCAATCCTTACCCAGGCAGCGTCTCATTGAGACGACGCAGAACGGAATCATCCATGTTCTCCTTTGAAACCGGACCCTCCTTCAGCCAAACCAAGCAATTTTTAGATTTATGGAATATTGATCAAACGAATGGGTATGTAATTATTTGTATCACATTAAACTTCTTGTGTCTCATACAATAATACGAAATAATCTCAGGCATCAAGTTCAATTGCATGCTAAAATGGACCGAGGATTTTTCCGCGCAGATCAAGACTGGACCTGCTATCGCCGTAATTACTTTCAAGTTAGTGCTACATTTGATGTCCATGGTATGAATTATGCAATGCAAGGTCCTGAAGTGCCTTGTCTGCTAAGAACCGAGAACCAAGAGATCCATCAAATCGACTTCTTTTCAATTGGCGTCAGTGCTCGTGTATCTGGTAGCGACAAAAAGATTGAACTGGTTCAGCATACACCCAAGCGTGATAAAGGCCCTCAAATGATACCTGAGCCCAGAGTCGTCAGCGCTGGCGGCAATTTGCACTTGGCCTCTGTGGGTTCCAATCACAACATTGTCACCTTTGAGCGTATGCAATTCAAAACCGCCACCGCCAATAACGGAAAACGAAGAGCTGCACAACAGTATTACGAGATAGTGGTCGATCTGTGTGCAAACAGTTCGACGGGAAAGCAATTCAAAGTAGCTTCTTGTACATCTGCTCCTCTCGTTGTTCGTGGTAGAAGTCCTGGGCATTATGCTGATTCACATACACGCTACAGAAGCATGGATGCTGGTACTCCTTCAACTGCTCCATTTGGTTCACTTGGTCAGGGCGCTGCTGGTAGCACAACAAACCCTTCGCTTCCTCCACCTCCTCCTCTGCCTGCCACCAATTCGTCTTCTGGTGCTGCCTCTTCCAGTTCTGGTAGTGGCCCAGGTGTTTCTGATGATCATCATCATTACATGCCTTCCCCACAACAACAGCGTCCATATGGCCCTTCCATGAACTCATCTGCCAGCAATGGTAACCCTGATTTCGGCAACCCTTATTCTTCCTACCATCAACAGCAGCAACCACCACCACCTTCCGATGGCTATCCTTACCCCGTAGCTAGCTTTGCTCCCGTATTAACCACGCCTCCCATGGGTGCTAGTAGAGAAGACGAAGGGCATCGCGAGAGCGGTTACATGATGCATCCCTATGCTACGCAGCCCTCCCAACATCCAAGCAGTCATCAAGACAGCTACTATGACAATAATCACAACAATGGGCATCCTAGCAACGACGTTTACGGCAACCATCCTGATAATAAGCCATATTGGAACAATAGGGATCCTCAATTACAACAGCCTAACAATGCACGTTATAGCTCAAACGGCCCTCATGCAAACAGCTCTCCTTACGACTTTAACGGCTACAATGGCAACAGCGTGCGCCCTCAACAACAATCGACCAACGAACATCCCTCTGAACCTCATCACTCACTTGACGCTGGACGTTCAATAAAATCTGATAATAGGCAATGCATGCATCATTCTTCAGCAAACTCTCATTAATTTGATATTTACTATGTGTTCAACCATTCTTATCCCAATTATTTGCAACGATACAATCCCTTAAAACATAATTTATATTGCTATTCCTTACAACCACAACACACCTTATAATTTACCTCTTCTACTATTAAATATTTGTAATGCTCAATAAAAAAAAAAAAAAACTGTGCTGATTTCTTGCTACATATAATAATTTGACAAATTTGTCTATTCCAGACAGGATCAAGTCATCCAGATTTTTATGTGATATGGAATTGAGGCACATATTGCCATCAAGCAAAGATAGGCATGATGACTATCACCTGCCTCAATCTAGAGATACATTTCCTAAAGGTTGTTTACTACCTATTATAACAATATGCCTCGCCTTTGTATAATGTCATACAAAGATCTAAAGATTCTATTACAATGTACGAGTGTGCACATCTTTGCATGCATTCATGTCACAACAGATCCTTTTCAATGCCCAATGTACCAACGGGTTAATCCTACTAGCCTAACAAATCGTAAGCTTCCACACTACATTTATCAAGAACAAACCAGAAGGGTATTACAAAATTGGCAAAAACAAGCAGAAATGGAAAGTTACACCTCTTTCGTTCAGGTACTCCGTGTTACATTACAACAATCCAAGTTGATGGTAAACCTACATGTATGTATTTCAATGGGAAAATCCTACAGGAAACGTTGGACAAGAGAGCTTGGAGTTCCTGTTTGGGCATAATCGATGATTTATGTTTCCATTGTTGACTTTACAGCCGGAGCGTGTTGTAATTTGCTTTGATTGTTGGGCAATGATCGAAAAAGAGTCATTGTAAAAAAAAAAAAAAAAAAAAATTGTCCGTATCAAATCCCCTAGTAAAGGTGCATGGATAGAATGCAGCGTCTCAGCAGAGAGTTTCCGGCTAGATGGCTGTAGAGTTGGGTGATGGTCTTGACGTCTTTAAAACGTAGATCTTGGCTGAATATAGCTCTTTCAGCGAGAAGACCCCAGCATTTGCAAACCCGTTGACGTTCAGCTACTCTTTATAGATTTACTTACTCTTAACAACACTTCCAATGGTAGACAATCCTAAGCAAGAATCAATTTTGTGTGACAAAATGGAAAACAAAAAGCATTCTCCTTGACATGGATCAAGTTTACATGTAGCAAGGTCCGATGAATGCCAATTTAAGCTTTGTTTATTGCTTGATTTACACGATAAATACTATAAAGAGAAATCAATCACGTCCACACCTGTTCATGACATTTGACGCCAATAGACGACTCTATTCTTTCTACAGATGATGCTGGCTGATGTCTTGAAATGGTGATACAAAAGTCAATTTGTCTTTTTGATGTGCATCTCTCAGCTCGCACTTGTGCCATACAATCCATATCTCGCGACTCGACTCTACGAATAGCTAGTCTGTTGTTTTCATCTTTCATTTCACCTAGAAGGCCCTGAAGTACTGTTAATTTATCAGCCTCCCAGTATGGTATGATGGCGGTGCTGGCACTATTGACTGCGTGTATACAGCGTTGGATGGTCTCTCCTTGCTTCTCTTCTGATTCATGTATTTGAAGTACTATTTTGCGGGCACTTGGATACTTGTATACTAGATATTCGACAATTTGAGGGTTCTGTCTGAACAGTACGTGCAGTTCACATGCATTGAGGCATTTCTTGACATTTTGCATCATCCACGCGTTTAATTCGGCAGGCTCCAACCATCCATTGTTGCCAAAATCCCAGACACCAATAGTGAGTTCCAGCAAGTAATTGCATTTCTTGAGTACATCATCAAAAATAGCCACATTGTCCATCTCGTCCAAGAGAAAAACCGACAGATAAGTAAGGCTTTCGAATTCATCCGGAACAGAGGTTGCAGGGATCCAAGCTTACGTTGATAAGACTTACCCATGAAGCCAATTACAAAGTCAAGCCTTTTTAGGGTCTTTCGAAAAAATAGAGGGCCATTTCTTTATGAATCGTTGCATCGAACATGGGCGGCAATGGCAAATAGGCTAGTTTTTTGAATCGCTCGGTTGAGCCTTTAGCAATGTCAAGCATGATTTTGAGTGATTCGTCATTGGCGGTGCCTTGTACGCTTCTGATGGTAGGAGTAAATGCCAATTGAAGAAAATATCTGTGGAATGGTAGGCTGCCCATGATGATCGGCTCAAAGTGAATGTACTTGATACATCGTCCCAAGAAAGGCTTTCTGACCACATGATTGTAGAATCTAGTGAGAGTAGTGGTGTTTCTAAATTGAAGAGCTTGACCAAACATGGCTCTTTCAGCAAGAGGGTCCCAAGTTTTGGAAATGAGACAACATTGAGCCAATTGCTTTATGTCTCCTACTACATGACTGAAAACCAACAACCAAATCTCTGCTGGCAAGGCGCTCCAATCGATAGGCATGAAAAGTCAATGAAAAAAAAAGAGATGAATGCCGTAAACCTGATTATTGGCAGCTACATATCAACAAGTGACCTAACCGCATGCCTAAATAACGCTTGAACATCACATAAGAACTAAATCAGTGATCTTGAGCCTTGGTGTTATTCAAACTCTAGGTTGTAATGGGTCCATATGCATAATTGCTGTTGATGATAATGATATGAAGACAGACTACAACATAGATTGTTGATAGTTGATGATATTATTACTCATGTGGCTGTACGATCAAGGTCTTTGTGTACACCTAACAAGTAGCTTACAATACAACGGAATTGAGCAAATCGTTTTATAATATACTCAATGATAAAGCATGTTCTGATATCGCTGCATTGAAATATACATGCAGAGCAAATTCATAAGCAATGTTCAACAATTAAACCTGCTGAATATATATATAAAGCTGTAGCAAAAAAGTAATTTAAAGTACTCAGACAAAGCTATCGTATTTCTTGTTGTATGATCCTCTTATCATTAGATGTAGATGCACTGGTTACCTTCATAATGTTAATCCTAGAAGCTGCTAAAATTAATTCAGATGCCGCTTTACACTGTATTGTTCAGGAATAAAGGGACCACTATAATATGTAGGAAGAAGAAAGACTGACGTTTATTGATGTGGATGCTTGGATCTTTATACCATTGATATGGTGTTACACGACATCCCACCGCTGTGATAAGATATAGAATTTAAATAAGGACTATGATATAAATGTATGAATGAAAATCGCGTTAAAAAACCTAATATAGGAAAAAGCTTGATGATAGGTAGAAGTTGATCAGTGAGATGGTTTCAGAAAAGACACATGGGTGTTTTTGTGTTTTTGACCTGTGGCATCATTGATTACATCGTATCTTGTGGTGGACAGGACCTTCTGTATTGTGCAAGGACCTATCCAATCTACTTGTAGTTTTCTTGGATTGTTGCGAGTGGAAATACGATTGTTGAAAATGTATACTTTGTCATTGATTTCAAATTGTGGTGTTAGTTTTTGATTATCATATATTTTCTCCAAATGTTTGTGTACATGTTCAAATGTAACTTGAAGCTTGATTTGTAACTGTTTCGCGAAGTGTGATTCCGGGGTGTCTTGTTCATTGTATGAATCCGGTAATTTCTCTGGTATTATCGTTGATAATGGTGTGCGTGCTGTGCGCCCGTGGACCAACTCAAATGGGGACGTCTTGATAGAATGGTGATACATATTGTTGTATACAAATCGAATTATCCTCAAGTTGCTGCTCCATCTTGTAGAAATCTGGTTGATATCCGTGTATGATAAAATCATTGTTCGTAGTGTTTTCATGAATCGTTCCACTATCCCGTTGGATGATGGATGATACGGCGGTGTGTATACGATGTTGATGTCTACATATCTTGCTACTTGCTGGGTGAATTGTGATCCAAGGCTGTTTCCGTTATCACACATGATCTCGTTGGGAACGCCATGTCGCAATATAAACTGAGTGTACATGATGGAAGCCAATTCTTGAGATGCTGTAGACCTGGTAGGATATAGTTCTACGTATTTTGTGAATGTGTCTATAACCACCAACACGTATTGATGTCCCGCGCTTGACGTTGGCAGAGGACCAAAGTAGTCGATTGCGACCTTGATGAACGGAGCTGTTCCATGGGTAGTGGTCATATTATGCTTAGTAGCAACATGTCCCTTGATTCTTTGACAAATTTGACACTTCTGAATATAGGCATTGATATCATGAGTCATGTTGGTCCAGTACAAGTGCGCTTTTACCAAGGAAGCCTTGGTCTTGGCGATACCGCCATGTCCTGCAAACTTGGAGTCATGATGTTTGCTGATCAGATTCGCTACCAGATGGCTAGGTACCATTATGTACATGTCTGTGGCTATGGTCTTGTGCTGTTTGTTTTCTACCTTGTATAGTATGCCATCGACGACTTTATGCTTGGAGTACTTGACATTCGTGTTGTTAAAGTATGGTCGTAACATGGGATCCAGTCTTTGTTCCTTGGCCCAATCGATGTCCGGATGATGAGAGGCAATTGCATGAATCGCAGCACGAGATAGTGTATCCGCAGCATGGTTCACCTTTCCAGGTATGTATATGACCTTGAAATCATAAGCCTGTAGAAAGAGGCACCATCGCCAAAGTCTGGGTTGTTTGTCCGCATCGGTATTAAGAAGCCACTGGAGGGATGAATGGTCAGTGAATACGGTAAATTGGTTGCATTCAAGATACATTCTAAATTTCTTAACCCCAAAGATGATGGCTAAAGCTTCCAATTCACGGATGGAGTAGTTTTTTTCAAACTTGGTGACACTGCGGGATGCGAAGGAGAGAGGGTAAGGTGTGTCATCGTACCGTTGGCAGAGTATGACAGCAATGCCTGCTGAGGTGGCAGCATCGCAATGAAGCTCGAATGGAAGTTTGAAATTGGGTTGTTTCAAGTAAGGTAATGCAGCGAGAGACCTTTTGAGTTCTTGAAACGCGTGCTCCTGTTCGGATTCCCAAGCGAATGGTACATCTTTGATCTTCAAGCGTCGAATTGGTTCCACCATTACTTGATACTTGGATATAAACTTGGAATACACTCCTGCCATGCCGAGTAACCTTTCAACCTCTTTTATATTTGTGGGAGCCCGTAGATTAGTGATAGGTGTAACTTTATCCATGTCAGCATGGACACCCTGATCAGAGACAATGAAACCTAAGAAATTGATTTGATTTAGCCCAAATTGGCACTTTTCAATGTTGATGGTCAAATTGGCTTCCCTCAGTCTCGTTAGGAGTTTGCGTAACTGGAGCACATGATTGTCAAAGGTATCAGAGAACAGTATGGTGTCGTCTTGATAAGCGATAGCAGTTCTGTATCTCATGTCCCCGAGTACCTGATCCATTAATAATTGAAAGTGTGCTGGGGCATTTTTCATCCCCATGGCCATCGTGTTAAAAACATATGTAGAGTTAGGTGTTACCAGGGCACTCTTGGGCTTGTCAGCAGCAGCAATGGGAATTTGAAAATAGCCTGACAGGAGATCTATTTTTGAAAAATATTTTGCGTTGCCCAGAGACTGCAGTGCATGATGGAGGTTGATAAACGGATACTTGATAGTCTTTGTGATCGCATTTAGTTTGACGTAGTTTCCGCATATGCGAAGAGAGCCGTTTGGCTTAGGGACCGCTGTTACTGGGAAGCCCCAATCCGTGAAGTTGACTTTGCTGACAATTCCATTGCGTTCCAGTTCAGAGAGCTTGGCGTCGATCTTCGATTGTATGTCAGGATGGTAATGTCTTGGTCGAATGTAAATGGGAGGATGGTCTCCCGTGTCGATGGTGAATTCCATTTTGGTAGTAACTGAGGGCTTGTCCGAGTCTTTGCGTAATAATTCTTTGAACTCTTGTAATACATCTTGTATCCGAGCATCTTGGGAATCGGTTAATTGGATGTTACAACGCCTCGTAGCTGTGGTCTCGTAATGTAAGTTTATAAGATGATTGTCAGTTTGTAGTGTGAACATTTTGAGTTTAGTATTCATATTGACCTGAAATCTGCACATGAAATCCCAGCCGATGATAGCCTGACGAGCCAAACCGCGTATAACATGAAATTTCGTTTCGTAACCAAAAAGATTCAATTTAGTAATACCCATCGTTTGTGCTGTACGATTGTTCACGTCTGTGTAACTGATGATCTGATTGTTGTCTATTGTCAACTGCAGTGTAACGCATGTGTCATAATCCATGGCAGTGATAGCAGAACCTGTGTCCCATAATGCATGAATAGTGTGATCTCCAATGACGATTTTAGTTGTGGGAGTGAAACTGTCATGTTGAGTGGTTCGAATAGCATGCATGGAAGTAGCACGAATGTGATTAAGAGGAACCGGGGACCCCAATTCCATTAATCCTGAGTCATCCTCTGGGTGTTCAATAGTGTCTGTCTGATGCACAGAGGATGCCTGTGTGGGACATTCGTAATTTCGATGTTCGCCGAAGCAGTGACCGCAGACAGGATGTCCTTGTTTGTTGTATAATCGAGGTACAGGATCCGGAGGAAATCGTGAACGAGGTTTGGAATTGAATGACTTTTTGCTATTTCTGAATGGTCTTTTAGTACTTTTGTCTTTGTACGAGTTTGAGCTATTAACATAATCAACTTCCATTGGGTCATCCATCGTGGATTGAGTGTGGGATCCCGATAAGTGTGCTTGTTCATCAGTATTATCATTGAGCCTAGCCTTGTGTTCAAAATCGATGGCCTTCGTGATAACTTCTTGCACCGTTGTGACCTTAGCGAGTTCTACATACGCTGTTAATGTAGCACGTAATCCTCTGTCGTGTAGCGATTGAGTAAATAAAGATATTTGATGAGCATCCGAGATATGATTATCCGGCAGCAGACTTAGCAAATGTTTCCATTTAGCACTATGTAGTTTGATGGACTCCTGCTTGGGTTGTTGACATCGCTTCAAATTGGACTTGAACTCTCGATATTCCTCGTCGGCAGGACGACCAAATTGTAACAGCATTTGTTCAGTTACGTTGGCCCAGTTTTGTCTGACTGAGGAAGGTAAGGTAGGTAACCAGTTTTTGATGACGGGAGGCATGAAGCGACCTAGTTGGACGGTACAGATATCCATGTTTTCAATGCCTACGAAATTTGCCTGTAATTCAAATTCTTTGATGTAGGTACGTAAGCTAGAATGCAATTCATACCGTGGCATGTCAATAGACTTGACCTTTTCAAGGTTCATGTATTGGATGAACTCCTTGGTGTTGGAATCGGCCATGTTAACGGACTGTGGGGTGGTGTGATAAGATGATGTGATAGACGAGGTACTGTTTGTTGTGGTGTAAACCTTTCGAAGGGATGCGATAAATTTTACTTGCTGCGTGAAGTAGTTTTTTGGTTCTGTTGTTCGGGCCTGTTTGCGAGTAGGTGATTGCAGCTGTGTGCTGGAGCGATGTTTTGTGATCTTGCGATATGTGTGATCTTGCGATATGTGTGATTTGGTGTAGTCGAGTGTGAGCCTTTGATATATCTAGTGGTTTCCGGGTTCGAGAATTCAGTTAGGGAGCCTCACCATGTATTGTTCAGGAATAAAGGGACCACTATAATATGTAGGAAGAAGAAAGACTGACGTTTATTGATGTGGATGCTTGGATCTTTATACCATTGATATGGTGTTACACGACAACACTTTTGTCGTGATTTGTTCGTTTTCAAACTTTTTGAACATGATTCGACCTGTTTTGCAAAATTCGACTATATAAACTGTGATGACACTCCCGTCATCTATTAAGCTTCCTTGAAGCACTTTTAAAGGCGCATCTAATGGTTCTAAATAAATAAGGTGTTATGAAAAAGCTTTTTGAGCAATTTTTGAAAATTTGAAATGCCTATTTTGGCGAAAATGTCAATATTTTACTGATAAAGGTCTCATAAACAAAGTTTCAGGGGTTGCTTTGGACCGATGCAAACATTTTGATTTAATAAATGCTATAATAAAAGTCTTCATTTTTGGGGTCAAAATCGCGATCGTTTGATTTTCAATGAAAATCATGAGGTATCCCTCATGGTTTTGGAGTCGATTTTCGACGATTCCAAAAAATTGAGCAAAGGTGTCAGAAAGTAGCTGCTAAGCAGGAGTGATAGTTTGGTGCTATTCTGGAAGTTTAAAATGGCGTTTGACACGAGAAAACACGGCCCAAACGCACCTACTTTTCGCTGTGTTTTGCGTATCTCTGAGAAATAAAAGGCAATGTAAGTATTCTGTCTATCCATATATGAGCTGTTCCCATTGATACTAATGTGGAGCATCTCATCAAATCCAGGTATGCAGTCATGAGCTGCTTTGGAAGGTTCTCATCTGATAGAGTAAAGCTAAAATGCAAGATTTCAGTGTACATTGGCATCTATCAAAGAATTACTGTACGGCGTGATTATAATGGACATCTAGCAACTCCAGAGCTTTATAATACTACAGTGTCGTTACGTGATATTCATATAGCAAAACAACCACCCTTTTGCTAACGGTTTGTGCATCAAGAGACAATACACTCTGAATATTATGAAGGACAGTTTTTTCAGATGGTGATCGTTTCATGCGCACAAAACAGAGCCAAATGGTCGAGTTTGTAAGAGATTTCCTTGTAGACTCGAGAGGATAGCCTCGCCATGGTTAACTAAGCAAAGCTTTCTAAATTTCCTAAAGCCATTCCTTATTGTGTGCCTGTTATAGTGAATTGGAGGATTCAAGCAACTGTGTTTTCACGGTGTGCTATAACTGCATCTATCTTTCAAAATGCGATCAGTGATGCATTCCACGAATAGAAACTTGTTGAGACCAAAATTAATTCCTGGCAGAGAGGGGCACACACTGTTCCAAACGAGCACTTTTTTAGCATCCAATGTTTAAAAAGTGGAAACCGACCTTTTTTTCTTCTACTTCGTATATACCAACGAATGACAATACGCAGCGCGAAAACCTGCTAGCACCAGAGGAGCAAGATGACACAACAGATGCTCGGCACACAAATCAGCAGTTTCCGCTAGTTGTATATTGGGTATGCTACCACATCACATTATAGTCGTGAAAATCTGATGGACGAATACTATAGATATACTTTACATATGGCATCGCTATGCTACTACCATGGAACGGTATACTATCAACTATTCTGTATGGAAAATCGCCTCAGTCTAACACGCATAGCAAGTCTTTATCACTGCTTCAGATTACTTTTCCACTCGTTTTGCTGGATCTCCTTATCAAGACAGCTTTCAGAACTATTTCTCGGCATACTTCAATTGCTCAAACTTAGTTTCCTTGGCTGTGTTGCTGTGGATACGTCAAAAGAAGGTATGCTGAGCGTCATGGCAATGAGCTTTCGATTGACGTCTAGGTTCTAGGATACCTTGAATATCGATGTCGTTGTGCCATTATCAATCAACCTGCTTATCTTTTCATTCTTTGCTCTGTCTTCCTTGACAGATCCAAAAGAAGCAGCCGCTGTCTCTTATTTCTGGACTACGATTGCATTCATGGTAATTACTGGTTTGACGACCAGCATGATCCAATTAACGGTGCTTGCGGAAACAAGTCAACTCTTACCAAAGTATATGCAAGCTGTCATGAGGTAAATGTGATTAGGAAAGTTAAAAAGGCACCCACCTAACGGTTTTGTATATATATATATATATAGTGGGCAAGGTATGAGGGATATGCACATCCTTAGATCGAGACTGAATCAAAGGTACTTTTATTAGGCATTGCAGGTGTTTCTGTTGCTCTCTTTTCTCTCTTGACCACACTACTCTTCAAAAGGCAGCAATTAGATGCAATAGCTACATTTTACTACTTTATATCCGCATTGTTGGTAACACTAATAGCAATCATGGGGCGCTTTGCATTAAGACGGCAGCCAACCTATCTACGTTTAATTCGCCACACTGCCTCCACATTAGACACAATCCCGATGACCATGACAATGGACGACACAGCATCACCAACAAACACAACTACAGGTTCAAGCAAGCATGTAATGCAAGATATCATTACCAAAAAATCAACTGGCTACATTTTTACCATCGTCTACATCTACATCATCACACTTGCTCTATTCCCGTCGATTACAGTGCTTGTTCGATCTGTCAGCAACATAGATGCAGCGACATTTATCTCGCTTCACTTTTTGCTATTCAATATTGGCGATTGGGTCGGTAGAACGTTACCTATATTTGCATGTTGCCAGGTATATTCCAGCAAGGCATTGATCTGTGTCTCGTTGGCCAGAACATTGTTCATTCCCTTGTTTTTCAGTTGCAATTTACATGACAGCAGCAACAGCAGTACACCTCTTTTGAATAGCGACATGTTGTACTTTGGTCTTATCCTGCTGTTTGCTATTAGCAATGGATGGCTGACGAGTCTTGTTTTCATAGCAGCACCAAGCCGAGTCAGCCACAATGAAAAGTCGGTTGTAGGCAGTGTGATTAGCTTCTTTTTGGTTGTTGGATTAGCCTTGGGAGGATTAACTAGTTTTTTATTCAAATAAAAAGTAAACCACAATTTGGTGGATTTGTTTGTGACACTAACCTCATTGTGGTAAGCTGTCAATCAGATGAATTCTTTGGACCGGGGCGCTCTCTGTGCGGCGAGCGCCCCTGAAAACTTGTAGTGTTACTCGCTAACTCTTTTTAATGAGTCGGTTTTGAGTGTCAACCCAGGTTGAGAATGAGTACGAATGTCTTAGTGCCTATCTGTTATCTTGTCCCTGACTAGGGTAATAGAGGGCTGGTGATTCCTACATCTTTTCATAATTTGTAACTAGAATTGAAACGAAAAATTAAATCAAATGTTGATTGTATCCATTGTCGATTTTTATGACAGTGCGATTGGCTCAACTTGCTTGGCTGATGGCCATGGAGATGTTGCACTTGGTGTAAGGATACAATCATCATGGCACTAGTCCAAAGTATCACTAGTGTGTAGCAATACAGCCAAAAATTGGGAGTTTATTAGACGCATTCATTTTTATGGGAATGAAAAGCAATGTGTATAGAGTTGTATAAGGCATTAAGTGTGTGTATAATAGTTTTAAGCAAATGGTACAAGATTAAGTAATACAATGATAGAACAGTTTCAAAATTGAGGGTGATAATGTGGATGATGAATGATCAAAACAAAAACTCTAGTGAGTCTTTTTACCGGCGCAACCAGAAATGGCTATCCACAGTGGAAGCAGTATCAGAAAATGGCGATGCTGGTTCCACAGTTTGATGGTGATTTTGACTGATGGTACTCGTGGAATACGACTTTGTTTGAAACCTGTGAAGGAGATCTGTTGTTGTGTTGGAGGTATAGGATGTAGGTGTCGTGCATAGATAAGACGACGATGAATCCACAGATGACGAATAAGATGTAGAAGATAATGATACAGAAGTCGAAGTTGAACAAGAGCTTGATCTTTTGATGTGAATAGGTGCAGGATGATGGGAAGAGCCCTCTTCCGCTTCCTTGATGATGAGACGGGCGTTCCTGACCCAATGCCGACGTCTTGTGAGCACACGCAAACCAGAGGATTTGGATCCCCATGATTCCCAATTCCAATTGCCATATTCCCATCCATCTTTGTCTACATTGCGATTATCATCTATCTGCCATTCTTGAGATACCCACTGCCATGTGATGGTGGTCATTTTTTGCGTTTTTGGATCAACTTTGGTAGTGGGAGGCGGTAACTGGAACTTTTGAGTAGATGGTACTCGAATAAGGTATTCGTCAGACCTATAGTAAGAATGCTACGTTGTTAGTCTCTATGCTTTCTCATGTGATACACTTTAAAAAAAGCCTACCATTCTGGTCTTTCGTTGGGTAATAGCAGAGCTGTCCATCCTTTATGAAACCACCAGCGTTGATGCTCAATCACCTTGAAATGATAGCAACGATCGAAATGTTCATGGCTCTTGCTGCGTTTGTGTGGTGAAGTCATGGCCTTTTGTGGAACAATGACGCGATTGGCATGACGAAGAATGAATGCTGCCCTGTGATATGAATAGCGAATGACTCTAAACAAAGGGCTATTCCAAGTAAATGCAATGGATCCAAGGCACCAGATCATTTTGTCGAGACCAAACAACCCCAAACAAGTTATCCAAATGGTGTAGACCGAAACGAATTGCAGCAATTTCTGGTAAATAGAAAGCACAAACAATGATCGACAGTACTGTTTAAATTGATCCTTGAATTCTGCACTTGGTAACATCATGGATAGTTCGTATTGAATCTCTTTCAGTTTGGCGGTGAGGTTGTCTTGCACGTTGGCGGTCGAAGCCTTCTCGTGGATGGGTGTCTCGGTCATGAAACCATAGTACACAAATACAGCGATATATATAGGTAGTGTATAGGCAACAATAAAAGGATGAAACCAAACAAAAGTCCAAACAAGCAGCGCTGCAATTGATTGACGGGTATAGCCCTGCTTCCAACGTACCATTCGTAGCAAGTAAGTGACATGTGTGATGACTGGCTCGATGGTGTATACAATATCAGGATATGCTGTAACGCTGATGCCGTTGTTGATTGAATCGTCATCCTCAGGCATACTGTGAACACTCATTGATCATTCGCCTATTTTCCAATGCTAATTAATCACAAAGAAAAATAAAGAGAGTGGAAGAAGAAGAGTGTAATATGAATAGAAAAGGGGTAAAGGGTAAATTGATATGTGATTCTTTGGGGCGGAGAAGGATAAACAATTTGATTAGTTCTGGCGCACCTGATATATACAGCTTGCAACGGGGTGATGTACCGACACCTCTTCATATTGAGATCTGCTTGTTACAATAATGCTCTATATAAGGACAAAAAACCTTAGGCTCTACTTTTAACAAACAAGGTAGTTGGGACCCAGAAGTATGCTAGGGCGAGATCATCTTGTTAATGAAGTGGATTGCAGTCATCAAGACATCTTTTTGGATGGAGACTTGCTATATTCTATATTTAGGATTTAATTACTTGGAAGCATAGCTCAACTCGATCCTGATTTGCTCCAATTTGGATGCGTAATTTATACCAGCAGTTGTTGTATGCAGGCAAATGTATACCTATACAAAGCCAAGATATTTCTTGATTTAGTATTATGCATCTCATCATCAATAGCGTTTCTCCTTTAATGATGATGGCAGCCATTAATTGAAAACATTGTGATTACAATTCGAATACAGGGTATCAAAGCAACATGATGACAATAAAAGTGGCAAATGTTTGGGGTAAGCATTTGCAGACCATGTAAATGACGTATAAGACAGGATGAATCATCTATTACACATCCAGATATAAACATTGGGCAATCAGAACATCACTGTCTCCTGATTCTGAATTTGTCAAGTAGTTTTCATTCTACTTGATGCGATCACTTCAAGATCTTGCTTCCAAATGTATATAATAGATATGACGAAGATGTATACATACAACTTTGAGCACTAGGAGAAATTGAATGTCTAAATGAATCACACAAAGTAACACAAGCATACCCTAGTGGACTGCCTCTACAAACATTGGCTATATAGGCTTGCCTTTCAATGTAAAATGAGCTACATAGTTAAAAATAAATATAGCATTTGGCTTCCCAAATGCAATCATCAAGAATAAAATGAGCGATCTTGCGCGATTGAGAGCTGAAATTAAATGGGAGCAATCATGATCTAGGCTTATCATAACATGCTAAATTACTGATCTCTAGACATTTTCAAAGTCTCAAGAAGGAAAGAAATCGATCTAACAAGTATTTTGACAGACTGGCGTTATTAAATATAGAATGTAAGAAAAATAGCATGGCTAACGATAGTGCTATATAATTTACCACCTAGTTTCCATACACTTCAAAAGCATCTATTACTGCACTGACTTTGCCAGCCGGCCCCACCAGCAGCCAGAATCGATTCAAGCTCAGAATTTTAATCTACTCCAGATTGGCCAAATTTTGATATATTTTCGACCTGATTGAACTACTTTACCAGATTCGACTATATCAAGTGTGATGATCACCCTATGCTTCCTAATACATTGTTGAAGTACTTTTCAAGGCACATCCAATGATACCAAGTAAGGTAAATGTTTTGAATAAACTTATTGAGCAATTTATGAAAATATGAAAAGAGGTTTCTGGCCAAAGAGTCGAAATTCTATATATTAAAGTCCCACAAAGATGATTTCAGGGACTGCGTTGTAGTGTTAGAAGCATTTTGAGTTACTACATGCTATAGTAAAAGCCTTCATTATCAGGGTCGAAAACGCGATCGTTTGATTTTTGATGAAAACCATGAGGGGTACCTCATGCTTTTTGTTCGATTTTTGACCATGTTTTTTTGATCCCCAATAAGTTGAGCAAAAAGTGTCAACAAGTTAGTGCTAATTGAGAGCAATTGTTTGGTGGTATTCTGACGATTTAAAGCGGTGTTGAACGCGAGAAAACACAGCTCAAATGCGCCCAGTTTTTACTATATTAGGCACACTCTTGACTAGAAAGGGGTGATACCAATACACTGCTTGCCCGTATGTGAAGTATCTCCACTGTATATGGATGTGGAACATCACATAAGGGTCAAATCCACAGATAGTACGAGAGTTCCCTTGTGTAAGTGGAGGATCAAAGGGCAATCGGTAGCGTGAGCTGCCGCTGCGCAGATTGGTTCTCACCGAAGCGAAGCGAGAGTAGAGAACCAACCGAAGCATAAATACACTCATATGCAATTAGAGATAAAATCATCTCAGGGCAGCTCATCATCCAAGTGTGCTTAGCATGGCTTGCTGGGCATCCTAAAGGCTTGGTAGTATTGTAACTAATATGGTGCTGGATGGCAACTGAATTAAACTTTCCCTTGAGGCTGAAAAATCTACAGTGAGAAAAGCTCGTACAACATGATACTTTGATAATGATAGTTTTATTTCGGGTATGATACGATGTTGTTATAAATGAATGATCCTCCCCAAAGAAAAATAAGATATTATAATATATGTGTATATAGTTGTGTAAATAATCTTTAAAAGATTACACTTTAGCAACAACCTCCTCCTTGCTTCTCATTCTCTGATGGCTGAGTAACTGTAATAGTTTGTCCTGCTGTTGGTCTAATCACATCATTAGAGGATTCGAGGGCTTTGTTGGAAACAATACGATAGATTTCTACCAAAAAAGAAGCCACACATCAATAATGATCTTCTTATTCCCATCTCATGAACGGTTGTCCGCATACCTGTCAAAATTTTCTGGAATGCGAGCTCTACGTTGCTCGAGTCTAAAGCAGAGGTCTCAATGAATGACAAACCATTATCAGCTAGAGTTGTAAAAAAAAAAAAAGAGCATAAATAAAGCGGTAAGGGGTAGATCACTCTCTTGTGCATCCTTTTTACCTGCAAACTGTTTTGCTTCCTCAGTTGGGACTGCACGCAAATGTCGCAAATCGCTCTTATTACCCACCAACATGACAACAATGTTAGAGTCAGCATGATCCCGTAGTTCTTTTAACCAGCGCATCACGTTTTCATAAGTCGCATATTTGGCGATATCGTAAACCAACAATGCACCTACAGCGCCTCGGTAGTAGCTGCTGAGATATAAGTACCTTTTTCAGTATCCTGTCAATCACACATGATACTTACGCACTGGTAATGGCACGGTATCTCTCTTGACCAGCTACATAGACATCGTGTTAGCCTTGCTGTAAAGCGAATCTCATTTTCCCGGAGATTGGATCGGATGGGATGTAGAGAGAAACAACAATATATGAACATGTATCACTGTACCTGTATCCCAAATCTGTGCTTTCACCGTCTTGCTGTCGACTTGAACACTACGAGTGGCAAACTCTACACCGATAGTACTCTTTGACTCCAAGTTGAACTCATTTCTTGTGAATCTAGACAACAAATTGGTTTTTCCGACACCACTGTCACCAATCAAAACAACTGTGAAAGAGTAAGGGGGTTAATATAGAAGCGCACAGATAGGATGCCCATATGGAACTACCTTTAAAGAGATAGTCATATTCATCGTCTCTGCTCATGGTAAGTAATTTGTTCAAACCAAAGTTGAAATGGAAATAAAAGAAAAGGAAGGGATCAGATCCGGTTGTTGCACTATTTAAATGGTACACTAACGGCAGGGCATTGAACCTCAGATGTACAAGAGAGAGACCTCAGATGTGTGCACTGATATGGACGAAAGAGATCCTAAATCGCACCGTACAGCTTCGCTACATTCAGATGCATGTTGCCTTGAGTGCAGTGCATCTGTTTGTTGATCTGCCAGAGCATAAAGCAAAGAGAGAGCAGATGCAATTGCAGGTTCTTTTATACGGATCCAAGCCTTGTTTAGGTAGGGATTTTTAGTGAAACTGTTTGCTCCGGGTATGAACTTTTTTTCACTTGAATGTCTCAAATGCCGACAAGATTCAGCATCACATCATGGGCTCCTTGATGCTATGCTTGAACAGAACCGAAAACTCAACCATGCCTACATACTGTGCTGTCGTTCCGTTCATGGAATCTCCTTTGCGTGAATACGGGATCCCAACCTCCAGGGTCACATCAGCACTTTGAAACTCTCAAATGCTTTTGCCACACCTAGTTACCAAACCTTATTCCCGCCTTCAAACAAGAAAAAGGATCAGGTTGGGTTGATATACAATAAATATCAGACCAAGTCAAGAGTGATTCAAGACACGAGGCTGGTCATTACCTAGCAAAAGAGCGAGGTTGAGTGAATCCGTGTTGGCTTGATTTTACCAGGAAACCTTCAAGGTATGTCTGATGCGGATCTTGAAGTCAGAAGGAAGGTAAAAGAAAAAAATTTGCGGTTTGACGATGATGGACAGGATACCTTTAATCTTGCAGCGAAAAATCTTTTAGTATTTCTTTCTTCTTCTTTTTACAGACTTGCGCGACAATGCCTAATTTACTTGAAAAAATCTTTTTGCTTGCTACAAGAGCAACTTTGGGCACAATTGCTTGTATTCTTGTGGGAACTGTGTGTGTCTACATTGTTCTTTTCGGTAAAGAAAGCTTAGTTTGACATGTATGTCTTCACTGACTGACAGACTGCTCAGGAAACAAGAAAACTCCTTCCACCATTCAGCAACATGGAAGCAGAGAAGTCAAACAAGGTGAGAGAATCTTCCGTATTCATAGCGATACTCTACTGCAATGTACACACCCAACATTTGACTTACCAAATGTACATGTAGATGATGCTCCTAGTCAAACCAAAATCACTAAATCAGTTGATAACGAGAAGCGCACTGATTCTACAAAGCCTGAGAAGAAGGCCAAAGAAGTAGTAAAGACAGACAAAGAGTCGGGTGCTTCCGTCGTAGTAGTAAAGGTAATAGGGAAGCATTGCATTGTCACACCACCCAAACTGACGCCATTTTCCATGTTTGCTTTATAGCCCGAACCATTCCTTGCTCAATATGAAGCAACCCTCGCCATTGTCTTGAGAGATGCCGCCAACTATAAACCAACTCCAGTTGAGTCGATCAGCACTGAATTCAAAGAGGAGAAGAAGAAGAAGGAGGAGGAGGAGGAGGAGGGTACATCCAGACATGCCGAATCCAGTAGAGAGGTCAAGGTTAAGAGTGCAGTTGCAGTTGCAGTTGCAGCTTCTGCTGCTGTCACTACCACTGCTTCTGCTATTGCAGCTACTCTTGAAACAGATCAAGATGTTGCTCTTGTCAAATCAAAAGCTCCTGAACCAGTGCTTGCAGCTTACGAAGCCACAACCGCTAGCATGGCTCTAAAAGCTCAACAATTCATCGGATCCCTACCCAAGGCACCTAAAGCACCGGCACCCTTCCTTGCTGCCTTTGAAGCGACCACTGCTTCCACCACATTGGAAGCTAGTCAATACATTGCTGCCCTACCCAAGGCACCTAGACCTTTCCTTGCTGCATTCGAGGCCACCACTGCCCTTACTGCTTTAGAGGCCAGCAAATATGTATCTGCATTGCCCAAGGCACCCAGACCTTTCCTTGCTGCATTTGAAGCGACTACTGCTTCCACCGCATTGGAAGCTAGTCAATACATTGCTGCCCTACCCAAGACACCTAGACCTTTCCTTGCTGCATTCGAGGCCACCACTGCTATCACTGCTCTGAAAGCTCAAACATTTGTCGCCGCTATGCCTAAACCTCCCAAGCCATTCCTTGCCGTTTATGAAGCCACTACCGCATCTGTTGAAATGGATGCTTGTCAAAATATCAAGCACATCGTAGCAGGCCCTGAATATACTGAAGCATTGGCTGAATACCATGAGAGACTTGCCAAGCGTTGTGAGCCATCTAATCCTGTTCTTGCTGCCTATGAAGCTACTACAGCCGAGTGCACTGTAGCCGCTCAGAAACATGTTGTTGCTCTTGTTGCAACTGAAGATTATCAGCAGACATTGGAAGTATGTCGTAAGAAGCAAATGGCAAATCTTACCAAGTCAGCATCCAGCGACAATCTCTCACAGTACGAGATTACTACAGCCAGCACTATTTCTGCATCTCGTAAATATATCAGCAAACTCACATCGTATGATGAGTATTCGGATGCTATGAAAACTGCTACTGCCAAACTTCAAAGCGCGATCAACAAGGAGGTACTTCCCACCATCACAACCAACTTGGCTTCGTTAGAGGCGACGGCAGCATATCAGTTGTTGCAACACCAAAACCAACAACAACAGCAGCCACAACAACAACATGTCGAGTCTGATTCTGACATTGAGGTTGAGATTGAGGACAATGTGCTTTCATCGCCCTCTGCTATTTCGTCTGTTTCCAGCACAAATTCAACTGAACTCACAAGAGATATTAGCGATAGCAAGAAGCCTTCTCAGATCAGCACTGCAGATGCCAACACTCCATTTGATGTGTCCTGGGATCAGATGTATGCCAACAGCAATAACAATAAGAAGCCAGCAATAGTAGAATCACCCAAATCAGCTACACCTTTCATGTCGACTGTAGAGTGCACGTATTATCCCAACTGCACAAACAAGAATTGCAAGTTTGTCCATCCTGGAAAGGAAAACAAGTAAGTGAGGAGGAGGACAAAAGAGAAGCAGGTGCGCAGTGTAGTAACATGTATCTGTTGTATAGTCCTAAACCCAAGCGTGCTGCCACCATGGATACCGTGTACAAAAAGCCTTGGACCAAGGCTGAACGTATTGAGAGACAATCTCAGACTCACTTTCCAACATGGAAATCGCGTTGTGTGCACTGGCCTTATTGCACAAACAACCACTGTAAATACTCACATCCCATCAAAGAGTGCAGGTAAGGCAGTAACATGCGTTTATTTCATTTTCGATTGTATTTTAACCCTTGTGTAGAATGGGAGAGCAATGTACATTTATGGATCGCTGCATGTTCCTTCATCCCAGTGATTTCCTAGAGCCCGCCAAAAAGCGCTATACACCCAAGAGATCCCAAACACTGCCTCAAATACAATCCCAAGAACCTGAATCGCTACCACAAGTGTGAAACAAGAACATCCGCATCACGCTGACTGAAAAATGAAACGCGAAAGATTGACAGCTCAACAGATCAAGTACAAGTTGGCATTGGGTCCTATAATGACAGAGTAAAGATCTAGAACATTATTTACGGATGAACCCTATAAAATAAACGAGCTGATCATTTTTCAACATGTAATAAGTGGAGACATAAAGGTAACTTGGCTACCAAAATAGCTCGAATGCTTGCTCCCATTATGAAATTACTGAGGCTGGTATAAAATAGACCAGTTCGCCAAAGAAAGGAGCTTAATAACAGTACCTGCATCTTCAAACTGATGGCGTAAAACAAAATAACTGACCTGCTCTGGCTAGATGGAAGATACGTTTACATGAGGCGGGTAACAGCTAGGCCATAATGAATTAGTATACAAATTAAGACAGATCATAATTTCTTGATACATACTTGAGAATATTTTAGTTGCCTAAACATGAGTTACTTTTGTCTGGATCAATAAACACACCCTTAATCAGAGGTATCCTGATCTGCCCTTTGTATGAACGTATCAATATTTACTGCGCTATATTCGCTTTTCATCAGTTGTTATGGTATCTGATTTTGTATAAAGAACCAATTTCGAGGTCTCTGAGAGACACGTGGAACCGCTGCCCCCCCCCCCGCTCCAAACTGACCAGGCAATCATCCAAATGCTTCTTGATGCGTTGATGTCTCTCGGCTATTTCTTATGACAATATCTACAATTCAACACGAAGCCAAGGACGCCTGGCATCTTCCTCAAGCCCTGTGATGACAGTTACGAGAGACAGCTGGCTATGCCGGTTAACAAACCTTGATTCAGCACGGCAGTTGGGAAGCGAGCACAACACGTCGATAAAAAATGTAAATTTACAGATATTTATACTTTTATTCAATACAATAATAAAACTTTGATATTTACACTTCACTTTACAATTGTTCTTTATAATACATATAGTTGAGACAGAGGCCATTTAACGCCTAGAAGTGATTCAATTAAATGCTGAAATCTTCGCTCATGAGTGGTGGCACAAGATTCATCTCATTTGTTGTAAGTGTCGTGGCGCCTTCATCGCGATCGTCATACACAACTCTTCTTCTCTGGCGAGGGGGAGAACAAGGCACCACAATTTCATCTTGGTCGTCATCTTGCTCAAGCTTTCGTTTGGTACAGGACGAGGGGGGTAATACCGATGCAGTGCCTGGATCATAACACGAGGGATTGTGGGAAAATGACAATTGGTGCGATTCAGTCATGTAGTTGAACTGATTAAAGATATTTCTTGAGCTGGTATTTTGTGTTGTGGAAGCGGTATATGGCATTGTTATATCAGGTACATCCCGTTGTTGATTTGGGGTAAAAAGCTGTGGAATATAGATGGGTGATGCAATTTCAGTACTACCAGGAAGGTAGTACATAAGGTTCATGAGATCTTGTGTATTTGACACATTCACATTGGGAACTTGGGATTCTGTTGTGCCAAGTTCAGGGCAGCTTGAGCTACTTGTAGCAGTGTTGAGTGAGAGTGCTTCAGCAGCAACTTCTGGTGTAGCAACGGTGCCTGGTTCTTCAACATGAACGGAGCTATATAGTTCTTCCGTAAAGTTTGGCTGATCAGTAAAATGTGAGACTATGCTTAATGTGTCTGAGTGGTTAGGGACGGCTGGAATGCATGATTCTTCTACAGCTGACGGCTGCTCAACAGACACTGTGCTTGGAGATTCGTTTATAGTTTCTGAATGTTCAGGAATGACTGTAGTCGGTGTTTCTTCCACAATTCTTGGTTGTTCAATAGGCACTGAAGTGGACGATTCTTCTAAAGCTCTCAATGATTCAAAGGAGACTGAGCTGGATGGTTGTCCATAAGGAGCTAGGGTGAATGACTCTTCTACGACAGCTGGTTCGTGGTTGACTGGATTTGACAGCATAGAGTGCGGATTACGAAAGATGGATCCTATATGGCCATTGAAGCGCCTGATTAAGTGTAATTCCAGAGGAATAGTATTTTGTGATGGTGGAGATGGTGGAGGTGGTGGTGGCGAAGAAGATAATTCTGCGTTGATTTCTTCAGTTGCCTTGGTTGCTTTGCTGACATGAGTGCTGCTGACTTCTGAATTCAAATCAGAGGATTGATCTGCTTGAACAATGCTGTCCTGAATTACAGCCTTAGGCAAAGTTGAGATCTTGCCAACATCTGAAAATGGTTGTTGTTTAGATAGTTTCCAATCATGTATTAAAATTCAACTTACCTGCGTGTTTCATAGTGCTTTGGATGACATAAGTGGAGAACGCAGCCATGACCTTGATCAAATTTACGCCTTGATTGGTACGCAATTCACTTTCACGAAGAGGGACATGCTTGAATAGATCTGTCTCTCTGCGGATTTCCTGGAGCCATTTAAAGATTTTGTGGATAAAATACCACCAGCCTCCATTGGCCAAAGTTGGCAGCAGTTCATTCTTGACACGAAGTTTGTCGACTTTGCGGAATAGAAACAGACTTATGTACTCCAAAGCTTTGTCGTTGTTGGTGGCTCGATCAGTGAAGAGCTTTTTGTTCAACTTGAAGGTGCCTTTGCAATACTTGGAGTCATCAAATCCTAACAGCTTTAGGTTGTGGATAAGATTCAAAGCTGGATTGCCGATAAGTTTTTTGGTAGGCATTTTCGTGGGCATTTTAATGGGCATTTGGTGGTATTTCGTAAAGATTCTAATCAAAAGAGCTGCAGAATCAGACAGTTTGCTGCATTGCCTTCGAGTTTATCGTAAAAACAAGTCACACACAGTGGTAGTGTGTATGAGAAAGTCCGAGTGTCAAATGTGCATAATGGAATTGAGCTTGTACTACGCGGAGCCTTACGGCGAGGCTGCAGATATGCCCATCAGTTGTATAAGCCAAGCTTCAATCTTTCTGATACTTTATGCTTCAAAAAATCAATGAAATTGGACTTGCAGTAAAAGATAAAGATAGCATGCTGCACGGGATGCTTTAAACACATTGTAATACCAAAGCATGAAATATCTCGCATACTGGCGAATACAACAGTGTTCTACTTCAACCTCATAAATATAACTGAATCGAACAAAGATCCTTGGATACACTGCATTGATCTGATGCAAGACTCTCTGGGGTTTGTAAACATTCACTATTGTAATCTTCAACTATAACTTCAAGAATGTAATGGGAGTACAATGGCATTATAGTGGGAAGAAGACAGATGTATTAGTAATGGGCAGGTTGGTGTTACTATTTGTAGGTCCTTAACCATGAGCAATACTTACTATATAATATATATAAACATTATTAAAGCAGTATTAGGATTAAATGGTGGATTTATAAGAGTATAGGAAGAAATAAAGACAGATATTTTCACTAACGTTTTATACCTGTCAAAAAGAAGGCTATTTATATCCTATACTAATGTTTCAATCCGCATGATTGAAGCATATGTAGCGCGAATCATTACAAAGAAGCGCCCGTCTGGGTTAGCTACCAAAATATACATATGTATATCACCTCCTATTTCCACTGTCTCCTCCCTCCCATTTATATATCTCTTTATCATAATTATTTTTGCTTGCAGAAGTATATAGATCAAATGATACGTCAATAAGTAACCTTAAAAAAGAAACAATCTGTATTCCAGGCTTCGGTATTCCAAGAAGGCTCTATTTGATTATGTCTTTTTTTTCCAAATAGATAAGATTACATGATTCACTCGATTTTGTTGGCAAACCCTTTCCGCTCACATTTTTCCGACATGCTTTTTGCATATACTATTATTACATAAAATGCCTATAGTAGAATCCAGCGGTACAGCCCTTTGAAAATTGTTCATTTTTACTATCTTTTCTCATTACTCATCCACACTGTCCTCAATAGCCTCAAGTCAAACATCATCTACTCAACCAAAGTATCCTCTATAACTTTTAATAGACATATGACCCAGGTTTATATACTAATCTAAAAAGTTTTACCAACAGCATCTGTCCAATATTTGCAATTTTCTCAAATCTCCAATTCCTCATCATCACCGCTTTCAATCTAAAATCAAATTGCACCATCATTTTCTACGCAAAAAACTGTCATAGTAACTTGCTACTTTCAAAGCTCGAATTTCAAAATCGAAATTCAAAGAGAAATTATAAGAGAAAAAAGAGAAAGTAAACCAAGCAGAGAAAAAATTGCGCGCAATGATTCCAAGTTATACCCCCCTCCTACGATTCCGTTCGTCTACAAGTCATATTGGACCGTTTCATAGTAGGATTGTGCTCCCACATAAATTGATACAGTCTTTTGTGGAGGCTGCTCTACTGACAGTCTTATAAAGCAACTGCTACGCTAGTTTGTTTCATAATAATAGCGTTTGTAAACAGAAGTGAGATGCCGAAAGGCGAAAATCTAATTGAAGAAGGAATCAATTTCTGTTGATGGTCAATCATTAAATGTTTGGGTAGCACTCCTTTGCTTGCGTATGCCAATATGAGCTTGAGTTGGCCCTACGAGGATTTATTGTAAACTACGAAGGATTGAATATTCTCCAAAAAAGAAAAGAACTGTGCCCAAAAGATGCTGCCCAGGTAGACTGGTGAGCCTGCTCTAATTTGAGATGTAAATTATATCAGTACTTTAATAGTGGATGTGCACAGCTAGTGTATTATAGCCTTTGTATGCGTGGTTCCTATACGAAAAATACGCATTCAAATAGGTGCATATGTCATGAACAGATATCGTCTTTTGCAATAGTAATGAGGAAGGTCCAGACAAAGAATGGACTTCACATACTATTTGCAGAATCAGCACAACTTGAGAGCTGATCTTGCAAATAACGTTTGGCAGGCGACAGATCTGTCAGTAATTGTTACAACTTATTAGTCTAACATTGCAGGTCATACGAATGTTCGCAGCTGCCGCAGGATAATAATAAACCACTATACAATTTTCATTTACAATCGATACATGTAGAATAGCCTGCAACAAGACAATTTTTAATTCATACTACATTCCATTTGGCTTTTGTTTGTGCTTTTTTTCCCTTGACTGAGTCATTGAGTGTTGGCATGATTAGGTAAACTTTCGTTCCTGAACAGTACATTTCGATTCAAACTCTTAGGAAAATGAATAACAAATGGTTTGCAAATTATCTATGGCTTTGCACCCATGACTTAATACTTAGCTCTAAGGAACATTGGTACGCCCTTTGCATTATAATCAGTTGTTGCAAGTGCCACAGACTGCCAAAGCTCTAGGAGAGTGGCTTGCGGCCGAACTGATCAGATTTTTTAAACTACCTCTATGCAGCAAAGCAAGGAAAGGATCATGTAGGTTTCATTTAACACTTTTTTTTTTCGCTACCGCATCTTCTCACTTAGGAGATCACCAAATAGAACGATTTTATGAGCTTCCAAAGTATTGATATTGATAACTATATAAATACCATCCAGTCTGCAGTTCACGACGAAAAAAATGTAGTAGACAACAGCGCTTTAGTAAACCATGCGCTTGAAGAGGCTCGCGAATGCACAAGAAAGATGGACAGTCCGTAAGCATTTTCAAAGATAAGGTGTATATATATCCGTACCTCTTACTAATCCTATGAGTAGTATGCCTCAAATTGGCATTGGTTACAACGAAGTGCGTATCGACGAAAACAGCCATATGCCGTCTACAAATATAACCCTAACTACCCTGATTGAGAATACAGAGGCATTGCCGAAGAACCCCATATTAGAAAGTAGTATATAATTGATGTTAATCCAGATTTGCGGTCCAGAGTACTTATGACAGTTTGCTTTCAGGCGTTACAATTTATCAGTGCAATCTTTGTTTCGAGTCCACCACAAGTTACAGCTATTTTCGAATTCATTTGCAAGTGGTTCACAACAAAGATCAGGATTGCGACATGACGAAGCACCCTGAATTACCGCCTAGTCTTGACAAATTCAACACCTACTGTCATCCATGCGAACTAGAATGCGTTTCTGTCATGTACTACCAACAGCATATACAATCGGTGCATCATATATCATCGCAATACGATCAAATAAAAGGGCTAGGCACTGGATCAAGCCCTATTGACTTGAATTATTATTGTGAAGTGTGCAAAGTATATTTCATGGCATCATGGGAACATCAGAATCATTTACAGAGCCAACATCACTTGAATCAGTTATCAGCTGCCGACCCCATAAATTATTGCTCGACTTGCAATATCACCTACTTGACGCAAGAGCTTTATCAACGACATTTATATTACAGGCATCAAGTGCACGAACATGGCGCGGATCCCAACAAAATGCCCACAATAACGCTCCCGTTCAATTACTGCTATTACTGCGACAAACAGTACAAAAATAACGCCAAGTATGTGAGGCATTTAAAGCACTATCATAGGAAGATGTTACTACAGCACAAAAGGCTGCCGAAACTGTCTGATCTGGGATACGCATGCTTGATTTGCCAGACCAAATTTCCATCACAAACTCAATTACAAGGTCATTTGAAAGATTCGCACGTAATCAAAGATGGAGAAGTTAAGATAGAAGAAGTGGATGAGTCCTTTGGCTCTGCAGATCTCAATCAACAAGGATCTAGGGCCATCGTAGATGTTACACCCACTGATCCATATGCAGAAACTATACCCAACCTCAACAGAATATCGCCTGATATTAATGCCCATGAATATTGTCGCAGCTGTCAAACTACATTTTTATCAAACTGGAACTACCGGATACATTTGCGCCTAGTCCACTATTTATACGTGGAGGAAAATTCAAAAGATGAAGCTAAAGACACCTCAGATGATACCCTTCTTCCTGATCCACACAATCGTGATTGGTATTGCTGTGTATGCAAAAAACATAAAAAATCTAGCAGGAGCTATCGAAAGCATTGCAAGAGGGTCCATCATATGAAATTCAAGCACAAGAAAGTACGTCAAGCATGATAGTAACTAATACAACTGTTTGCCACATACCTTGAGACTAGCAATACTTGGAATAAACATCAACCTGTGATGAGCTTGAAATTTCGTGTCAATAATGCGACATGTACATGCGTCTTCTTTCCTCTCGCAACTATAAAACCATTTGTAGAATGACTATCAAGAAGAAGCTCAGCTGTATTGTAAGCGTGAAACAAGAAGAAACGACAATAGATGCCATAAAAAAAGGCAGAAACCAAGAACATTTTCATAAACAAGATTCCTGATGATCCTCTCTTTAAAGCAGAAAGCAACATTGCCAACTACTGTGCCAAGTTACTTGACGATCCCAATATAACCAATGATGTGATTAAGTCGAAGGACAACTGAAGTCGAAGTACCCTTGCGCATAGTCTCTTCCTATTACTGCAAAATTTGTGGAATTGCATTCAGCAAAAAAAGAACTTATCAAAGACCCTGTCGCAGAGAACATTACCTAAGTTGCCATCCCAAATATGCTGGCCCTAATGCAAATCCTGAGTTGATGCCCAACTACACAGGCAACAATAACTACTGTCGGGCATGTATTAAGAAGTCAGCCTGTCAAGCAATGTTGAGGTTCTATTTTATGCATGAAACGAAAAATGTCCAGAGTGGCTTGTTGAGTGGGTTATATCTTGCAACACTTGAGAGATTGTCATGCCTGACGTCTTTTTTCCGCCGAGTTGCATTTTATGAGTAAGTAAGGGATTTGCTGCCATGCAAACAGCAGTATTCTTATCATGTAGATGTCAGGTAGTGATACATACAACGACAGCAGACCGTCTTGGACAGCTCATATAGAAACTGATACGGAAGAACCAGCTATCAAGTTGGAATCTGACACATTAGACGGTGCATTTGAACTCTTGGCTCAAGCGCATCCTGATTGCCGCTTCGATCCCCAAATCGCTATAGGTTCAAAGCGAAAAAGAGAGCAAGGTGGCATGGATCAAGTCTACTCTACCAGCGACGCACAATATCTTAATTATCCAGCCAAAGGAGAGGATGTTGATGAAGCCACTGTAAAAGGAGAGCCAGTAACTATGAATCAACCGGACGCGGTGGTGCAGGAGAGCGCAACGATTCAAGGTAGTATAAGTCTAGGTTGACCATTGAGAGATACACTCACCGTATTGGGCCATACAGAAGCTGATGAGGATGCTACTGCAGACGAACACTATTGCCGCGGACGCAACGACAATATACCAACGGACACCCGATTCATCCAATACGTCTTCAGAAATCACTCGGAGGAAGGTATCAAAAGCGTTCACTGTAAACCAGATATCGATGACCCTGACAACGTATGCAACGCTTGTGAGAGACGCTTTGAGACGAGGGCCGGGTATGTTGCACATTTACGACGGACACATCACTTCAACACTCAGAATGTGGATCAGCAACAATTTGAAAGCTCTACAAAGACAAGTTATTACTGCTGCGGTTGCAATCAATACATGAAGGATCAAGTGTCATTCAGGAAGCACGTCTTAACAGCCCATTGTGAAAGCCGAATCAAGCATTTCCACTTGAAGCCAGATGTTAACGACCCCAATTGGTATTGCAATGCCTGTGAAAGACACTTTGCATCAAGACTGCAGTATACAGGGCATTTACGAGCAATTCATAAACTGATAAGAATAACAATGTTGGAAAACGTCGACCAGCTGGAAGCAGAGCCTAATCATTATTGTTGCGGGTGCAACAAATACTTACCAGATGGAAGAGCGCTAAAAAGGCACATTAAAACAGCTCATTCAAAGACGAAGATCAGACATTTTAGCTTGAAGCCAGATGTGCATGATCCCAACTATTACTGCAAGGCTTGTGAACGTAGATATGGCACACGACTTTTATTCAAAAAGCATTTAAGATTAACTCACAAAATGGTTCTTGCACAGCCAACGCAAAACCAACTCCCAATTCCAGTGATGAGCTCTCCAACAGAGCCAGTATACTATTGCAATGCGTGTAATTTGTCGATCAAAGAATACATGAATTACTTGACACACATCAGATCTCATCACTCAAAACTCGGGATCAAACATATCACTGCCAAGCCAGACATCTATGAACCAAACTACTATTGCAAGGCGTGCGAAATGGCCTATTCTTCCAAAAGGAAATATAGAACCCATTTGCGGAGTATTCACAATATCACTGTCAGAAAAATTACAGCTCAAATTCCAGCCGTCAACACCACAGAATCAGAGTACTACTGCAGTGCATGTAACACAACTGTATTCGATTATTCGACTTATGTGGCGCATATCACAACTCAGCATCCGAGATCCAGAATCAAGCATTTCCATGTCAAGCCAGATATTCATGACCCTAACTATTATTGTAGTGCTTGCGAGAAAACCTATCCATCAAAGAGTTCCTACAAGTCCCATTTTACAGTAATTCACAATATTCTGGTAGATTCTAAACAAAACGAGCAACAACATCCGACATCAACATACTTTATCGCGGGCGATCATTCGAACCCGGTATCTAATAAAATAGAGGCTCATTCAAGCATATCGGGTCATGATAGTCTATTATTACAGTCAGCAGATGCAACAAAAATAGCAGCGCCTTCTGATGCATTACAGACCGCCCTTGATATGGGTACGGCACCCGAGCAGCAAGAGAGAGGCGGCAATGGCAAGATGAGAACCGACCTACACAAAGCAAAAAACTACTGTCATTACTGCGAAATGCAATGTGAGGACCAAGACAAATTTAGGACGCATTTGCGCGAACTACACAACTTTATTACAACAAGATCAAGAGGCATCATATTCAATACATCCTTGCCAAAATCTAAACCAGTCGCTTTTCCTACAAAGAAGAAAAGTCTGCTACCACCTTTGGAACATTTTAAGCCATTTGGCAAGAAAAGAAGCAAGATAAAGCCGCAAGGTACAAGCAAACTACCAAACCTAAATTCAAACAGCAATGATTACAAGTGTGATGTCTGCAACAGCTTGTTCAAATACAAGTCAGCCTTGAGACAGCATCTTACAAGTGTTCATCAAATGCAACTTGTTCCCATACGCTATAAACGCAATCCAAAAGTTATTCTTCGAGTTTTCCACAAAAGATCAAAATACAACAAGCAGCAAGCTGCTTAAGCAAGGTAGATTTATCTATTCAAGTCGTTTATTTCATTACTTTGATATCAAACAACTTTTTTTAATGGTATAAGAAATAAATGTGTGCGGTACAGACAAAATTTACCGTTCTCACTGTATGTTATGTACATGACGACGATAGATAAGAGATATATACAAAACCAGCTTAGACTTCCTCTTTACAACGTTGAGTTCTGGCCTGATTTGCCTCTGTCAAAGTTTGCATTGTATCAGCAGAGTCATAATGATATTGAGACATTGATGTATTAGTCGCAATGATTTCAGATTGAGCGGTTGCAGCCGCTGCTTTCTCCTTAACTTTTAATGCCTCGGTTCTAGCCATAGGCCCATCGAAAATCATGGAGAAAAAGAAGCAAACACCGGCTATAGCTGCTTGGAAAATCAGTGCCTTGTAAAGATTGTCCTTGGGCTCTCCGTTAACATCACGAAACAGATCCATGACAAGCACTAGAATAAAGCCTACGAGTTGAGATACTTGCCACAGAATAGATGTAGAGAGGGACTCCGTAACAGGGTAGGAGACTATGTAATGTTAGCTAACATAGGCAATGGCATTGACTTGAAATGGCTTACTTTCAACGCCCAGTTCGACACAAACAGGGACCATAAAACTAAGAAAGAACTGACTGAGCATGTTGGTATACAAGATGGCGGCAAAGGAGTCTTTTTTGACTGCAATAAATGTGTGTATAAGACGTATGCTTATGACCAATAATGCTAATCATCTTACCAACAAATATAAAAGCTACGTACGTACTAAACATCAAAGGAGCCATGATTTTTAAGAGTACCTTGTGTTGTTTGGTACGATCAATGATAGGTCCTGACATGACTACAAAATGGATACTATTAAAATCATGCAATCATCCAACATGGATTCTATTACGAGCACTTACGACAGCCAAATGTTCCTCCAACGACACCAATGGCAGCAATGTTACCAATTTCATTATCAGCGTATCCATAAGGAGCGATGGCCTGATTCATTAAACCATTCCAAGCAATAGATAAACCAATATTTAAGCTGTGAATGATGAGGAGGATCAAGAAATGAGGATTCTTTAACAAAAGCATTGTTCCCTGAAGTAGTGTCAATTGGGGTTTATCAGATACTCCTGTTTGGGCTTCTGTAACAGCGGCAGCATGAGAAGCAGGCGTAGGTGGTTTGACAGGGAAAAAGAGAAATGGAATTGTGGCAACAGTAGCTATGCTAGCTACGACAATCACCTATGTGTATAGATGAACAGGCGAGCCGTAAAACAAAGTAATAAATCTTACTGTCAACTCGATTTTATCCTTGCCTGTAGCAAGAGCAGGCATAAGGAACATGGCAATAATGGCACCATAGTTGGAGACTATTGAAACCACAAGCATCATGATTAACCGAGGTTGTGGGATGATAGTGGCATGGTGGGAAACACTTACCAATAAACATGCCAGCCGTTGCTCTCCTATTCTCAGTAAACCAGATCACCGCAAACTAATTTGTGCCGTCTTTAATGAATTGTACCATGTTTTTCTTTAAAAAAGATATGCTTACCGTTGTCATTATATTCAAGCTGATAGGAGAGCTGAGTGAAGCGATGGTTTGACCCAACATTAGTATAGGAAACGAGGGTGGGTTGATTCTTACAGCAATCCATCTGATCCAGCAGCCAACGGATAGAATGAATCCCGAGAGAAACAGCTGCAATGAGACTATCGTTAGGTACAGCTACAGCTCAAACCAAAGCACTCCAACACGAAACACTTACCGACCATTTCACGCCTATCTTTTTGTACAGATAACTGGTAAAGCAACTTGCTACAATGTAACATATGGCCATTGTATTGTACAGCCAATTGATGCTGGATAGTGAAATACCCATAAAATCAGCTGTAACTGATGGAATAGGACTGAATGTGTTGGAAAAGATAGCAACAGCAGCACGAATAAGCACGATACAAAACAAAAGTACCCAAGCTATGGGGTATGTCTTTAGCTCTGGCAATGCGGATGCTGCTGTAGTGGTGGCTGATGAATCGATGATGGTGGTGTAGTGATTCGGATCAGCCTCGGCTTTACCACCGGTTGTTGCTTTGTGCATCGTGTGATGCTCCGGTAAGCTGTATACTGTCTGTGATGAGCCATTGATCACTGTGTGGCTGGACTCAATGTCCTCTGAGATGGATGAGGATAGCGATAGCTGAGCTTCTGTCGTGGATTTATCATGCTGGCTCTGATGTGAGTGCAATGTCGATTTCCCATAAAAGTGCAACTCGTTATGATAAAAGTTGGTTGTGGGATTGTGCTCCAAGGATGTTTTATGAGATGATCGTGGAGAGTCCTGCTCTGCTGTCATGAAAGAAGTTCGATTGGAGTATGGCATGCTGTGTGGTTTGGTATAAAGAAGAAGGAAAAAAAGAAAAGAATGGCTTCTAGGGCATTGACACATGGGCATTTATACCAGATGGATTTTGCATGTAAAATGAACTAATAATGTATTTTGCCAAGCTCTTTACACAATTGGCATTCGGATTGCAGCGACAACTAGGTAATCTTACTAGTATACTGTACAATAGCCAGCCTCTCTCCCGCCTTAATCTCATGTTTGTCTCACACACACACACACGCACTGAAATCATACGAACATTGGTCATGATGTCGAAGACGGATTCAAGCAAACCTTAATTGCTTTGCAAAAAAGAGAAACCTGTTATGAAGCAAGCTTACATCTATATACTAGCGACGTCAAGTGGGCCGCTCCAGTTTCCGTAAAATAAATCTATAGTAATTTATATTTATATAACAACATTCATTTTACAATACCCCAAAAAAGATTGAAGTTCGTTGATAGAAAAACTCCATCATGACATAAAGTACAGCATGTTTGCAATCATATCATAGTGGTTGGAGCCGGGAGACAACGTTAAGAGTACTTGGGCATAACACAAAAAAAAAAAAAGATCTGCATGAACCCGAATTCAGGTTGTGTATTCTATAGCCATACAATAGGCACACGTAGTGGCTAAGATTACCATCTTGGCCGAAGATTAATAATGTCGTAATGTGCAAGTGACAATATGTAATAAGGAGAAGGCCACCCGACGCAGTAGTAATCGTAAGTTTATTAGCCTAATAATGGATTGTCAGAATATCAACTGCTTGTGTATTCGAGATAATCAGGACTTGAGTTGGGTTATATTTATCATCGATCTAAAGATAGCTTGTGCACATAAAAACATTTCGAACATGATAGCTGCGTTGTCTGCTGACGGCATGTATATTAGTAGCATTATCCTAGTAGAATGGGCTGTACTGTAAATCCTACCAAATGTGCGCTGTATGCAATTTCAGGTACGATCAAATCAATTTCAGACACAGCAAACATTGTTTGTTGCTACATACATTTCTGCAGTGTCTTTTTACATCTACAGAATATCTTGGAATCTATCAAATTGACGCAATCTCACAACACACAGCATTCGGCATACTGATTCCCTATATCAAATCATACGACAATCTCGCAAATGGCTCTTGAGCGTCGATCTCTTTCCTCGTGCGTTCTAAAATGCAACAATTCCGTTTGCATAAATATGCGATTTTCTCAACCGAAAACAAATGCTCTTGTAAAAGACGTTCTAGGCAGTTTTTAATATTGTGTCATATTTTTAAATAGTAGAAGAAAATATCTTTGGAGTCACCCAGAAGCACGAGTGAGTCAATTTTCCGATAGTATCCGTACTTGAACACTTGACCACCGTCTTCTTTGCGAAAATGGACGACTGTTTGGCCTCTTTTTGCGGTATGATTTGCACTTGAATACATTTGAGGGCTTGCTCTTCCACCAAGATATCCAACACATCATGTATTTCTCTCTTGCTAAGACCTGTAACCATGTGGCGATGGATATCTGCTTCCGTAATGCCTGGTTTTCGAAGGACCAAATCCAGAATGGCCTTTTTACACCCATTCAACACCAATTCAGTGACGTTGCCATTGATGTCGATCCACAAGCTAGGAATAACAATGTCCTTTCGGACAACATCAGTTTGGAACTGACCATTTGTCTGGCTCATCACTTCTTCTCTGGCCTTCTCAGTGAGTTTATAATCCTTTGCCTTCTTGTTGTTGATTGTCCAGCTGTCGATAAATTTGATGTGTACATAGCGAACAGCGTCGAAGCCAACTCTGCACACGAGAGCTGGCTTGTTGTAGCAGAGTTTGCGTACTGTCTTGATGATATCATGGTCTTTAAAGCGGTGGTGATGCTCTTGCAGTTTCATCTTGAGCTGATACAATGTCAATCCAACTTCATGCTGTTCATGGAGCGCATGAATGACAGCTTTGATGAGAGCACTTTCCTTATCACTTTGAGAGATCAGCAAGTTGGACAATGTGGCATCATACTCCTTGTTGGTGACATTCTTGATGTGGATCTTACTCGAGGTAGGCGCAGCTGTTATGGCTTGATTTGCTTGGTTGTTTCTTTGAATGGTCACACCAAGTTGAGTCAAGACCGAATAGCCTGCCATTGCTGTCAATACGCCAGTTGTACACACACACACATTTGATCACTGCTTTAACTTACCAACACCTCTTGTTTTGAAGCCTACTTCATTCACCTTTCTTAGTTGCAGACTCAAATTGGCCAGACCAAAGGAAACCTAGTAGCCAAACAGGTGAGCTTTTTGTGTCTTTTGTGCTATCCATAGCCGAGATGTTACCTGATCATCAGACAAGGCATTGAGCAAGCACGCCATCATACCACTGCTGGCATGGTAAGGCATAAACTTGAACTTTTCATTTTGCGTTGCCAAGAACTTTTCATACTCTGTGGCTTGATTGAACAAATCAACGGGCAATTCACCACTCATGTTCTTGATGAATTTAGCAGACAGAGCCCAACAGGTGCCTGGAATGGGACGATCACCATACGCTAAAATGAGCGTCTTCTCCGCCTTCATTCTCTCAAATACAACATCCATCAATTGTGGAGAGAACTTTGCCAATATCTGATACGCGTGGAATGGATCAAACACTTCTGCAGGTGTCATCAAGGTCATGAGACAGTAGGCGCGGATCACATTGCACAAACGGTTGGTGGCATCATCTTCAGTGACAGCCTCTGATTGATCGTAGCGAGAGTTCATGCACTTTCGGAGCGTCAATGGTGCCTGACACAGTGTCTGTAATTTGTGAACCAAGCTTTCTCCGTCGTGGAAGGCGTCTTCGAAATAGGGGCTGGATGCTTCATTGCGGGCAATATCGTACATTTCGTTTGTCTGCGCAAGTGTTTTATACAGAGGTAAATCAATAGGGCTGCAAATCAGTTAGCACATGTACTCCATGTCTACTATCAAACACTTACTGTGCATCCAATTCTTGCAGCCTCTGAACAAAGTACTCAATGTACGATAAAATGTCCAAATTGATATTGTCACCTGGATCCGCGTCTGTAATGTCACCGTTGGCTATGCCTTCACGATAGAAGGCATCCCAGTAAACCAGATAGAGCTCGTATTTCTCACTGAAAACCGACTGTCCCACCATTCTATCCTTGCGGTGTCTGCAAGTTTGTGGCTCTCTGTCTGGAAACACCTTTTGCGCGGGAATCCAGGAAAGCTTGGCCTTGTTCTGTCTTGACCGATGTCGCAAGATGATGTACAAATACAGCAAGATTTCATCGTCCTGTGTCGTCCAGACGGATCTCTTTCTTCTGCGCTTAATAAGGGACTTGAATACATCGCCTTGAACCACAGGCAGGTCTTGCAAGTCGTCTAAATAAGACTTGCCGGCTTTGGATGGCTGTCTGCGGGGGGCTACAAAGGCATGATTCGAATCCCCAGTAAGCACACGACGACCGCTGTAAACATTGTACTTGATCTTGTTCGCTCGTCTTCTCCTCTGTCCTCCCAGGAGTAGTCTCTCCAGCTTCTTTTCTTTGCTGTATCTGAGTCTTCGTTCTAAAGCAGCTTCCACTTTTTCGTAATAGGCCTGGACGGTAGCGATAGGCATGTTGATTTTGTTGGCAAGATTTCTAATCTCATGTATGTCATTCAAAGGCGTCTTGCGGTTGGCCTTGTCCACCTTTTCGTTCAGCAGCTTTCGCTGGCTTCGCGAAAACATGGCTCGTGTGCTCCAGTTTCTAGAGCTGTGCAAGCTGGTTCGCAAGTCGATTTCATAGGGATCATCGAGCTCCTTTAACGTGCTCTTGTCCGTGTCTCTGACGAGGGACACATATTTGAGATCTGTCCAGTAGTCATTCAGGTCGTCCATGGTATCGATCGTGTACTCTCGCAGTACAGGTTCCTCAGCCTGCTTTCTGTCAATGATGGGCAATGTCCTTTCGAGCTTGTAAGAGGGAGCAATATGGGAGTATTTGGACGCCTTGAAGTTGGGGTTGTTCTTCACTTCGGTGAACTGGCTTGACACGACTTGAAGGAACTCCAAGTAATTGAATAGCCTTCTCAATCGTCGCAGAAACTTGGTGTTTTCGTCAAACAGGTCATGCTTCAGCTCGTCTGACATGTCTGCCATTTTGACCTTGTGGTTGTTGACATCCTTGTAGAATTCAGCAATCAGTCGCGTGGGTTTAAAGATACCAATGACCTGAGCCAGCAGCTGGAATGTCATGTTGTCGCAAACAGCTTTGACTGAAATAATGCGCGTCTCTTGATCCACGCCTTTCACATTGGCCTCCAGCAATCGAAACAAGTATCTGTGAAACACTTTGGCACGCGCCATGCAAGCGTTGATCCAACCATATTGAACAGCCTCAATCATCCAGTGAGCACTTCTCATCTTGCCGTATGTTCTTCCAAATGTCTCAAGATTCCCGGACAACTCGCTGATACGGAGCTCCAGTTGCTTGGCCTTTTTGACTTGGCCGCTCATCAACAGCTCCTGTGCTTCCTTTTGCATCTGTTCCACTTGATCCGAGAGTCGAACCACTTGATCGACTTCGACTATAGGCTTTGGCATGTTACGATACGAGATACCAGTTCTACGTTCCTTGATAAACGAGATGCAGGTTTTGAATTCCTCTGAGTCCCGGCTCATGTCACGATGAAACACAACCTTGCGATATACCGTTTTGCCACTGAGAAGCGTGCACTCAACAACGGTGGTTTGGGCCTGGCCTCTCTTCTCGAGTTCAAGTGCTGTTGTCCATAACGTCTTGTTGTCCATCTTGTATTTGCTGTTTTTGTTTTGGGCTGCTGCTCTTTCTGAAAACTCCTGTGCGAGTCCGTTGCCCATTTCAACCAGTCGCAGCTCGTCAAGCAATTCATAGAGGATCTTGACACGCGCCTCCAAGTAGGAATTTACTGGCTTGTGCATCTTTTCATGTTGGTAACGGCGGAACAAGCGAGATTCTTCGGCCCCTGTGGTAGTGACAGAAGTTTGATCTACTACTGGAGCTGGGGTGGCCGTGCTTGATCTACTACAGGTGGTTCTCATAGCATCAGCAGATGGCCCATCTTCTCTGACTTCATTAATTGCTGCTGCTGCTGCTGCTGCTGCTGCTGCTGGATGACCTAATTCTGATTTATCCACTTCCATATTAGCCACATCAGCTTGAGCAGTATCATCGCTGTCCGTTGCGGTAGTCTGTTCTGTATGGTCTTTGCTGGTAGATTCTTCTACAGCACCTTTCATTGCTTCAGATGGACGAGCTGTTGTTTCTGGATTAGCTTCGGTTACGGCATTGGATGATGATTGCTCTGATTCTGATGCACATTCAGGCGTCGTTTCAGCAAATCTAACCGTCTTTGTTTCCTTTGTTTTAGCCTTGGTGGGAGTTGCTTCAACTGGTGGAATAGTTACTGTAGGTGAAGAAGCTTCTGCTGATGCATTGGCTGCAACGGATGGAATGGTTGTCTTGGGCGTTAACTTGAAATAGTCAGCAATAGATCTATTCTTGCGGCGAGGTTGATATGACTTTACAGGCGCTGGAGAGCTCTTACGCTTGGATTTCATTTCAGGTCGAGCAGCACCTGCAGGTGAAGAAGATTGAGGAGGACTTTTGCTAGCAGATGCTTCTGATTGTGTAGCTTGAACATGACCCTCAGCTGTAGATGTGTCTGGCTCCTCCGTTGCAGTATGGCCGTCCGGTTGAGCAGGCTCTGATGAAGCAGATGGAGGTGTGTCTATCTGGGTAGACGATTCAAATGCAACTGGAGAATCAGACTGCGCTTCAGAAGGTGTTGTTGAGGATGTCGCTGGTTCGTATTCATACGGAATCACCCTACCGGATCGAGTTGTGCGTTTTTCTGTAGATTGGGCTTCTGCCTCAGATATTGATGTTCCATCCTGCACAGCTTGAACTTGGGTCGCTGCATTCTTCTTGGTATACTTGCGTTTCTTGCGCGCTGGTGTCTCGATAGGAGGTGCTGGTCTCACTTTTGGTGCAGGCGCAGGGCATGCCAGTCGCTCCTGGCTAATGATAGGCGCTGGTACAGGCGTAGGAGATGGTGAACGAATGAGATGCATATCGGATTTGCGTATGCGAGCTTGCCGGTTGGCCCGAAAGAAAGAGTGGATTTCCTTAGTAGTTGGAGCTTTAGGTGGTTGATCTGAGGATGTTGCTGTGCTGCTGGGTCCTACAGTGCTATTACTAGTAGTATTAGTACTACCCTCAGCAGCAGCATTCTCGGCAGCAAGCATTTCAGCAATCTTCTTCTCCTTTTGCAACAAGTAACGGGATTTAGTGCGAGGCGTGTCATCCCTGTTCAACTTTTGTTTTCTAGATTTAGGCAACACATCTTCCTTGAAGATAACATTTCGATGACCCGCTTTCTTGACCATTTTTCTGTATCTGGCCAGACTGGCCATTGTATGAGGCACTGGATTGAAGATGGCTCTTTCGTAATATTTTGATTCATCGACCTCTGTGCTTGGTAAGGGTGGAGGTATATAGTCTATGTCTTCATTCACTTTGATAGATGCAGCCAATGTGAAATAGCGATATCGCTTGATACGACCCTCGAATTCAAAATGACGCACAATGCCATACTGCTCGTATCCTTGGCCCGACTTCAATTCAGATAGTTTTTCTAGTGCCTTTGATAAGAAGCGCATTTCATCCGAGTTCAATGCAATAGAGATGTCCTTTTGAACAACACCATGTGTTCCTGCGGCAGTGATCACATCAAGGATCTGGGATTCCAGAGGCACGTCGCAGAGTAAATGGTGGATAGGGATACCCTGATTTTTGGTAGTCTTGATCTGGATGGGAAAAGAGAGCTCGTCCACTGGGACAGTTGCTTGCTCGTTGCTGGCTTGTGTCGCTTCATAATCTAAAATTGATACAAATCAGTACAATGCGGTTTTAGTGCTGTTTACTGGTACCCTTACCTTCTGGTACCTTGAGCAGATGGAGACATCGATGTTGTCTAGAGCCATCCAGCTTGATACTCGCCTTCTCAAAATAGCCTTTTAAGCATAATTCATCAATGGAGCGGTTAAACCACTTTCGCACCGGCTTGCGTGTTGAATTGAACCCCTATACAAGCATCCGTCTTAGCATACCTTGAAAAAGGAGCGTTGTTCGTGCCACCCACTTACCAAACCATGCAATACATCTTGTGCCAAAATCAGACCGTTTGGTGCTGCCAGGGCAAGATCTACCATTGCATCCAATAACGTCTTTTGCGAAAACACTTTGCCGTGGCCATTGACATTATAAGGTAGCTCGTTTTCTGCTTCCTTGTCACCGACAGTGTTCATGTCCACCGCGTTGCTTTTAATACTGTATCTTGCGTGAACACAGATGTTGGTATACATTGAGTTGATGGATACACCTCTACGCGTGATAGCGCCTTTGTCTTCCAAAGACTTGACATAGTGGCCAGTGGATCGACTGTCAAGGTTGAGTAATCGAGTGATGGAGGCTTGATATAAACCCTTTGTTCTGGTTTTGATAATTTCTCTTAAAATGACAACAAGACTGGATGTGATGTTGGCATTAGGCTATGTAGAATAAACCAGTGTTAGTAGCATGTTACCTAGACACAGCTAAAGGCAATACATACAGGAATACCCAAATAAAGCTGTTCATCTTGGAGGCGAGCGGAAGCAATAATGCGTAAACTGGATCCGTAGCGTTCCTGAACTTGATCGTAACTTAGATCCGCTATATCCTGGATAGCTGTCAAATCCGCATTGTTCTACATCAGTTGCAAACATCAGTATCTTACAACATAGAGCCATAGCAAGCACACATACCTTTCTCGTTTGCTGTTGCACGTTTCTTGGATTCGACAATATATCTTCATTTCTGCGTATTGTGGGATACTTATTAACGTAATCTGACTTGCCATAGTCGTCTTGATCGGAAACGTCTTCATCTCCCTCTGTACTGTACTCTTCTGAAGAGACTTCACTGAGGTCACTCTCATCATACTCTGATTCACTGTCATCTGAGTCCATCTCAAAATCGCTGTCCGAATGACCTGCAGACACTCGCTTCTTCTTGGGCGCCTTCTTTTTGGGTGCTGATTTCATCTTTTTCTTCTTAGGAACTGGCTTTTTGACAGCTGTTTCCATTTTTCTTTTGCGATTCACTGCATCTGTTTTCCTATCCCTCTTCTGTGCCTCTTGCAACATGTCAATCAGTAGGTCTTCAGATTGAGCCTCCTCCGTGGCAATGTCAGTGTCATTCACATCAGGGAAAACGTCCATGGTAATTACATCCCCGTCTTGGTCTTCTGTTGCCTCTTTTTTTATGGCAATCACAAGTTGGTCTTGATCTACTGTTCCTTGTTGTTCCTCCATAGGAACATCATCGCTGTTGGTCTGATTCTCTTCTGCGGGCGGAACGACTTCTTCAAAGAACTCTAGCTCTGGTTCTTGCTTGATGTAGTTCCAAATGAACGCTTTGTAAGGACCATCAATCTTAGGTGTAATTGATACATTCGACTGCTTTGCAACTTGATTCGATATAGATTCTGCATATTTCCAAACTGCATCAATGCTAGAACCTGCGTTGTTGTGTCAATCTACATGCATTGGATATGACAATACAAGGCGGTCTCTTTACCTGATGGACCGTCAATCGCAATCTCTTCTTTTAAGCGCGATAACAAAGTATCCAGCATTAATTTATTTGTTGATTTGTGTAATTAAAAAAGGATGAAAGCCAAATAATAAAAAAGAAAAAGAAAGATAAGGCGTTCAATCCTCTGTGAAATACATTTTTGTTGAAAATTTTACCACACACAAACAGTCATGTCATCATTCACATCTTACCTTTCCAAGTAAAACATGGCTATTCATCACGAAGACCATGCATCCTATTATAGTGCGTAAGGCCCAAGCAGTATTCAGTGATAATATGAGCCAAATTATTGCGCTTCATTATAACATACATTCCAAAACGTGTTGTTAAAGATGACATGACTATCGGTGTGGAGACTGAATGACTCAGCAAACAAATGAGACGTTACTCTGTACTTATCTTTTATCGAAACTCCAGTAGGAAGTACTAGCATTTTTGCTTGTTTATCCAATTAGGTAATACACTGAATAAGTTTGCGTTTTCAGATAACAAGGATACGCAATCTGAAAAAAGAGTGCTATTTGCATTTCAAATAAGCATATGTTTTTGCATTCGTAGTCTACAGCGATTGAATCGACCAGATATAAGGCTGTGCAACAAAATTGAACTCCTAGTAGTCAGCCTAAGCCATACAAACTGCTTGCTTAGCAGTTCTCTTACTATTAGCTTTAGGAGCATCAATTGTCTTCATGTTTTTTTTTTAAAGGTTTTTATTACTTGCTCCGTTAAATTGTCTTCATGTAGAGAGAAGCATTAGTTATACCACCTGCCAAACTCAATTGAAATTCCGATTGGCTTCTGTTAAAGATTGGTTAGATTTAGTCAAATTCGACCGATTCAAATCTATCTTGTAGAATTCGACTATATGAAATGAGATGGCCTTGCCAAACACCTCTAAGCGCCCCTGGTGGTAGGGCGAAGTGGTAAAACTCCCGTATGCCAACGGGAGGATCCCCGGTTCGAATCCTGGTGAACGCAAGTTGTCTGAATTTTTGACGTAGTACTGATGTCCTCGTTTGGTGTTTTGTACTCTATCCATTATCTATATTTTGACGATTTCCGCAAGACTGTTTTGGCTCTAGGTGTCGCACCTTATTAGCAGTAGATTTCTTTCCCAACTTAGTTCAAAATTTCTTATTCCCCTTCTTTGCAGACATTGGGTCCACCAACAGTCTTTTCTATCCCTCAGTATGACATTTAAAGGACTTTAAATAAAACCTGGAGCTCGTCTCCCCTACAAAAAAAAAAAAAACACCTCTAAGCGTGCCCGTGGTGGTAGGGCGAAGTGGTAAAACTCCCGTATGCCAACGGGAGGATCCCGGTTCAAATCCCAGTGAACGCATTTTGATTAATTATTTACGGTCGTACTGATGTCCTCGTTTGGTGAATGTTCTCTTATCCAGTATCTCTGTATGACAACTTAGCATGATTGTATTGGCTCTAAGTGCCCACCTTATTTGTAGTAGATTTCTTTCCCAACTTCCTTTCCATAATTTATTCCCCATCATGACTGACATTGGGTCCACCAACAGTCTTGTCTATCACTCATAGCGACATTTACAGGACTTTAAATAAAAACTGGAGCTCGTCTCCCCTACAAAAAAAAAAACACCTCTAAGCTTCTATGGTGTACTTTTCAAGGCGCATCCAATGGTGCCAAGTAATATAGATGTTTTGAATAAATTTATTGAATAATTTACGAAAATACGAAAAGAGGTTTCTGGCCAAAAAGTCGAAATTTCACATGTCAAAGTCCCACAAAGATGATTTCAAAGGCTGCATTAGATTGATAGAAACATTTTGATTCAAGATATATCATAATAAAAGTCTTCATTTTCAAGGTGAAAAACGTGATCGTTTGATTTTCAATGAAAACCATGAGGGGTACCTCATGCTTTTTGGTCGATTTTTGGCCATGTTTTTTTTGGTCCCAAAAAGTTGAGCAAAGGTGTCAGAAAGTTAGTGCTAGATCCGAGCAACTGTGTGGCGCTGTTCTGGCGGTTTAAAACGGTTTCCAACAGGAGAAAACACGAATCATATGAGTCCATATTTTGCCGTGATTCTCTTATTTTCGAGGAGCAAAAGGTAGTGCAAGTATGTTCTCTGGCCGTATACGAATTTGAAATAGCCGTGAAGCAATCAAGAAGAGTCAAATTCGCAAACACAGGCTTTTTCTGTAAGGTCCTAATAGAGCAGAATGTTGAGCAATGACTTATATATATATCAGTAAGATATGGGGTACATGACAGTGAGTACCACTAAAGATAATAGCAATCAGCCACCATAGACTCAACTCATTAAGCACTTGGCTGCATTTCAAGACGCTTAATGATTAGCCGAATTGCCATGTGCGATATTTTTCTGTACCTGTAAAAAGGTAGAAATACGCAGATTGTCGGCCATGAATGCAGCAAGACAGAAATACAAAGCGATAGGGCACCATACTGCCTCTTATATAATTTAGTGCAAATAGCAAGCTGCATGCTTCCAATCATTGCTATCCAGCAAACGGAAGCATCTTGTATAGAAAAATCTCCTTGCTACTAGCCATGAATTATACCAAACCAGGAGTATCAAATAGTCCGGTGCAATGAAGGTTGAGATTAAAGGGGTGAATGTAATTACAAAGAAATTGAGGGTCCATTTCCCTCTTTTCTTTCTTCCCTCATTGTATAGAAAAATGACTCCTGAAGAGCAAGCCGAGAAAATCAAGCAATTTAGACAAGAACTCACAGATATCAAATACCCCGTTACGGACGAGGCAAGTTGAATTCTTACAAGTGAATAGCACCGCAACACTCACATGTCACCATTTAGTATCTCGAACAGTTTCTGATAGCTCGTAGCTGGAACATTGTAACGACAACAACTCACCTATCTCCACTTGATGGAACTAACTGACTTTTTTGATAGGCCAATGCCAAAGACCAACTCTTGAAAACGTTTGAATGGCGTGAAACAAATCGCATTGATGATCATCCTGTTGCCACTCGAGAAAACAAGTTGCCAGTGCTTTATGCTGTTCGTGGCTATAACAGTATTCCCGATAGCAATTTAGAGCCACTTGCTGGCATCAGTGAAAGCGTATTGAGAATCAACAAGTACATGGGCGGTGCATGTCTCCACAAGGTAGATAGAGAAGGATGTCCCATTTATATCGAGAGATTGGTAAGGAGTTTTGTGGAAAAATGACATGATTGTGTAACGGGCCCGTTTGTGGATTGCCTTCTTTTAGGGTTATCATCGTGCAAAGGAGCTTGCCAAGAACGCCAAGGTAGAAGAGGTACAGGGATATCATATTGGCTGCAACGAGTTTTTGCATCGCGTCGTGATGAAGGATTGCTCAAAGGCTGCTGGACGTCATGTGAACAGAGAAACTGTCATTTTTGACTGCACTGGCATGGGATGGCATCGTAAGTTGCGCTCAAGGTGTAGTGCAAATGCATTGTATTAAGAGACGGTTTGCTTTAGAATTGCATATGCCTGCCTTGAACTTTATCAGGGCTATAGCTGATTGCGACCAAAAGTACTATCCAGAAACGCTCAACAAGTTCTTTCTGGTCAATGCACCTGGTGCCTTTGTCTATGTTTGGAAGATTGTCAAGGCATGGCTGGATCCTGGCGTAAGTGAACAGACACATTGCTGTTACCAATGCTACTGATACACATCCCATGCGATAGACTATTGCTAAGATCCAAATCCTTGGATCTGATTACAAGGAACCGCTATTAAAGCAAATTGCACCTGAAAATCTTCCTGCGTTTTTAGGCGGTGAATGTACATGTGAACACATGGACGGTGGTTGTGTTCCATCTCAAGTACTGAAGAATGCCATACCACTGCTAGCAAGCGAAAAGAACGAAAAAGTAGACACTGCTTACAATGCTGATATCATGGAGCAAGGAAAAACATCAGACATCATTAGGGGCCCCTCATTCTATTAGATAATTGCCGTAATAAAGAGATAGAGAAATCATTTATTTTTGATGTGATTACAAGGATTGATTTGTTTAATCGAAAAGACCTGTATTCCAGTACCACGATTAGTACACTCAAGATTCCACACTACACAAGCTCATCCAGACTTACCGAAACCCATATCGTCATCAGACTCTTCCTTCTCTTCTTCCTTGGCCTCCTCAGCGGGAGCATCAGTGGCAGCACCAGCAGCGGCGCCAGCAGAGACAGCGGGACCGGAACCAGGAGCACCAACGTTCAAGAGAAGAGCCTTGAGGTCTTGACCAGCGAGGGCCTTGGCGTAGAGAGAGAACCAGATGGGCTCAACCTCAACACCGGCAGCGGCAACAAGGGTTTGGAGCTTGTCAGCCTATAGATAGATATTGATGTTGGCTATGATATCCTTCACACACTGACAGGTTACTTACGGTGATCTCAACATTGTCATCTTCGAGGATGAGAGCGGCGTAAACGACAGCGAGTTCAGCAGACATGCTACATGTGAGAGAAATAATTAATCAGCTGCAAATACAAAACATGACATGTCAATCCAACATGTTGCATCTCCAAAATGATGTGGGATCCCCTTGTCAAAATGTCGAGTACTTTTCTGTTGGTTGATACATCATGTTTCCATGGATGGATGAATGGATTTCTTCTACATACGCGCAACGGATGGATGTAATTTGAAGGAGGAACTTGAGATACACAGTTTAGCTAATGGATATATAGCAAATCATGTAGAATTAACCGAGTCACCCACACTCGGTGTTCTCATTGTTGTGCGGTGCCAACCAACATCTCCTCCCACTGGTTCGGCCACAGCTAGCAATAAATTTTTCAAATCATCCATATACCACTGATAAATCATGTACTTTATTAGAATAGTTTTTTTTTTTTTTTTTTTTTTTTTGCTTGCTTGCTTTAGAAATGAGAAATAGTGCCATTTTCAAGGTAATCTACCAGGTCTACTTCTTCACGTCTCTTCTTCATGCGCGCTTTGATTTGCTGACGTTCTCGTTCAAGCATAGTGAGTATAATGAATTGTTCTGATCGTTCCTGTTCCAGTTCAGCAGTTTTCGTCTTTTGCCAGTTGAAATGCTTTGTACATTTTCGACTAGCAGGGCATTTTGTGAACCCTTTTGAAGTGACATGACCACCATTGACATCCAGCAGTGCAATGACATGCTGCTCATCCTCATTGACTTGATCCACTTTCTCCCAGATAGTGTCTGGCCATGTTAATCTCGAGTCAAAACCACAGACTTCTTCATCTGATTGCTGCTGTATTAATAATTTCAGCAGCGTGGATTTGTGTTCAACCATAGTGATCAGGGCTTTGGCATGCACTTTTTCCTCCTTGACCCTGTTCAGTCTTGCTCGATCATCCATGTCTGCAAAGCTACTGAGTCTTGCTCTTGATAGTGGGTTGTAGGGTTGGTCTTCCATAGACATGGTGGCATTCCTCTTCTTTAATTCTGCTAATTCAATACGAGCACGAGCTACTTGCAGGCCACACGTATCTGAACAGTATTTGCTTTCATGACCTTGCACTGTACCAATTCTGGCGGGTTTTATACAAGCTGGATTAGCACAGTTGGGTTTCCACAATGTTTTCTTGCCTGTAACTAGAGCCAAATGTTAGTTTCGCATGCTGTATGCAACTACACTCGCAGAGAGAACTTACGTTTGGCGCAGTTAGCACAGTAATACAGGTCAATGAATTCACTCTGCTTTTCGCTGATTTCAATACATTCGCCATGGAACCATTCGTTACATTTATCACACGCAATCATGAATTCTTTCACGTCATATGGTCTTTTGCAGATGCAGTAGAGTTCATTGTTGTTGTCATTGGGAGGCCTTTGTTGTGCCTGTTGTTGCTGGCTGGGCGGTGTTGTGGGTGTGGATGGTGTTGCAGGTTCAGATGTGGTATTGTTGTTATTAGTGTTCTTATGTAATGGAGGTCTTCCTCGCTTGACTTTCTTTACAGGCTACCAAATTCAAATGAGTCATCTTGCTCAAGTATATCATACTGATCAACTTACTCGACTATCGTCTTTCTCTATGGTTCTTTTTGGTGTTGATGTGCTTGCCGTAGGAACAGATGGGGATGCTGGTTGCGGTGCTGGAGGGAAAAGATGCTGCTCTTGTGATGCTATTGACGATGATAATTCATGGTGTTTTTCTTGATCAAGTTCCATTATATCGCCAGCACCGTCAGACGCTAGATGATCCAAAGAGTTTTGTATAGGGTATGGTTGTTGCAGTTGTGCTTGTGATGGGTATGATGTTTGTTGAATTTCCTCTGGTGTTTCTACAGGTTGCCATTTCAATACAGGGCTGATGCGTTTTCGTAGAGGCAGACGATTCGAGCTATTGTTGCTGCCATTGTGTTCAAGATGTTCAACTTGTTCAGACATGATGAGTGAGTGTTTATCGTGCGTGCGTGGGTGTGGGTGTGGGTGTGTTGGTTTTGCTGTTGAGATTATTAGAAAGAAAAAGGACAAATGAGTTGCTATTAAAGTGTCTCTTGATATTCCCTAGATTGACACTACAGAAGCAATGAGGAGTATTGTAATATATATTAAAAGGAAGAGAAGACAGAGAGATGTAAAGGGGAAAAAGAGACAGAGAGAGAGAGAGAGAGAGAGAGAGAAAGGGTTTTTGGGGGGATGAAAAAAGAAAAATAAAAAAAAAAATTTGAGCAAGGCCAAATCCACCTCTTTTTGTCTCTTCTTCCCCTCACACACAACTCACATTCAACTGTGTGTTCTTTGCATCGTGGCCATTGGCTTACAGTGACGAAGACGCTGTGATTGAATCAAATCATACAAAAGCTGTGTTATGAGTCAAAAGTCATGGTGAATGCAAGCTCATTTCATAGCGAGATGTCTACTACTGCAAGATGGAAATGATATTTGATGTGATACAAGTGTATTTCATAGCGTTTGATGAATATAGTTTTGCCTTTTGGCTATTTGGAAATGTCGGATATAAAGCGTTTTTTCTATTTTTTTTTTTTTTTTTTTTTTTTTTTTTACCTTTTTCTCTCTCTCTTTCTCTCTCTCTCTTCCCGGTTATCTCCTTTCATTTGCGGAACATGTTGAAATCCCTAACAAACATTGGAGTCTGTGTAGGCGTTGTGTTTGGTACAGCAGCTACATTCATAAGGTAAAACAAAGTGCCATCAACTGCTATGCACCCTGCTGATCATCATGATAGACACAGACAGAATCAGCCTCTGAGATACACTGCAGCATCCATCGTCGCACTCATTGGTAAGGAGAAAGCATAGCGCTCGAGTTGGTTTTCAAGGAAACTCAAGTGTAGAGACTAGGTATACGAGAATTGCTAGTAAAATCAAGTGCTAGAAACCAGTTGTCTCCATTGCAACATTTGAAAGTTTTGAATTATCAACCACGATCCATCTTCAACTCCATCTCAACACCTATACCACGCAATGTCCATAGCCGATGCATCTAAACATCCTCCCCTCATCGCCAAGCGCATCTTCTTGTACCATATCCATAGACCTTTGTACGCAATCTCAACAAGGAAAAAAAAAAAAAAAAAAAAAAAAGCTTCATGTACAGTAATAAATTCCCTCGCACACCATCCGTGAATCAAAGGAAACATGGTCTAAAAGCCAATTTTACTATAAATATCACTGTCGACATTTTCTGCTATTGTAAGCGTTTAATCCCTTGTGCTCTTGGTAATCCTCGTCCTCTTCCTCCTCCATCATGCTATGACTATGGGTGGTCATGGAGGCACTGTTGTGTGTGATTTGATGGCTTCTGTTGCTGCTGTTCGCTTCTACAACCGTCTTTTTGGGATGGAAAATCAAGATGACAATGACCCAAATGGCAATACACAGAATATTGACTAGAGATAATGGACTATTAGTGTCATGTTCACCATCACCATCATCAAACGATACTTGCTGTTGCAAATAAAGAAATCGGCTAAAAATTTACGTTGATTTATCGTCTTTTTGTTTGTGAGTCCATCTGCACTGAGAATGATGAAACATATCGAAAATAAAAGCAATGCTACGGATAGCAATAGATTCAAATCTTGGAAATAGCGCATCTTGTGGGTAATGAATTGTGCATCGTTTTGGTGCTGGCTGTTACTGAGCAGCTTCTTGAATCTAAAATGTGAAACACCACCGAGAAGTGATATGAGAAACATTTCTTGGTTTGGGTTGGTCCCGTTAGCCTCATTGTTACATTCTGGAGTTGTTGTTGATTTACCTATTCCATATACAAGTTGTGGCATTATTTCTTTATATGTATAGTTATATATATCTCTTGTGAAATTGTATTGCAAGACTGGGAACAGGATGATGTTGAGCAGTGTCCTGTGTGTAGCTAGATGAATCACTATTTAAATGGTATGAAGCTATAGAGCCACTTACATGATAATGTAAAATTTAAACTCTTTGCTACTCATGAATCTGGCTCTGGCCACCAAATTAGCAATGTACCGCCAAAAGCATTGCAGTAGTAGCAAGGTTCCACTACATGCGCTATATAATTAGTTTTTTTCTCCCTCTCTCTTTCATTGAATTATGTGTACACTTTACATTTGTAATGAGAACCCCACACATAGACTATAGTCTACAGTGAACATGATGAATACTTGGGTTGATACACATCCTTCGATTCTACTTACCAGTCGGTGTGATTAGATTTCGGTCAGCTTGTGTCCAAAGAAACTCGGGTTTGGTAACAATGTGGCCAAACATTTGCACATAGCCTTCTTCATATTTGACTTTACAACTTGCCATATCTACACAGTGCCACCTAATTGAATATACAGCACAATTCACAGGCACACATACACATATCTATCCGCCTTACCGTAGTATAGCTGAAACGGCAGCATGACAAATATCAGTATTGTCACAATGCTTTTAAGTTCTCCTCTTTTTAGCTTCGAGAAATATAGACAATCAAAGCCTTCTGTCGTGTGTATACGGTGAATGAACCAAAACAGCACATAGCTCAGACCGATCGCCCTTTCTAGTTATCATTATCAATATTCAATTCAATTGCCATGGCATCCATATGTATAACGTACGTAAAAAACTGAAATCACTCAGATGAGTCATGCGTGCGTATGAATACAGAGCAAAGGGAAGAGTAGAAATAGTTGTCTATAACAACTATTATATTTTCTCCTCGAATTTATTGGCAATACATCAATGAGAAAGGGGTAATTTGCATGCCGTACTGGTTCCATGTAGCCTCAGTAGCATAGTGAAGTAAATGACAGCAGTAGGAGCTAGTTTACAGTGTGGCATTGTTCAGTCTGTATATACTTCTTTTCTTACAGCCCTGAGCTTTGACGCAGGGAAAGGATACACTCATTTGATGAAACGTTACATATACACATGGCTCCTCCACAATGAAACTTTGTATCATTCGTACATTGACAACAACGGTGCGTGTGAAACGTCTTTAGGCTTACATATAAGATTACCTTGTTCGTCTGTGGAATAGTATGGTACGATGTTTTTTTCTGTATGAAATGCTACTTGTACAACACCACATGAGGTACTATACTCAGGTATCAAAGGTCCTGGTACCAATAATGTGCTGAACACTAACCACTCTTATAGTCTTGTTTCCAATGCAATAGAAATCTATGTATAAAAGCTAGTTTAGGTCTAAATCCTGAATGATATACATACTCTAGTTACATTTAAAAGTAGATGGTCAATCTCTGTCTCGGCCGGATACCCAGAGCGGCACTTTCTTCCATGATAACAACACAATGGATTGTATGATAACTGATTCCTTTTTTTTTCTTTTGTATTTGCAAAGGCCGAGCTTTATATCAGCCTCGAAAAAGTGATTCAGAACATAGATGTCGATCATTCAGGAGCGAAAAAGTAGTTACGAGTTCCTCAAATCAAAGGTATTTAAAAAAATTTGGAAGCAAAAGGGGGGGGGCAAATATGTCAGCAGTAAGCTGATCAGTCATGTTTAAGGTGTGTTGAAGCAATGAAAGTTTATTAATATGTACATTCAATAGTATTGAAATGATGGAAATGTAATAGTATGCAAGTCTAAATTTAGTTCTTGTTTTGGCTCTTGTAGTGGTTCTTGATAATATCAGCAGCCTTTTCAGCAATACCGTAGGTAGGTTGCATCAAGTGAGAGGAGACCTCAAGGGGCATGATGGAAGCATCAACAACACGCAAGTTGGAAGTACCGTAGACCATAAGAGCAGGGCTGACAACACCACCCAACTCCTTGGGAAGCATAGCACAAGTACCAACGGGATGCCAGTCAGAGCGTACATTGTTGCTCAACCAGGATCTGAGGTCATCTTCAGAGGTAACATTCATACCAGGTTCGACTTCACCGCTGTTGAGATCACCAAGACCAGGAGAAGCAGTGATGATTTGACGAGCAAGCTTGGTAGAAGCGACGTGAACGTCGATATCCATGGGGTGAGAGTAGTATTGAGGATTGATAACAGAGGGGTCTTCGATATCAGAAGAGCTGATGTGAGCATAACCACGACTCAAGGGAGCAATCAAGACATGGTTGACAGTTTGATACTTGTTGTTTTGCAAGTCAGGGCTGCCAGTACCACCATAACCAGGAGTAAGGTTGATTTCAATGGGAGACAAATAGTTTTCTTCATAACGAGAGGCGACAATAGCATATTGCTTCTTCAACAATTCAACATTGGTAGCGTTGGTAGAGGCATAGTAGTTGGCCCATTCATCAGTAGAGTTACGAATCTTGTCAGCAAATTCCTTGCCAGAGACGAATTCAGTACCGTTGAAGAGTTGCTCAGGGGTAGGATAGCCAAGGTTATTGGGAGTGGTGGTCCAGATACCAGTCTTGTTAATTTCGTATTCCTCTCTTTGCTCTTGAGCAAGGGTATCATTGACAAAGACACTGTTGGTAGTGTAGCCATCAATGTTGGTAGTAGAGACAGTGACAGCATGGACGTGATCTTGCATGTTGGCACCAACTCCAGGCAAGTCAATCAAGGATTCGACTCCGGCAGCAGAAACAATGTCCTTGTTACCAATACCAGAGATTTCCAAGAGCTTGGGACTACCAATGGCGCCAGATGAGATGATGACTTCGTAGCGAGCCTTGATAGTTTGCTTTTGATCCTTATTGCCAGTAGGATACCATTCAACACCAGTGGCCTTGAGAGGCTCGCTGCCATTTTGAGGAGCAAATTGAATGCGAGAAACAGTGTGGTTGGCCAAGACATTGAGGTTGTTGCGGCTTGTGTAAGGGGCAATGTAACCAGCATAGGCATCTACACGTTGGACAGTTTTAGGGTCCAAAATGTTGGGAGTGGTAGAGTAACCAGCCAAGGTACCGTTCAAGAGGTCAGGAAGAGCAGTGAAATCAAGAGACGCAAGAGAGGCATTCCACTTGGCAGATTGAGGGAATTCGTAGTTGGTGAAAGAGACATCAATAGGTCCATTCTTGCCATGGGCGCTCTTTTGATAGGTGGCACCGTATTCAACTTGGGCAGGAGTAGGAGGACTGAAGTTTTCAACCTTCTTAAAGTACTTGAACAAGTTGGCACCATTCCATCCAGGATTACCGAGTTCCTCCCAAGCGTCATAATCCTTCAAACCGCCGCGAGTCTATTGAGAGACAATGCTATTAGTTTCAGTATTGACATGCAAGAGATTTTTCATATGAGCTTACCCAAACGAGACCATTGATAGCACTACCACCACCGAGCAATCTACCAGTAGCGATGGAAAGGCTTCTGTTACCCATGTTCTCTTGAGGAACGGTGGGAACGAGAGGAGCAAGCTCAGTGCCAACAGCTTGGCCATACCTGATCAATATGAAACCAATGTGTCAGTAAACAGTAAACCTTGATCCAGATAAGGTTCAGCACAACTTACATGCCAGGGGCATACACAACGAATTGATCATTGGCATTAGGACCGGACTCGAGAACAGCAACAGTGACATCCTTGTTTTCAGAGATACGACTAGCCAAGGCCAAACCTAAGTGCAAATGAACAAAATCAGTATGGATGTATCAACGCGATGGCAAACGCATATGTACATACCAGCTACACCACCACCAACGATAACGTAATCGTAGGTATCAGTTGAAGAAGTATTTGTATCTTGTTGAGCAGAAGCAAAGGAAGCAAATGCTGTGACAACAGTGATAATGGCAGCTGTGATCTTCATGTTAAATGATTTATATGAATTGAATCGAATTACCTTTTCGCTTGACATTTGGATTTGCTTTTATATATATATATAATTTCAGTTCCAGAATTCGATGTCTTGAATCCCGCAATACTTCTTCTGATATTTTAACTAAATTAGGCGTTTGACAAGAGATATGGAACATGGACTCTCAAATTGTATTTGTAAGTTCTTGGTAATTTAGCTGCTGTGCTTATTGATGCACGTCGCAGCTTATTAATTCAATTTTGTAGACCCTGAAAATGATGTGCTTGCTTAGATCTTGATAGGTGACGGATCTGATAGGCTTACACATTTTCAAAATGTAATCGGGACCATGTTTGCTCATTGCTATAGCCTCAACTTACCACTGCGTGTTTCACTGTGCTTTTCCTATATACCCTTTGAAGTTATCATGTAGAAAACACCAAATGTACAGTAATTTTCGTTTGATTTTAAGCTTTGATTTGTTTCTGCTTTTTTCCCTTCTTTTTTTCCATCGTATTACCAAATGTGAACAGGGTTGTTCTCCGTGGAAGTATCCACGGGTACATGCCAAGCTTACCAGATAATGACAAATGCAGCTGTTTTGACATTAAATCGCAGTTCTTGCTAGAAAAGAAGATTTCTATATCGCCATTCGTTTGTACATTTCAAGTAGGGCCCTGTCGAGAAAAAAAAAAACGTGGCCATTAAGGTTTTGGTTTTTTGCAACTTCATTATAAAGTGCTCTGTATCGGCTATCAATGCCAGCTTCAGTTCTAACCCTTGCTACTCCATCTCAATGGAATATGAACACTGGTTCTTTCAAAACAGACAGCCATGCCTAAAACGTGTGCCTCATGCCATATTTCGGTCACTAAAACGCATTAAATTACTTTCAATGTAGCACTACATATACATAACAGCTACCCGTTTGAGAGCTTATCTCGTTTAAATCTGATATCTTGCTCTAGATGCCATCCTCATTTTGTGTGCTCATCTGAAACTGTGTTTAAGCCTCCGTCATTTGATGAATGGATACATTTCATAGCACTTGCTGGAAAACATAATCGATACAAAGAGTGGATATGCTTAAATTTCATTTTATTGATTGGAAACATTCTATGATCATTCTAATTTATGGAATATACTACGACGGATAAAATTCAACCGATTATCTTGATGTACACTGCTTAGAACAGTGGTACTCTGATTCCGAAGCGGGTCTGTTTATTCTATCAATTTGCTTTTCAATCGATTCGAAATTTCTCGTAAATAATAATCTTTTTAGGTATACGATAAAAACGAGATTGCGGAGACCATCTGATTCACTTATTCCTTGGAATAATAAACACAAATCATTACAAATAGAGAGGAGATTGCATCTAGTGATTGCATTTTATCCAGCGATCAAATAGTCATCAAATTCTGCTGCCAATATATACAGCATATGATGTACTAGCCGGTCAAACTCGCTATGCTCGATGACGGCGTCGCCCTGCGAATTCTCGTCGAAGACATTCAAATCAGTGATAATAAAAACCAGGCATACCATATAAATTTTAAACAGCCAATTAATAGTAAAAAAAAAATGGCTATATCAGAGTCAGGAGGGGGAGTTATCCATTTGCTGATGTTGCTCTTGAGATGGCAGCATAAAGCTGGCCATAAGTAAATACAGGACTGGCGTAAGATTTACAGCGACTTTTTTTTTTTCAGATACTGTCATTGCAAAAGACACCTTTATTATAGGAAAAAAAAACTCCCAAGAAAGAAAAGAGTATTCGAGCTAAGCAACTGTCCTTTCAACTCCATGATTCTCATTTAATCAGCATCGCAGCCATCATCGCAATCATCATTGTCATCAACAGAAAGGCACTTAAGTCAGCCAGCAGCAAGCCGCCGCCAAAATTGGTTCAAACTCAGTTTATTTTTTCTGTTCAAGATTGGACAGATGTTATCTTATTTCAACTTCTTTAATGTATTTTATGATATTCGACCATGTAAATTGTGCTAATCATCCGATGCTTCCTAATACACCGTTGGAGTACTTTTCAAGGCGCTTCCAATGATGCCAAGTAAAATAGATGTTTTGAGTGAGCTTATTGAGCAATTTGGTAAAATATGAAATGAGGTTTTTTAGCGAAAATAGCCATATAAAAGACTCATAAACGTGGTTTCCGAGGTTGCTTTGGATCGAGAGAAACATTCTGATTTGATTTATATCATAGTAAAAGTCTTCATTTTCAAGGTGAAAATCGAAATTGTTTGATTTTCGATGGAAGCCATGAGGTACCCCTCATGTTTTTTGGTCGATTTTTGGTCTTTTTTTTTTTTGGCCCAAAAAGTTGAGCAAAGGTGTCAGGACGTTACTATTACCCAAGTACAATTGTTTGACGTTATTCCGGAGGCTCATCAAGGTCTACATGTCAAGATATGAACGCTTGAAAACTGTCAAATTTGGTTATGTATTGATTTATAGCTTTTATTTACACGGCATAAATCACATCTTTGGTAGCTGCAATTTACTGGAAGGGCTGTTCTGCAGCATGTGCAGCTTCTAATTCGAGTAGAAAACATATTGGTTTTGGTAAAGCTAAGTCATGCAAATTTTGATGCGCTATGTTGCTGGTAAGCTTATTAACAATTGAAATGAAAACCCGAATTTGCTGGTTAGATACTAGCTTTGCATATTCGCTTCGCTGCAATCAAGCCCTCGTACAGATCAATGCTATCAAACGCTGGATTGTACGCTTAGCTGTCCTGGCTTTGCACCTTTGCTTCGCTACGGTAAACCCCACTATAAATCAATGCTATCAAGTGTTGAATTAGACGCGTTATATTCTTCCCCCCGAACCCCCTCCCCATTGCCGGTTTTGCCGATGGTTTTATCCATCTTGTACGGTACTAAATTCTTTAAATTTTGAAAGGATATGATTTGCTTGTCTACTTTTTTTTTGAATGTTTTACAGTGTATATAGTGAAGATTCAAGAAGGGCGTTTTTATATAAAATTACAGGCTATATAGACATATGATGTGTACCTGTTTTTTCAAATTTGAGAAATATTTATTATAAGAAAAATGAATACAACAACAGACCAAAGTCAAATATTAATCAGTTGCTCTCAAGATTGATTGCGTTCCAGAAGTTTGCGTCGCCGGTCCTCCTTGTAAGCTGCTAGTGTTATTCTGGTACAAGTGTCTGCATTCTTGGGCTTGCTATCTTCTGGTATTACACGTTCGGCCGCTATTTTAGGAGTAGTTCGAGGCACAGATGATGGTCCTGAGGTCTGCTCCACTGTAGGAGAAGAGGCATACACAGTTGCGATAGGAGAGCCTTTATATTCCAAGCCCAACTTGGTTGCAATCTCCTCAGGCCCATCGTACAAGTTTTCAGTGCCATCATCATTGTAGTAAAACCTGCGATTAAGAAGATTGATTTCGTAAGGCTCTGTAGACACCATCTCTTCTCTACTGTTGATACGCTCATCTTGTTGTTGCTTGCATTTCTTCTCGTACGATTTCTTGAAACGAGCTTCAGCCTTCTCAGATAGTATTCTACCGATGCTGACAAAGCCATTGGGACTTCAGGGCCTTTCCGTACTGCGGTGCTGGGATTTGCTTGGTTTTAGCATTTCCGGAATAGGTCTACCATAACTGATTCCAAGTTGTGGATGTGGGGTAAATCTCTTCTCACGAGGAGATGGATACCAGGCAATCAAGCCTTTGACTCTAAGCCGTTTATCTACAAATCTTATCCGTTCAGTAGCGTCAGTTCTACGCCGATTCTGCACAGGATCTTCCTCTTCTTGTTCTCCATCGTCTTCATTAATTTTTTCCTCTTCATCTTCATTTTTAACTGATATATCCTCATGCTGATCGTCCTCATTCGGATCATCATCTTGCTGCTTGTCTTGACGGTCTTGATTATCGTTTGATTTATCACGATCATCTCCCTTTGGTTGCTGAGCGTTTTTTTTATGTTGATTTCCTTGTTGGCTTTCTTGATTTTCATCATTGCGTTGCTTCTCATTCGCTCTAGCTTGCTGCTTACTTTTTTTAATATTGGACTCGCTAGGCGACCGTGTGGGTAATACTTGCGCAGTGTTTGCTTGATGTTTGGGTGCAGATTGCTTCTTTACTGCAGTTGTTTGGGCGGTGCAAGTTGCAATTATGCTTTGCGTTTCGCTGATGCTTTCATTGTTGGCAATAGCAGGAACATTGGGAGTATCAATGAGATTGTCAAAAACCTGTTCTGAATCACCATTGTTTTGATCGTTATGTTGGTATGCCTTTTTAGAAGACTTGAGAATAAGTAAAGTTATCCTATCAATAACAATCTGGCATTGCGAAGCTGCAAGAAATAGGTACATCCATACGAATTTGGTTGACTTCTTCATTTGAATCAAGATACGTATGAATGAAGCGCTAAAGGCCAGGCTATGTTCAACAGACAATTCGTTTAGCAATGCGCTTCTGTTATGATAGTTTAGCGATTTATACTTGTACCTTTGGCCATTGATTGCAGGAGAACCATGATTGTCTATTTGACAATTAATTACTAGAAGGAATAAATGATGCAAATAATCCGCAGTATATGCTCATTTCATAAACTTACTTTTCATCAAGTGAAATTGATATTGCACGAATTTTATATGGCCAGATGTTAATCTCTCCAAGCGCAGAGTTTCTGGAACCAAGGCTGTTTTGTAATATCGAAACTGGCAGTGCTTATGACCTACAGACATGATACATTTTACATTTGATTTCTACTTCTTTGAGAGAATATCAACATAAATACATCGGATAATACTTACGAGTCTGTTTTTTATGCAAATATAACTTGGTTGATACCGCTTCATCTAACCAAGGTATGAATGTATTGTGCAGAGAGGATATTAAGCAAAAAAGTAGTAGCAGTAGCTGCATTGCAGTCTTCGAAGGTAACATTCTTATGAATGAACTGAAATGAGATAACAGTTAGGTGGCTCCAGTCAATGCTCTTTTTATAAAAAAAAATCAATATTTCAACAGCTTTATATCAGTATTTGCGGCTAATAATAAAAACATCTGTGTATAATTCTAAAGTAAAACTGGGATATGACAAGTATTTAACAACTTGCGATTCTTGTTATCTCTTTTGAATGATGATGTAGACTCTAAGTTTACTGCTCATTGCTGAAGCACTAATAAAACAAGTTTTAATGCCCTCATTAGTAATCTTGTTATGTACATATTTTAGTTAACCATCAGAGATGCTGTCTATAATACCTTAATAACATAACGGAAGTAACTATTATTGGTAGAATAGTTTGCTAGCATCATTGTCTCAAGTGCTTAGATTAGAACTCTCGTTACTATGCGGATCGATGAATATACGACGGTATTTGGATGGCCTTTTATTACAAACAAAAAATCATGATAATTAATAACAGGTCAATAGGAAATCAACTAGTTATAACCCTTTGGTCCCTGAGCCTCTGAGCCAATCAGATTGCTTGAAAACTCCGCTGACCTAAAAAAAAAATTGCGAGGGTTTCCCCCTGTTTTGATGTGAGGCAAAATTTTAAGCGCCGCTAGGTATACCAAATCTAGCAGTGTGCGCTATCATCAAATTTCCCCCAGGTGCTAGAGCATGCCTTACTTACACCACCTAGCTTTAAATTCAGGCATTGAGACCCTCAATCATCACTAAAGTAAGTAGCGATAACCAAGTGGAGGCAGCCTATCCACCTCCTAGCCTCGGATAAGGTCTTGTTGAGCTTCAGGGATAGGCACATCCGCACAACGTAAAAAAGGTATGCTTCAAAGAAACATAATAAGAATAAAAGAAAGAAGAAAAGAACATACTACTATAGGAGTATAGTAGTATGTAGACAAAAAAAGGGGTACTCACACAAAGTGAGTCAAAGAAAAGTATAACAAACACAGCATCAGAGACGTTCAGAACAGCTCGTTGTTGTTGTTGCAGCAAAAATGCATACATGAGTAACATGCATGGTAATAGTCAGATGTAAAGCAACACAAATACGCACAACTGCAAAGGCAACAGTGGTATTATAAGTTTGCAATACAACATAATGACTAATGTTGTTTCATGTGAAGCCACAGAGACAACACAACCAACAAAAGAAAAAGAAAGACGCAACAAAGAAAAAATCATGAATGCATTATCATGAGGAAGGAAGCAATAATACAAACGTTCAAAGAAGGTTTATATCATCGCGGCCAGAAGAAAAAAAGACACTTACCACTTACCACTACCGTAAATAATAGACCAGAAAATAAGCAATCACCAGAGATAGACCAGATATAAACCACAGATAGACCACAGATAGACCATAGAACAACCATACAATAAAGACAGTAGACCAGGAAAGACCAGATTATCAGCAGCAGCACCCACGTAAAACAGGCAAAAGAAATATCAAAGTTTAATAAATATATACGTTTAATGTTAGTTCTACACCTTCCAGTGCACATAATCAAATAATACCTTCTATATTACACGTCAGAGAGGTAATGTCAGGCTCTTCTAGCAGTACACGGCAGTGTTATCAGAAGCAAGAGTGCTATCTTCAACCAAAACGCTTTTAAAGAAAATATTATGGTTTGAAACTAAACGCGTTTTTCAAACCGAGGAAACGGAGAAAAGAATAGGAGGGCAGCGCCTTATTCGACGTCACCGTCAGTAGACTTGACCTCAGCCCTCTGCTGAGGCAATTGCGGTTGCGGCACTTGAACATGGATTTGTGCAGTGGCCATTTTCGTATTTCAACTTGACTTAATTTTACATTTTCTAAACGTTTTTGTCAAATTCGACTATAGAAACTGTCGTTGTCAGTCTTTACTTTCTAATGCGTCTATAAAGAGTCAATTAAGGCGCATTGAATGGTGCCAATTACTTTTAGCTTTCAGACCAAAAATAATGAGCAATTTTTAAGAATATGAAAATTGATTTTCTGCAGAAATGTCAAGAATTAGCATATGAAAGTCTCATAGAAAGAGTATCCAATGTTGCATTCCATCTCTACAATTAATTTGATCTCATATGTATCATAGAAAAAGTCTTCATTTTTGGGATGAAAACGCGATCGTTTGATTTTTAAGAATTTCCCTTTGCTATTACTCATGAAAAAATGAAGATTTTCATGGATTTGCAACGACTTAAAAAATTTTGAGATAAAGCATCAGTAAGTAAAGCGCAACCAAGGGGAGTTGTTTGGTGTTACTCCAAGCGCACAAAGCGCTTTGTGTCATGAGTTATTTGTGTTTGAAAATAGTTAGATTTGGACAGAATCTGTCCTAAAAATATGGCATAGGCACGCACGTATATCCCCAAAAGTAAGAGTTGCTTGAAATTGAAGGGGTTGTCAATCTTATAAGCTTTGATGTAAAAAACTTGTGCTCAAATTAAAAAATGCGTTACAGCTTATCATTAACTTCAAGGGCTGTATTGCAACTGATGGAGAACAGCATTCCCGCCGAACTGCACAGTCGTATGCTTAGAGACCTTATCGTACCATCAGACTAATTGAAAAGGACAGTTGTTTGTTATACTAAATAGCATGTAGTGAGCTATGTCTATAAGTCCCAAGTTACGTATTCATTACCAGTGTTGTTGCGCCAGAAAGGCTGCAAGTATCTATAGAGACTAAGATATTCTTGATGTGTAGACAGGTCTGTGTTTTGCAACATGAACAGGCTATAATAATTAAGGTGTATCTCAGCTATCTACTATAGGGAGAAAAGCTGTCCCGTTCGTTCAGATAATCTTGACTTTTACCCAGTATATTGCCAAAACTCAAAAAGAAAATCCCTCCCATACTGCGTTCGACAGAACAGCTAACAGGAATTACAGCAACATAAAAAACTTATGGTTGGACTATATTTTAATCCCAGTATAACCAGCCAAAGTGGGAAGTGTCGAAAATGCTAGGTGTGTACAGTAGTCGCTCTATATAAGGCCGTCCTATATAAGGCTATGCGGGGAATAAGGCTGAAATCTTTCAGAGTTTTTTTTTTACCAGCTATTTAGCCTTAATAGCCTAATTTTATATAAGGCTACAGACTCTAAAATTTTTAGCCTTATTTCATAGTGGTGGTTGCTGCGATTGAATTTAGGGCTAATCAGATATTAAAAAATAGAAAGCTTTTATTGAAAAGTAGTACATTTAAACAAAATAATCACGTAAGTCTGTTTGGTTTTTCTCTGCTACTTCCTCCGATCTGATATCGTTCAGATTCCTACGGATAGTCTTCAGCATAGACTTTTCTTTTTCATCCATTGGGATGGTATGGTACAAGATTGTTTCATACGCATGCTTCAACTTCTCCCTTATTTCCTTCGTATCAGCATCGTAAATCTCTACTGGTTCTTCCTCTACGTCAAGCTCTTGTGATCCCTGGGTAACATCATCGCCATCCTCAAATTCAACAATCACGGGATTAAAAACGATTGCATCAGACTCATCTTCATTTAGATCCAAGTCGTTTACTTCAGTTACCATTTGAACCCCATCATTACTTCTGTTTCCAGGAAGTTCAGGGATGATTTCGTTCAACTGGCTGACTAGATCATCGTCTAAAGGTAGCTCGAAAGATGGGAGTACATCCTCCGAGTCGACTCTCTGTCTTTGAGCAAACTTAAAATCAAGGATTTTCGTATGATCCCAGCAATTTTGGATTGTCTGAGGCTTTACTTTGATCCAAGAATCAGCAAGAAAATACAGAGCATTCACCTCATCCATTCTGTATTCCTCGGTGAGATCAAGGTTTACCCCGGCAAGATACTTGTTCAATGCCCTGTAGTATTGGTGCCAGCGAAACTGAGCCTTGAAGTTCGCAATGATTCCTATCGAGTGTGTGATTAGAGATGAGTACGGATATCAATGAAATGTGTTGATTTACCGGCATCCAAAGGCTTCAACTTGCTTGTTGTGTTTGCCGGAAGAAAAATCAATTTAATGTTGCTGAGTTCTTCTTTCAATTTATGCACTGAAGCATTGTCCACCAAGAGAGCAACTTTTCTTCCGCTGTAAACGAAAGACGCATTCAAACGTTTGATGTACTTCCGAAAAATGTCGGTGTTCATCCATGCATTGGGTAATGAATGATACTCCACATAATGGGATTGCCCGATGTTGGTGGTTCTTCTGTACAAAGCAGGTTTTTTGTTTGCTACCTTTGGTGTCTTTCGTTTCCCAATTACAATGGGGTGCCCTTTATAGGATCCATCATAGTTGGTGATTAGTCCAACTGTGAATCGGTTCTTGCTTTTCTTTGAACCACCTAAAGGTTCCTGACAAACGGTGCGAGTTGGTTGTTGCTCGTAGTATAAGCCAGTTTCATCAAAGTTGAGAATATCTTTGGGATCATATGGCTCCAACAATTCTTCAAT